TCAATGGAATGTCCAATTGAAGTGCAACAAACAGGATTGTATAAAGAAGAATTTTATTGTCTTTCGTAATACCTTCAAGCCCTATTTCGACCTCTGCTCAGTTCTGGCTGGTTTTGCCAGAACGCCCCACTTAAGTGTAAAAAAACCCTAGTTTTTTGGGGCTCCAATTTTAGGTAGGCATTTTGGCACCTTGCTTTTATATATGAATATTAGTATTACTGTGATTTTTTGTTTTTAATGCTGAGAGAAAGGTAAATATTTTATGCTAAAGGAAGTTTTTGTTTGATTTTTAGTATCTTACATGTTTTAACTTGTACTAAAGATTGGTGGACAAACTGTAACTTGGATTATTGCAACATGCAGGGTATTTAAATTTTTGCCACGCCCCTTTCTTGTAACGTGCGTTACTGCTAAAAAAAACTTATTGCCAAACCAACATTAGATTTTTTTTTTTTTTTTTTATAGTTTAGTCACTTACATGTAACTTTTGTGAAGAAAATCCACCCTCAATGATTTGACTTTATAGAATAATAGCAGAGAGTTGACAGAAAGATTCTGCCTCCCCCTTTCCCCCCTCAGATCTCAGCTATCGAGTGACGAAAAATTATGAAACTCGATGCATGCATGAACAACTTAATATGAACATACCCAAGAAATTTCATGACTATAGATTAAAGGGTTTTGAATTATGGCTAATTAATTATTCATATGCACCAATGGTAATCTGCTTTGTGTAAACTATATGTGGGGAAGTTCAGTTTTTATGGCGCATAGCGCCAAAATATTTTTTCACTTGATTTTTCTTGATTACACGAATCTTATGCACGTCATTGTGTAAAAATCGATTTTTATGTAACTTTTAGTGTGTAGACATCCAAGTATTTGGATACCTTACATGCACGTAAACAAATGCAGTTGGTATGATTTGTGCAACAACCGAATAATAGATTTCAATAAACACAAAATGAAGAAACAAGCATCATGCTGCTGACATTATCATTTTGAAACTCTGCAATATTACTTATTACCCCAAAAATGTTTATCGGCAATTTGCCCAAATTTTGAGGAACTACTTCTAAATTTAAGACCAATTTTTTTTTAAGTGCCATTAGAGGGCGCCCATCGGAGTGATGATGTCATTATGACTTCCTTTGCGTCAAGCATCCCCCACACTGCAATCTTTGTAACTTTCAAGATTTTTTTTTTAATGAACCCAAATCCACTTGACGACCTTTTTTTTCATCTTCAGATGAGTGTTTTCAGGGCATTGTTTTGAGCCGAAATGCAGAAGAAATTATACAATCATTGCACCTGATTCTGCATATCGGAGGTGAAATTTTACCATACGCCTACCGACTAAAGTGATTTCTAGCACAAGAAAACGAATGTGTATATAACATGTAATAATAGTATGGCACCATAGAGCAATATTAAATTACTAGAGCGCTAACTTCGTGTACAAAGTAATGCCTGCTGGGCGCATCCATGTTTGTGCACAAACCTATGGAGACCTACAAATTCTGTGCGGCTTTTGTACGGCTATTTGCATAATCTGCGATTGTATTCCATACCGGTGCATTATCGAAGCTAATACGCCCCAAAACCGAAACGCACGATTAGCAAATGAGCGTGTCATTTTGCTCTACACAAACAGCGCAACGCGTGCGCGTATTCGCTGCAGATGCTTCTTGCCGTCACGTACCGTCAATGACGCGCTTAACTTGTTTGCGTATGTTCTACTTGCGCGTTGCATGTAGAGTACACTTTCAAAACTCAATCCATCTAATTTTATTATGTTCTACAAACAGGCACATGAATTCAAAATGTCTGCGCCCTTCAAAGCGTCACCGCGCGCAGAATGACGAGTTAGTGCTCTAGTAATTTAATATAGCTCTATGTATGGCACTCATCTCTTGATCTTGATTTAATGAATATGAGTAGCCACAGTTTTTATTCCAAATTTCAAAGCTGTATTTATTAGAACCTAAGAAGAAGGGATGCTTTTTTGTGGTAGAAAGATATTTTTAATTTGGTGTTAAGTACAACATTTGATCTTTTCTTACTTCACATTATATTGGCCAGAAAATATGCCACCTTGTTTGTTTGTTGGTAACAAGTCTCCTGCCCTCCGTAGTCATGGCAACCAGACACGTTTGATGTTCACAAATGTGTTAGATATTAAATTCATCGACAAGTGCCCTGCATTGTTGCTCCTGGTAAGAGCGAGCTCGCCAATTAAATTAATCAACAAGTGCCCTGCATGGTTGCTCCGGTAAAAGCGAGCTCGCCAATTAAATTTATCGACAAGTACCCTGCATTGTTGCTCCTGATTAAGAGCGAGGGTTGGAGAGAACGCAGTCTGCAGTATACCACTGGGATCCAGTCTGGTAACATCAGAAAATGATGTTGCCAAAACGTCTCATCTTTGGCTTGGTAAGCCTTTGGCTTATGATCAGATGCAGTGATTGTAGTGGGAGGTGTGGTAGTTTTATGAGAGGGGTGTACCCCTGTCCTCCAGATTGGAAAATGGGGGCAGAGAAATGCTACAAAAAATTTGGCACGAATCTACCGTGGGCCGAGGCAAAACAGGAGTGCATCAAGATGGGAGGTGACCTGGTCATGCCACAGTCTCAGGAGGAAACTGAGTTCATCGTGAAGCATGTGTACCACTGGTTTTGGATCAACTGCAATGATCTTGAAATTGAAGGTAAGTACGGACTCTGTATGTGAACAGTAGATGGTCAATTGGACAGCCTCTGTGAAAGGGGGCGACGCAAAGCCTCGGGGGTACTTGCGCGTGGAGTCCAAGGTAACAATTTACTTTTAAAAACGGATTCAAGCAACTAGTCTGGAAGGTTTGATTCAGTATACATACCATTCAACTGAAATTACTCCTCAGCTTCACGTACAAATCAAAATTAGAAATTTGATTATAATTTTTGAATTATATATTATGCCACTTCGTCCAAAAAAAAATTAATAAGAATAAAAATCTGCATACTGAATTGCCACAGAATACCGTTTATACGCCATTTCACATTGAACATAAGAAACCTAGTTTTTTCAAGCGTGATCAAATTTTTCAGTGTCTTCTCTATTTATTGTTTACGTATATACTTATGTATATAAATCCAGAAAATATGGGGGTCCAATTTATATGGTCAAAGTAAAAGAAAAAAAGGTTTTTTGTTGGGCAGAATTTCCTGCAAGCATTCGGAAAATCTCTTCTGTATGTTTGTACAAATAGGTACATGGGTGTGTCAGGATGGCACTACTGAAGTGGAGTACAGAAAGTGGAAAGCAAATCAACCTTCAAATGGCGGAGGTAGAGAGCATTGTGCATACGCGGGAAAATCTGGTTGGAATGATGTCTGGTGCCAGAATAATTCCCCCGTTATCTGCCAACAACTAAAGCTACAATATTAGATGTGACTGGCTTCATCATTGCCAATAATAAAGTGAATTTTTTTCGAAGATTGTAACTAAAGATGTTATTTATGAAGCAAGGCAGTATGTAGTGTTAGGCCAGTAATGTGGGATTCCTATTTGTTTGTATTCCTCAAATGGTGCTGTTCCAGCATCCGTATTGGCTCAAAATTATGGCTGATTGATGATTTCTGTAGTCAGTTGAAAGCAAATCCACAGCCTGGTATCAAATTACCAGAGAGCTAACTTATCTGAACGCAATGTAGCCTGCTGGGCGCATCCATGTTTGTGCACAAAACCTACAAAAAAGCTTGAAAATCTTGTTCGGTTTCTTTTTGGCATTTTGTATATTTGCTTATTTTTTTTTATTCCAACCCAATTCCAAAATGAAGCTGATCAGACCAAAACGGAAAAGCACAATCTGAAATGAGGGTTTACTCCACTCGTATGCACCACCTTCGTGAAGAAACCATGTCTTTGCAGTCACATTGTAAATCCCTAAACTGGAGATTTTGTGTAGTATTTCTTGTTTTGGGTTTGTTAATACTCAACTGTAACGTAAAACGGTTCGTCCTTTCGATATTGATTATTCAATTTTTGTAAGTATAGAGATTTTTTTTTTCTAAAAGCTACTAGTATTCGGGTCAGGGTTTAAAAATTAAAATAATTGCTGGCATGTGTCACTGGCTATTTGAATTGTTTGTGATGCATCGTATTGTTTTGACATGTGTGCATGCTTTATGCTGAATAAATTAATAACAAGCAGAATTTCCTATTTATTTCTATGGTTCTCGTATGTCTTTGCCTCTAAAGTAGGGTTGGTCAGTCGAAAGAAAACTAAAAATAAGAAAAACATATTGAAGTTGAACCCTTATAGTGGAATCCGGTGACCAGAATTAGAAGCTTTTACTGCGGTGGTGTCACGCTTACGCTACACGCTTTCTTAAAGACGAGGTTCCCGCGCATTTTGGTATTCCTATTGGTTGAAGGAGCCCCAAGTGCGTGTGTACTACCCGAGTGCAACTTACGTGAGCCTGGTGCCACCGCAGAAAGTGGCTGCTGCCGGATTAGTCTATAGGTAAATGATGCCAAGTGCGTATTGTCTCTAGTTTTGTTAAATTGCAATGAGTTTATCATGAGTTCATATCAACGAGTAAAATAATGAAACCATATTTGGCAAGATGTAGTTGACTTACATTATATCTGCACCAAGCAGCTCACCAACGTTTTGGACATAGGTATATTATAGACACCTAATATGATGAGAGGCAACATCCTCTCATCTTCTGGAATTCCACTGGTTGGTATACGCAGTACTTCGTGTAAAAATCTGGTATTCATTTTCAATAGTTTTCTAATAATACAGAGCACGATTGCCTGAATTTTCATATTCAATTTTTTTCTTTCTATTTTGTTGTTGTTGCTAGTGGGCTTCCAGACAGGGTCAGCGGTAATAAAAAAAAAATTCTTGGGGAGGGGGGTGGGTTCGGGGGGCCAAAATAGAAAATAGGTTCAGTCAGAAATGAGAACCAAAGAAATAAAAAAAGGATGTTCTTAAGGAGAGTCGACTGTACCTTGAGTTCTTTGGCCCCGCCGCTGCTGGCCGCGGAGGCAATCTTCTGCAGCTGCTTGACTCTCTCGCTGAAGTCCGACACCCACTGGATGACCGTCAGTCCCGCCGGCACCGTGTAGCGATTCCAGCTCTTCGGTAGGATCCCCTTGGCCAGGTCCCCGATCAGCTCCCGGTCATGATTGGTCTGCTTCTTCCGTCCCTCGCACACCAGGACCACGCTCTGCATGTCGGTGCGCACGTCGCGCAGCAACGTGGCGCCGTGGTTGATCTCCCGCTCAAAGAAGCGGAAGAGCGGGTCCTTGATGTTTTCGGCGGTGCGCTTGAGTAGAGTCAACGACTGTGCAAAAATGTGGATTATAATGAAATACATTGTTTTTGGTGGGTGGGCCGTCACTACTTTATGGGGAAGTTTTTTATTGTTAGGCAAATTAGGACCGAGTTATGGGGACTTTCTGCTGTCCCCACAGCGTCTTTGGTCCCCATAGTACCATGGGACAACTCGTGTGTCGTCCCTACAACTACGAAACAAGTATGTATTTGGTACTTGGTTGGTTCTTCTCCTAAGGACTTCCACAAGGGAGTATAACTAGGAGACCAGAAACACCGGGGCAAACCCCTTCTCTTAGCGATAAGCGTTACTGGGTTCTTTTACGTGCGTTTTACAACACACGGAACCTCCAGCTTAACGTCCCATCCGAAGGACAAAGCAATAATGGTTAAGTGCCTTGCTTAAGGGCACAAGTGTCCGGGCCCGGACTCAAACCCACGCCACTGTTGCCTCTGAAACACCACAGCATGAGTCCGGTGCTCTTAACCGCTAGGCCATGACACTCCGTGCGTAGGCATGGGCTAAATTGCCACTCAAATGAGGTCTATACCTTGGGGATGATAGACATCCAGTTCTTGACGGACGTGTGTAGGATGCGCATCCATGCTGGCCTGCCATCAGACGTAGATCCCGGCCGTTTCTTCCTCTCGGAGGCTGGGGTGGTGAAATCATCCTCCTCATCCAGCATGGACATCTTGAGAAGCTTGGAGATCATACTGGCTCCTGGGCAGGGTGTTAACACAAAGTTACGTTGGCGAAGGGCAAAACCTCAAGTTGAAAAAATGTACATCTCTCAAATGCAAACTTCTATCCAACAAGTTATTGATTTCATCATCCGATACTATTTTAGATTCATAGGTGGGGGAGACAGTGTGGCGGGTGGACAATTTCCCCCCCCCCCTTTCATGTTTTAAATTTTTTTCTTTACCGCTCACTCTTGAAGACAACATTTAAAAATAACTAAATTGTAATGTTTAAATGGCGCTTTCCATCGTATCAACAATCTCAAAGCGCTTTACAATTATTACCCCGTTCATCAGGCCATGAGACCACGCGGCAGCCGATATCAGCGCTCAATCGGTCCTCTACCCTCACAGGTAACCATTCATACTTCTGGGTGGAGAGAGGCAATTGTAGTTAAGTGTCTTGCCCAAGGGCACCAACACCATGTTCCTGCCAGGGTTCGAACCCACGTACATTATACCATCCTACATGAGTCAAACACCGTAAACCACTGGAGCATGGCATTCTTGAATACCCATCTTCTGTGTTCCTCCACTTTCAGAAACATTCAGCCGCCACTGATCAGACTTCCCAGACCCAGGCAGCTTTACTGGTCGAGTGGTTAAGACGTCTGCACTTGTAAGCAGGAGGTTGTGGGTTCGAGTCCCACTCGAGTAAGATTATAAATTCATTTTCTAGCAAACTCTTGGACTTGACACCAACAAAAAATTCCACCAGACAAATCAGTGTATTCAAGGTTCAAGAAAAGCTTTGCTTTGAAAAACAGGGTACCAACTAAAAATTCCATGCAATGTGAACTTTTTTTGTTATCTGGTTCCCAGCAGATTTTTGCTTAGCAAAGAAATTTGTTAAGTAATAATTTCTGCTTCAGGAGGCTCCAATGACATTAACCCCTATAGTTTTACCTAGGTTGGTTAGCAGCACTTTCTCGGCATTGTTCGGCAGTCCGAGCCATGATGGTGTCTGGTTCTCTGGTAGTCCCTCTGCCCACTGCACAAACTGCTCACGTCTGAGTGTAAATCGAACAACATGGGAGTCAATGAGACAGTTACAACATGGCACGGATCAAGTCAGTTCATGAAAACGGGGCAGGTATCTGCAAAGTTTTGTCTTCATATTAGGGAAGGCTTCAATAATGACTATCAGCAGAGCGGGTGGAGTCTGCTGATGAAACAACTCCCCTGACTACAGAAGGGGAGAATGGTGGGCTTGTGAATCACAAAATCAAAAAAAAAAGAAAAAGAAAAAAAGAGAAAAACATAAATAAAAATAAACACTCCAAACCCCCCCCCCAAAAAAAATCCAACTTCTGAAACTTGCATTTAAAGACCCATGGTGAAGGGACACAATCATAAACGATAAAGACAAGAATGAAAAAATACAGGGCGAGTAAAAAAAAATGAAACCCAAATGTTGGGACCACTGTTTTAGTGAAGTTCTACATGTAGCACTTTCAAAATCTAGGATATGAAAGCCCCGTTCATAAGCTTTCTTTTAGTACAAGAATCATTCAAATCACTCATGTACTTTTCAAGTTACGGAATTTTAAACACACCCACCGTTTTAAGGTTCTGTCCACGGATCACAAAAAAGTTCAGTGTTCTTTCTGCAAAACGAAAACAAATCACATAGGGAAGTGTGTGAATTGTTTTCGTGTGCTGAAAGAACGCACACCTTTTTTGTGATCCGTGGACATCCGTAACTTAAAAAGTACATGAGTGATTTGAATTATTCTTGTACTAAAAGAAAGCTTTTGAATTGGGCTTTCATGTCCTAGATTTTGAAAGTGGTACATGCAGAACTTCAATAAAACAATAGTCCCGACATTTGGGTTTCGATTTTTTTTACTCACCCTGTACTCCATTTGATTTCATTCAAGAATAAGTTGGATGCTGAAATTTCGGATCCTTGATTTTGGTCCCGTTTTCACAACTTTTTTCCACCACAGCAGATCTCATTTTGGAAATATTTCCGGAGACTTTTCTTACCTGATTCCGTCGGGCATGTTGATGTTCCTGCCCTTGCCGTCGATATCCTTGATGAGAGAGAAGTCCGACTCGAAGCTGCTGACCCTGAACAGCTTGTTGACGAAGGCGGTCAAGAGACGCTGCAGACAGGGGGTTAAAAAGGTGGGCGTGTCAATCACAAGTCAATCATAAGGCAGGTCATTAGTCATGTCACAAGTTAATCACTAGTCAAATCAAGAGTCAAAACTTAACGGCAATCATTGGTCAAACACAGGTCAGGTCACAAGTCCGCCACAGGTTAGGTCACAAGTCTTGTCACATGTTAATCACAAGTCAAAATCACATGTTAGACAAAAAATCAATCCCAAGTCAAATCTCAAGTTAAACCACAAGTCAAATAAATGGTGTCAAATCACAAGTTGATTGTCAAGTAAATTACAAATTAAATCACAAAGTCAATCACAAGCCAAATCGCATGTCAGACCCAAGTCAAATCACAAGTTGATCACAAGTTAGGCCACAAGTCATGTCATACCTCAAACACACGTCAAATCTTGTGTCAGACACAATTCAATAGCAAGTCAAATTGCAAGTAAAATCACAAGCCAAATAACCCATCAAATCAGCCAGGGCCCTATTTAACAGAGCATCTAAGCACAAGACATTTCTGCCGAGAGAGCCTCCATCTTTTTCACAGAGAATTCAAGTGGTTAGCATAGTGCATAGCATTCCTAATTCTGCATAAGAATGTTTGCTGAAGCTGTGGATGATCTTGTAGTTTCTACAGAGTTTTTTTTTTCTGCTACAGTTAGCACAAATTTTCTTCCAGTCTTCAAGCAGCTCCTGATACTCCAGGGGCCCATTTCATGGCGCTGCTAAGCAGGAAATACTGCTTATAAAATTTACGTGCTAAGCATAAAATGAGCAAAGTACCAGTCAACAACAATATACATCACATGAAATTTCCCTGGTAATCTGTTTTTGCTAAGCAAATCTTTTCCACGCTTAGCACCATTCTGTGCTTACCAGCTCAATGGTATTGGATCTTACCTGGTCAAAGTCATTGTCAATGCGGCCGCCATAGATGCACTGTGACAGGAGGGTCTTGAGGGCGTCCCAGGGAACCTTGTCTGGAGGAAGATTGGACCGACCCTGCAAAGGAAGAGAGGTGGACACAATCAGCCCTGGAAACTCAAGTCATAATCTTTGGCTTTATCTCTGGGCTTTCGCTTCATGAGATGTTTAGGCCCACATTCTTTTCAATGATGGTTAAATTTATAAGAGTCCAGTGACAGTATGAACACTTGAGGGGAATTCCATGCGAAAGAGGACATGTCTGAAAAGTTGAAAATATGATGTTTCCATAACAACAAAGTAGCTTTTTGCAAAATGTCATTGGTGTTTGTAGAGAGTAAAGCTTTATCTACCACAACATAGTTATTTCATGAAATTCTTGCAGACCTTTATCAACACGTATGAAAGTCAAAACCTATGTCTGAATACGTAATGTCTGCAACTGTCATTTAGAGTGCTTATATCTCATTAATTAATTCAGCTAACACTATGTTAACCATGTCACGCTACACATTAAGGCCTACGCTAGAGTTGTACCTAATATGTAAAATTTCCTTTCACTGCAAGTAGTTTATTTTGTTTTTGAAACTGGCCAATAGGCTCTGAATGTAAGGTCAGCAATGATGGAATTGTTTGTTTGTTATTGTTCACAAAGTATAATATGCCAAAAATACATTTGCAATGCTTCACAGACGACAAAACTACAATTGGACAGTTATTCTCCAATTACCACACTTTTGTGCCTAAAGTGAATTCTTAGTAGATGTTGCAGCTTCGATCTGATCATGCTTGTTCATCTTTGACAAAGCATTTCTTGTGTCTAATTTCACACTGTTGTACAGAGCACTGTACAATGTATGAAATCCAACCAATCTCAAAGTACTATGAGTTTGATGAAGCAACTGATCCCTGGCTGTATACAATCAACTCTGTTGATACACATTCAGCCGGACGTGGCAAAAATGTTTACGTCCAACTTTTTGTATTCAGAGGAGTGCTAGTTCCATTAAAACCCTCCTACTATTTAAGAGGTCGCAATCGGTCAAAATTGTCTTCCCCCTGGCATACTGTGTACAAACCAATGGGGGTCTTGACCAATATTGACCCAAGTGATAACCAGGCTCACAATGCATGTTTCCATAGGAGGGTTAACTGAGCATGCACTGTCAGGACTGAGGCTTTATGCTCACTACAACTAGAATTTTGTTGTAACCAAATTTGTAATAACTACAGTCAGCTGTAAATACCTTAGCGGCTGTGTCAATCCAGATGTCCAATGTGTCGCAGGCACAGCGCAGGTCTGAATCGCTGAACTCATACTTCTTGGCCCAGCCTAGGGGTGAGTAGGTCAAGCGTTCCTGGACGATGGCATGGAGCCAGGCAAGGAGGAAGTACAGGCGAGCACGCTCATTGGGCGCCTACGGGAAATCAAATGATCGCCAGAATGGTAAACCGTCATTTATTTATTTAATTTTTTTAAGTTGTAGCACATTCAATGGAGCCCACTGGTTTCCCATGGGGCCCAGTAAAGAAAAGATAATAAGGAGAAATTACAGTTTTAGATGTTGGAGGCACACCCCAGAGGAACATTCTGAGGAAGACATATCGGCCCAGGCAAGAATCAAAATTGATTTAAAAATGAAATTATTCATCCAAATTTTTTGCTGTGGTAGAAATCGGCACAAAACACCATGGTGTCAGACATACTCAAATTGAGATTTTGTGTGTACTTATTATTTTTTTCAGTTTGAACAGCTGAACTGTTGACCATTCTTAGAAATAAACAATATTTCAATGAAAACAGAAAATAAACTTCAAAATGTGAATGATATACATGTTTCATTTGTGGCATTTGGATTTTTTTAAAAAGTTTTAACACTGATGTTTATAAATCTGTGGAATTGCCCAGATATAGACCGTGCCACCTGCAATGTCATGCTGACAGACAACTGAATGGCTAAACAAACAATTGTGTTATTTTGCTTTGATTTACATCATAAAACAAAGATGGATTGTCTTACCTTGTTCATACGTGACGCAGGGACGGTGCTGAATGTCTTGAGCAGGTTAGCCTTGACACCTGGTGGAGGCTCGAAGACCAAGATGCGACCAGCTCGCAGCAGGTTGACTGGAACCTAGGAGGCAATGAGAAACAAAACATCAAATATACTTGGAGAACTTTTTACTGTTCTGCACTAGGAATGACCCATAATACAGTGTTTCAAGCAAGTAAGGCTAGGTTCACACATTCCCGAATTATTGCCACGAATACCCCGATCTATCCTGAATAAAATATTCTTGATGGCATCAGAAGAAATTAGCCCCGATTCACTGTTTGTAAGAATAACTTAAGAGTGAAACAGAAATAATCAAGAACTAGGTACGAATTGGAAGCCGAATCAGATCGAACCAAACCGAATGATTGCTATTTAGTGCAGAATAAACTGAACTGTAGCGATTTTGTCAAGAATAACACATGAATAACTCCACAATTATCCAGAATGACCCAGAATTATGCCGATTTTGTGTATTAATAAGTCATTCGTATAATATTCGTACATTACCCCGATTTACCCCAACAATTTTGAACATGTCCAAAACTGTCTGGGCTCTTCCCGATCTATAACGATCTTTCACCGAACAAACAGAATCATCCTGAGGCAGCCAAGAACCATTCCCCGATTTACTCAAGAATTGCTATTCGGGGCGATTCAGCTTAAAAATCGGGAGTGTGTGAACCTAGCATTAGGTTCCTCAGAGCAGGGATGTAGTTGAGTCCCTGCAAGTCCATCACAAGTCCTCCAGTCACAATTCAAATCACAAGCTATTCAAATGAGCTTTGATAAAGGCATTCCTTTGTAGTATTTGTGATGGACTTGTGATGGACTCGACCACATCCCTGCCTCACAGGTCTTTGTTTTTTGCACTTCGATGTTGGGAAGAAGTCAGTGCAGAGTTGTGATCAAGTCAAGCACGGTACGCTCATAAGTCAATCTCTAGTCAAGTCTCATGTCAAGTCACTAGGCTATGCCTTTGTCATGGTGCATTTGAACAGCTTGTCACTGAACGTGACAGTGGATGTCTTAACTGACACGGAATAACTTGTGAGTGGCTTGTGAATCACTTATGATGATTTGTGATGGGGGTGTGGCCTACTCAAACTTGGTTGTGGTTGCTTGTGATTGACTTGTGATCGACTTGTGATTACTTGAGATTCACTTGTGAATACTTGTGATTGACTTGTGATTACTTGAGATTGACTTGTGATTACTTGAGATTGTCTTGCGATTACTTGAGATTGACTGGTGATTACTTGAGATTAACTTGTGATCACTTGTGATTACCTGTGATTGACTTGTGATTATGTGTGATTTATTGTGATTGACTTGTGATTACTTGCAATTGACTTGTGATTATTTGCGATTTATTGTGATTATTTGTGATTTATTGTGATTACTTGTGATTGACATGTGATTGTTTGAGATTGACTTGTGATTACTTGAGATTGACTTGTGATTGACTTGTGATTATTTGTGATTTATTGTGATTACTTGAGATTCATTGTGATTATTTGAGATTGATTTGTGACGACCTGAGCTAACTTTTGATTACCAACTCAGCTGACAGACGGACAAAGTTACCTTGGGGTTGATCTCCATAGTCAGGAAGAGTCTGAAGCTGGGATGCGGTGACAGACTGTGCAGCTTCTTCTCCAGTTGCACCAGCCACTGGGGAGCCAGATGCACGTTCTTCAGCATCACCCACCTGAAGAGCAAAACATGAAAAACTCATTACTGGGTGCGTTCGAGTAGCTTCCCCAAGTCAACTCGGGTAAAGGCGGACGGGTTGGCCACAAAAGCCAGGCTAAACGAACACTCACACGCCCTCATGATCCTCATGCCATACTCAAATGCATATCACACACATTAATAACTTGGGAAGAGTGTGGCCTAATGGTTAGGGTTTGTGACTCATGATCAGAGGGTCAGGGGTTCAATACAGCTGCTGGTCATATGTTGTGTCCCTGGGCAAGCCACTTCACCCGCACTCGCCTCTTTCCACCCAGGAGTATAAATGGGTACCAGCATTTGCTTGGGAGTAACCTGCAATGGACTAGCATCCCATCCAGGGGAAGTAGAAATATTCTTAGTCGTTTCATGCTACTGAAACCGGAGATAAACGCCGGCCTGATGGGCCACATTGGCTCGTGACAGACTTTACTTACATCAGTAACTTGAGGCACACGTGAAATCTGAAAACCATTAATCTCCATATGAAAATCTGGATAACCCATTAGCTGTTAGAAAGTGGAGGCACCGTCAGCCATATTAGCACTCCAAGAACAGATTTGACATATACACTTTTTACTCAACAAATTATCACAAGACATCACAAGTCAATCACAGAGTTATTCAGTCTCGTGTCAAGTTACAAGCTATTCCAATAATCTGTGGCGCAGGCGTTTCTTTCTATTTTTTCCGTGCTTCAATCCTGGCCAAATCTCGCTGGGCCCCAATCCCCCGGCCCCCGTTCAATGTTGTCTCTCATTGCGCGGTGTGTGCTCCATCAGCTGGAGAGAACAACATTGACCAGGGGAGCGGGGGAGTGGGTGACCGTGGTAGGCTCAGGAAGTGTCCCAACCATTTTGGCCGGGATTGTTGGTTTTCTTGTGTCCCAACCTGTGCTGTGATTTGTGATTGACTTGTGATTAGAAGGTGAAGACTCTCTCTGACTACAATATCGGCAGACACTGCTTCTGCGAGGCGCAGTATTTCGGTTAACTTTTAGACAAAATATGCGGGTGGGTTTGCTTACTTTCCGGTCTTGGAGGCAGAGTTGATGACCTTGTCTGCTTGACTGAAACCCTCGGCGGAACCTTAGCAAGAAGAGGAACAAATTCATTGATACGAGTTTCTGTGCTGGACACCACTTAATTATGCATCAATTCTCAGAGGGGCATTCCAGATTGGCCATAAGCCCCTCCCATCTTTGGTAGCTGCCATGGTCACCTGACCAAAAGCAGTGATCTAATTGGTCAATACGCACTGTTTGACTGACGGGCAGGAAGGGTTCGTACTAAAAAATGAGTGGGCTGAACACAATCTAACACTAGTTAGCATTGTTCAGGACAGAAACTTGCACGTACACGTACTTACAATGTGACAGAGAGTTTCAGGAGTTAATATTAAACTTAAAGTTCCCCTTTGCCTAGTCATGTTGGAGAGAGGACATCATGATTGGTATCTTGTTTTTATGAGTTTTCATACCAAACTCTGGGAACATATGAACTTGTGGACATTTTGCATTTCAGTTTCATATCTAGCCTTGGCTTCAAAATATTAGGCCCTCAGTTGGAAAGGGGGGGGGGGGGGTTTGGAAGGGGGGGGGCTTTGGCCCAAAATAGATGTAATTCAGCTTCAGAAACATCAAATCAAAAATATGGGGCAACATTTTGGAGTATTAACTGGAAATGAAGATTTCTGAATGATTCTGGGACCAGAGATAAAGCCGACGCTGGAGACGAGGCCAGGGTTCGGGGAATGGCTCCTGCCTTCTTACCGATGGCAATAGAGGACAAGCCTTTGTTGACCTCGGCCGCTAGGTCTTCCACGCGGCTGCTGGCGTCGTAACCTGGCACAGAGCACAGCAGGACTGGAGTGCTGCACTTCAACTGTGAAAAAGAAAACTCACCAGATCAGTCAAAGCTTTATTTACAAACAGTGCACAGGGACTGAATTTATTGCTGTAATATGCACCTCCATTGCAGTAATGTCAGTAAGCTGTCTGTCCTTGCTAGCCAGGGCAGCCTTACGTTGTAGGACTCCCTGGCAAACTAGGTCCAAATCTGTGCTATGTTGCTCAATATTTACAACAGCTACTTACAGGGTCAACTTTGTTAGCTAGTAGGACGCTTTTCAGGACAGTACAGTGCGCTGCCATTTAAAGGGAAAATTCAACATTTGCAAACATCAAAAAATAAAACCACCAAATTATTTTGACATACCTTGCTGGACTGTTAGTGAATGACAGTCTAAAGCATCCTGTAAAATCATGGGACCTGATACACTGTCATTTTCAAGAAAAGTTGTATTTTCGTATCAATTTCCAACGCTGGTCGGCCAACCAGCGTTGGAAAAAACTGGCTTTTTTCAAATACTGGCCCCAATTGACCATATTTAGTTAGTCCGCATTTGTTTGCAATCGATTACAAACCTAGGAACGGGTACAAGCCAGCTAGACTGGTTCCCTGACCTTACAATTTCCCATCGTCCATAAATTGTTCCGTTTCATCTTAAATTGAGTCAGGGAACCAGACTACAGGAAAATGATTGTTTTTCTTGGATGTTATAGCATCTACGACCCAAAACGTCAAAAAAGTCAGCGTACCAAATTTGCTATATATATTATCAACCCCCCAAATCCATCCATTTCAGAAAATTACAGCAAAAGCAAATGATGTATATTCCCTTTAATGGTAGGAGGTCAATTCTGGGTCCGATTTTGTAATGAGTAATCTGATTAGTCAGAAGTTATATGTTAGTCACATTTGGATTTTTTTATGAATAATTAATCTCAGGAGGTTAAAACAGGAAAGTATGGACTCGGTTTGTTCGGTTTGCCAGAAAATTCTGTTCTTACAGTAAGCGTATTTCATGGGTTATCGAGGGATTTTGGCTTATGCGCATGCATACATCCCATAACTATGGATTCTGTGCTTACTGGTTAGCACAAAATTGTTCTGCTCGCGCAGTTAGCACAGGATGATGATCGTAAGCGCAGAATTCTGTGGTTACCAGAGCCATGAAATTGGGCCCCGGTCTTCGCCTACCTCGTTCTCCACCATGTTGGATAAGTCCAGTTCTTGCTCGGCTGAGTGAAGGAACTGCTCTCCAAAGACGGCCGAGACGAAGAGTTGACAGGATGCTAAGAGACGGTCTGGCCGGAATGTCTGGATGATGAGCAGACGGTGCAGGGCCTGACCGATCGCACCTGAATGATAAATTGGCGTCAAATAAAACCATTTATGGCTTCTATTTACAATATGATTTACATGGAAAGAAAGTCACGGTTCAAAGCGCTGAATGAATATTTCATAACAAATACAAAAATCAACAAATTGGTAATTCAAAGTAACATTGCTTTCCCTAAGCTCTTTAACCCTAACTCCCTAGGGAGTGTGCAAAATCGTATTGAAATTGGAGGATTCAGGACTGTTATGGCTATTAAATTCACTTACTTTATTTTCCCTAACAATTTATTGATTTATAAGTTTTATTTCAACGGAAAGCTCCTTTTGTTCTATTTTAGGTGTCTGCAAAACAGGTTTACTCGGGGTTGGTTTTGCACCTAATGCATTATTGTCAGCCACAAAGAATTCAAGTCTGTACTTCGCCATTTTTGTGGCGAAGCTTGAAGGAGCGATTAGTGCAAATTTAATGTAAAAAGACTTCATAAAAATTTGTTGAAAATGATTGGTCATGTTAAAACCACAGCTTTATCAGTTGAGTAAGTGCACATTCTGGACACCGATTGATCCCATTCTTAATTTTGAGTGTCACTCTTTGCCCTATTCATTACAGAAGAATATCAGTAAAACAAACACAATGGGGGCCACAAAAGGTTGTTTGTGATCTGTACGGCAATGTTCGGCTGCTGATGCTCTGTACAATTCGACAACAAATTTCGCAGCTAAAGGAACGTTTGTTCTAGCCAAACATTCAGTATGGCAGTGTTAGTTATAGCGTTGTTCGATGGTACATGAGATCTGCATTCAACTTACTCAGAGGTGACACCTCCTTCCAACAGGCAGGGACGTTATTCTCTGGTCCAACACTCTCTGACCACTGGCCAAAATTCTACAGACAAAGAATAATCCAAAAAGATAGTCATCAGTATTCCAACCGTGAAATATCACGTACCAAACAATTTTGTGATAAAAAGTGTAACGAAAAGTATAGATGCAGCAGTTTTTCAAAATCTGAAACTGTCAACATAAGTATGAGAACAGTTCTTGACAATAACTTTTGCCGTCTTGGGCAACAACCCTTCACCAGCCAAAAACCACAAAACTGAGTTTGCAGAAGGAAAAGACCTTTATCAGGGTACGCCATCTTGAAAATCAAAGTGAGGCATACAACAAACATGGCGGCGTAAATAGTGTGTGCGGTGAATGAGTGACTCTCGCAAAGTGACACTAAATGGAAGGATTGTTCAAATTCCCCAAAACATCAATCAACATTCTAGGTAGGTCAAAGCCCAAATGCAGTGGCCAAACTGATGTTTCCGTGTTAGTTTAATACGTGTAGCACTGCCGTCAGATCAGAACAACGTCAAGACTTTCTTTTTTTCATTTTGTTTGTCTGCGTTATATGCCTCACTTTGATTTTCAAGATGGCGTAACCTAATAAAGGTCTACGTCAGAGCAGCAAGCATCCGTATCAGGTTGTCGTACTTACCTGAAAATTTTCCATCAGAATACCTACCATAAGCTTAATTTGTAAGGGTAGAAGTTTCAGAAGCTTTGGGATTTGCTAAAAAAAAAATTTCCCTTCAAATCTTGGATTCATGTCTGGTTTCAGGAGATTTTAGGCCCGTAACGATGGGGAATTGAGCTCAATGTTCTTCTTTAAAAAACACTGCATCCCATAAAGTCATTCCAAAGTTTAGAATTTATGAAAATAATTTTGAAGCTACCATTATCCAACCCCTTTTTTTCTGGATTTTTTGTAAAAAAAAAGCTGAGTTGACCAACCCACCTCTTTTTTTTTTAATAAAATAGAAAACGTAATTTTGTTTATTGGCCTGATCTGGAAGCAGAGATGAAGCCAGAATTGGAGATGAGAAAAGTGAGGTTTGAAAAAAAAAAAAAAAGTTGCATTTTCCGTTGGAAAGATTTTCACGGCTACTGAAGAGATTTGTGTATTTATTCCAAACCAGGGGTGCGTTTTGGCGGTCATAACCAAAAACTGGTTGTGTTGTTTCTCTTTGGTTAATTGCTTTGGGGGTTTAAGTATTGCATTGTTGTGAGTAATTCTCGTCCATTTAAAATTCCCGAAGAAATTCACCGACAAGAAACAACCGAACCAATTCTTGGTTATGACCGCCAAAACGCACCCCAATTTCTTGTAAGCGTAATCATGTTTGGTCACTTTCTTTCCCATTTTCCTCTCCAAAGACAGAATAGTACTCTCTTAAATTGACGATATTCAGTTTCATGTCAACCTCAGATGTGCAAATTGTGCAGTTACACAGTGTTACCATAGGAATGAATGCACATGGATGATGAACACTGTCTCAGGAAATAACTAGTAAAGGTAACAAAGATGGGTATTGCTCTGGGGAGGTTAGTTATGTGAACAAATCCAGTTATAACTATGTATAGACAAATTGTACATTTAACAATTGTTGACTAGTGTAATGTGGGATATGACGTTTTTAACACCCGAGGGGCGTATAGCACCCGAGGGGCATATAGCACCCGAGGGGCTATAGCACCCGAGGCGAGTAAGCACCCCGAGGGGGTTAAAAACGACATATCCCACATCACAGCAGTCAACAATTGTTTAGTTATATCGTGCCACTAAGTCCAAAAGATAAATAGTTGTAACTTACTACGTGAGAAATAAATGAAATCACTGCGATGTAACCTTTGATAACTTCATGCTTTCCTGCCGTACATGAGACAGAGCGGTTTTCAGTTTTCAGTCGCAAGCGCGAGGGCAGGCTCTACATGCGCGCGCAATGCGAGCAATTTATACGCAGCGCATTTGGAATGCAGCGCATATGGAACGCAGCGCATATGGAACCCAGTGCATATGACTTTCTACAGACTGGACACGTGGCCGCTCCAGACCAACGAAATCACGGTATCCAAGCACATGATAAAACAAAGACATTTGTTTCGCTCTAACCACAACTATTAAACCCGGTTCATACTTCACGCGAATGCGAATCGAATTTGACGTCATGAAACATTCGTTGCGAAATTCGCCCAAGTTGAAATACGTTCAACTTTTACGAATTCGAAGCGCGAATACTTGCCATGATGTCACAAATTCGCGTTCACTTTCGCGCTGAGTATGAACCGGGCTTTCAAGTCTTGAAAGACTAGCTGCTAAAAATTCAATAAAAAAAAACCCAGTAAATCCATAAATAAGGAGAAATAACGTCAGGAATTCTAGGCATTGGGGAAATAAAAGGCTGCATGCCATTGCAATGGCAAGCAAAAAAAAAAAAAACCTTCGAGAAAAAAATAAATGAAACGAAAACATGCACTGTTTGTGTACTAACCCGACGACTGCACACACCGAACATGTCTTCGGGCTGATAATTTGCATACAATGGCGTGAGAATGAACGAATACACAACATGCATGATGTTAGTAGGCAACAGTAAGACGAAATGTTGAAATAATACACGTCACACTTCAAAGCAAAAGAATATTCTAAATGACACATGATGAAACAATACATTCTATTTTCATGTTTCGAGACATTCACAAGTCAACATGCCACTATCTAAGATTACCACAGTGAAGTTATCAAAAATCACGAAAGTCTGTTTTTTTTTTAAACTTGATTATACCTCTAAAGCACAATGTTAAATGCATTACAAGTATTTTTTTGTCCAGATTGAAAAAGAAAAAGTACAGGCATCATAAAATTCAAAAGCAAATAAATTGTCTCCATCAAGACTTGATCTAGATGGTTTACAGTATAGTGTGTGAACAAGAGGCAACCACGGTTTTCAGCACGTCATCATGCACAAAACTTGACATCCCCACACAGCCATATTCCTTATGCACAACACCATTTTTGCACACTTCTGCGCACAATTTAAGTTGGAATTTTGTTGAGTGAATAACGATGATTTCATTTACAAAGCTTCTTAATTGAACTTCTCAAGGGCGGATCCAGGGGGTGCCAATGGGGGCCATGCCCCCCCCCCCAAAAAAACGACCCCAATTTTTCTTTTTTTTAAGTGACGTCACAATAAAGGCAGGCACTGTGCACACCACCTTCTTTTCCTCAAACAAAATTGGTCAAAGTGGTCAGAAATTGCCTTAGATCGCACCACAGAGCATCTAGAATCCAACAAAATTAAGCGGACCCCAAAATTTGTGTTCTGGATCCACCCTTGGAACTTCTTGAGCAGTACTGTATGTTAACAAGAATAGGCAAGTCTACTACAGCTGGCCCTAGACCCGTTGCGTCGAAAGGCATTTTCACACTAGAGCCTCTCAACCCGGGTTGAACTCAACCCTGGGCGAACCCAGAACCGCCCCGGATTGAATTTGTGATTTTTCAACCCCGCGTTCAACCTTGCATCGTTTCACACTTGATTCGTGCAAATCGAGCTTATTTCGCTCAGTTAGTACTGTTTTGAACCCAGGCCAAAGTTTCAACCCGGGTTGGAAATCTCAACCCTGGTCTAAAGCAGGCTTGAGTTCAATCTGGGTCAAAATCAATCTCAGGGTTGACGCAGGGTTGGCGGAGGCGGAGGATTGAAAATTTTCAAGTGTGAAACGGCACATGTTTTCAACCCTGCGTCAACCCCTCGTCAACCTCGAGATTTGTCTGGTGTGAAATGGCCTTAAGGGGTCTACACAGTCATCTGAGTTAAATTTTTGGGGGCAATATGAGGCTCGTGCAAGTCTAATTGACAAGTGACATTCAGTCAGTGAGATATTTACAAAGAGGACAAAGAAGAAATTAACAGGATGTTGACAATCAAGTTGAAAATTTATTATTAATCTTTAACCCTAATATACCTGAATCCATCAAAACCCACACCCCTGTTTCGGGGAATTTCGGCGGATTCAGGATACCTCCATATTGCACACACTGGGGGATTTTGATGGATTCAGGATTGGAAGCCTAGCGGTACTGCCGGATTTTGATGGATTCAGGATCTCAACAGATTTACTCCTGGCTAACTGGTGGTTTCTGATGGACTCACCGGCCACCAAAATCATTTTGCATGGCAAAATTGATAGATTTGGGCAGATTCAGGATACTTTCTAGTAAATATACCCGAGGGGTTAGGGTTAAGCAAATGATTAGTGGTACACTATGTTGCAAAATGCTTGTATTGGATCAGTAAATGCAAGTCCCAAGCTCTGCCCAACTCACCATCTTGGATTCCACAAACTGCAGCAGACCCTCGAAGGCCGGCAGCTTGGCCAGACGCAGCATGGACTCCACCTGCTCGTTGGACATGCCGGCGTATTTGGGCACCTTGGCGGTGGAGATGGTCTGCTCGGCGCCCCGGAGGAAGTGCTGGAATTCGGCGCTGTAGTCGGGCTCACTAAGGGGCGGGGAAAAATGAAAATTTGGTAAACTGGAGCAAGTTGGAGCATACACTATGGTTAAGTGAACCCTAACTGGACAAAAATGCAATAACCAGTGAAACAGTGAGAAATAGAACCACCAAAAAATTGTGCCTTTTTTCATTCATATGTTTCCTGACTGGGCTTATTTGATCAAGAGCAGTTCAAGTCAACTCCGTTCAGAATCGCATATTTATATCATGGAAATGAATAAAACTCCTGCAAACTGCTTACTGACTGGAATGACCTGAAATATACAAATAAAAAAATAGATGGCGAACCTTTCTCAGAGGTCCTGCCAGGACCAAAACGTTAGGCCACCTAATTCTTTTGATTTATTAATATCATGAATTGCAGCCGGAACTGAATGTTTAATACCACAAAAACAAAGAAATGATTAAACAAGCCACTTCACCCCACTTGCCTCTCTCTACCCAGGAGTATAAATGGGTACCAGCATTAGCTGGTGAGTAACCTGTGATGGACTGGCATCCCATCCAGGGGTTGTGCCCTTGGGCAAGCCACTTCACCACACTTGCCTCTCTCTACCCAGGAGTATAAATGGGTACCAACATTAGCTGGGGAGTAACCTGGGATGGACTGGCATCCCATCCAGGGGTTGTGCCCTTGGGCAAGCCACTTCACCACACTTGCCTCTCTCTACCCAGGAGTATAAATGGGTACCAACATTAGCTGGGGAGTAACCTGGGATGGACTGGCATCCCATCCAGGGGTTGTGCCCTTGGGCAAGCTACTTCACCCCCACTTGCCTCTCTCCACCCAGGAGTATAAATGGGTACCAACATTAGCTGGGGAGTAATCTGTGATGGACAGGCATCCCGTACGGGGGTTGTGCCCTTGGGCAAGCCACTTCACCCCCACTTGCCTCTCTCCACCCAGGAGTATAAATGGGTACCAACATTAGCTGGGGAGTAACCTGTGATGGACAGGCATCCCGTCCAAGGGTTGTGCCCTTGGGCAAGCCACTTCACCCCACTTGCCACTCTCCACCCAGGAGTATAAATGGGTACCAGCATTAGCTGGGGAGTAACCTGCGATGGACTAGCATCCCGTCCGGGGAGTGTGCCCTTGGGCAAGCCACTTCACCCCCACTTGCCTCTCTCCAACCAGGAGTATAAATGGGTACCAACATTAGCTGGGGAGTAACCTGTGATGGACTGGCATCCCGACCAGGGTTTGTGCCCTTGGGCAAGCCACTTCACCCCACTTGCCTTTCTCCACCCAGGAGTATAAATGGGTACGAGCATTAGCTGGGGAGTAACCTGCGATGGACTAGTATCCCATCCAGGGGGAATAGAAATATTCTCAGTTGCTTCATGCCACTGAAACCAGAGACAAGACCCGCCTGATGGGCCACACTGGCTCGTGACAGACTTCACTTTATTACTGTACTTGCAGCTCTATCAGATATCTAAGAATCATTTCTTGAACTCGGAACCAAATTACATGATATCTGATGACAAATCCGCCATCATTTTGGAACACGTACCTGGAGACGCCCCTCAGGTTGATGCGGCACAGTAGGATGCAGAACATGATGCGATCTTGGTGGAGCATGCCACGAGCTACGCGGTTATAAATCACCTACAAAAAGAAGGCAAGGAGGAAATAATGCGCTTCTTAAATCTAACAGTTTTGCACAAACTCCATAGGTAATGCTCCAAATACCTGGAAAATCATGACCTGAACCCTAACCCTCAATCGGATTGTCTATTGGCAGCTTGCTAAATTTAAGAGAATTACACGTGTGCAGCTTACTGAATCCAAAAAAATTTACAACAGCTTAAAAAAAAGTCTTCACTGGTGGAATTGACAGACTCCAACAGAAATAATAATAATACTAATACTTATATATTACCCAGAATGATACCTAAGGGAGACATTTCCATAGGGTTGGGCACACATTTTTTTCCAACTTTAATGACAGGGAATCTGCTCCAGGCTGGTCACCTCGTTCGCCACCACCTCCTCCTCCAACACTAACCCCAATACTGTTTCCAACCTTCGGAGACTGGAGCAACAGTCATAACACTCCATCGTTCACGAAGTAAGGCAGAACTTACTGCTGTGTTCATGGATCCAGACATAGTACATGCCCCAATCAGATTTCAGTTTGTGGATGAGAAAGGTGCAGATGCTCGGGGAACTATCACAGTCAACAAACAGTCAACTGCTCATCATTGGATCTTGTGTGCATTTTAGTCAGTAAGTTTACCTGGAAGAGATCCTTGGTAATGATGGACAGGCGTGAGCCGTGCTCGCTGACGTTGTTCAGGTGTTCGTTTTCCGACAGCACGGAGTTGAAAATCTCCAGGAAGAACTTGAGGGAGTACTGGTACAGGAAGTGCACCTGGAGAAAACAAAGAACAAACGAAGAGTTTTTTTTGACAAATTGGTCTCTCTTTGCCTGTATTATGTCGAGCGTCACCTAATGAAGCACAAGTCCACTTTGATTTTTTGTTCACCAGCACTTTGCCGGAGTAACAGCTTCACCTCAAATTGCAATCATTTGTTAGAAAGTCGCAAATGAAATGCCTTCTTGACAAGCGTCCTAGAAGATTTATCCATTCCTAAAGGATCTATGGGGTCCACGCATGAAGAAGAGAGGGCGCCTTTTTACCACTTTCCAGAGCACAGTGGACGGGACACATGGCATGTGTGTATCAGTTGTGCATATAGTGCGAAGAACGCACGACTAAATTTATTCTGAATGCGCGCAAAGCCATGGCGTCTTTGCGTGAGCATCAGGCATGCTCTCCCCCCCTCCCTCCCCCCAGTTGTCTCCCCGACTCTTCCTTCTAACTGTGGTATGTGCAAAAAGCTCAAAGTCAAAGACAGAGTAAATACTTAGGCAACTCTTGGCCCCAGAGTAAATGTAGGGTCTGTGGTATATGTCTCAATGTCTCCAAGTCCGCCTTAGAGTACCCATTTCTTTTCTTTTATATAAACTTTTATTGGTAAAAACATCTTCATGGTAAAACCTCAAGAATTCCAGTTTTTCAAGTGATGCTTTACAAATCCTTAAATCAGGAAAAATCCTAACAAAAATTCTGAAATCAGGGGATATCCTTACACAAAATGCTGAGATCAGGAACAATCCTGACAAAAATCCTTAAATCAGGAAAAATCCTGACAAAAATCCTTAAATCGGGAAAAATCCCAACAAAAATCCTGAAATCAGGGAAAATCCTGACAAAAATTCTGAAATCAGGAAATAGAAATATCCTTACACAAAATCCTGAGATCAGGACAAATCCTGACAAAAATCCTTAAATCAGGACAAATCCTGACAAAAATCCTTAAATCAGGACAAATCCTGACAAAAATCCTTAAATCAGGAAAACTCCTGACAAAAATCCTTAAATCAGGAAAACTCCTGACAAAAAAATCCTGAAATCAGGAAAAATCCGGACCAAAAATCCTGAATCAGGAAAAATCCTGACAAAAAATCCTGAAATCAGGAAAAATCCTAACAAATCTCACCCCTGACAAACCCATACCATCTTTGCATAAGCGCTAGGCATATAGCAGCAATGCGTTCCCATCCCTCCTAGTTCTCCCTTTGTGTGAGGGAGTACTTGTACATGGGGTCCACACTCTCCACATATGCAGTTCTTACCCTGTTGAGAGCCTCCAGAGTGAAGTACATGCTACTGCAGGACTGGGCCAAGGACAGATACTGCTGGGAGACGGTCTCCACCTCGGCCATGACCACGTCCGTCTCCTCCACCTTGCGTGTCACCTCGGCGGCTTCCTTCTTCAGTGTCTCCAGGGTGGTGATGATGCTACAAGACAAAACAATCAGAGAATGCAACTCAAAGAAACCATCAAAGAGTTTACAAATTTGTACCCTGAAGTTTTTGCTGAACCCAAAGAGATTTTCCTCTGATTGTCCGAGTCACTGAGTATAAGATCTGAGAAAGTGTGACGTCACCCATCCCCAAGTCAGGCTCACTTCCTGGACAACGGTTCATGTACATTCCAGAACGACAAATTTCACGATCACAGACAGCAAGTCTACATCCTACTTTTAGAAGGACATTTTGACAACTAAGTACCTGAAAATGGTCCACTGCCTTTCAGCAGATTGCCACTACACCAGTTATAACAACAGTTGTGCTTATTTTCACTCCAAGGAGGAGAATCAAGCTGATTATGAAATGGATTCAAACCAGCCATAGCGAAACCACGGCGCTCCCTGGACAGTCGAACATGCAATGAACATGCAACAGGTGTAGAGTATACGAGCATAAAGAGGAAGTATAGAATAAACTGGAATGCGAACTAGAAGACTGCCATAGCCCAATGTTACACATCATCACGTATGGGTTGTGCAGGATTCCATGACTTTTCCATTACCTTTTTGGCATGAAATATCAACTTTCCATTACTCATTGAAAAATAATAAAATTCCAAGACTTTCCATGATAGCTTTAAATTCAGGGTTGTCCATTTTTGATTACTTGAAACTGCGTTTAACCGAATATTCGGATATTCAAATCTGCCAGCTGCAACTGCGTGCTGAGTCGGTAAAAAAGTTGCCTGAAGAGTGCGCCAGTTAAAATCGGCGTGCGTCGATCGATATGGGGCGCTGGAGTGTTTTGCAGTCAGTATTTTATAACTGTAAAGGGCTTTCACCTGCTGAAAGGATGTGAACAATGAACCGCCGTCGACAAAAAAGTTACCATTGACAAAAAACTTGCACCTGACAATAGAGTGCCACAGCTTTACAATAAAACATCACAGTCGTGTGTATGTGTGTTTTTTTTTGTTTCTGTATATTCCAACTGGCAAAAGAATATTTGAATATTCGGTTGAAGATAGAATATTTGAGTATTCGATATATTCGGGACAGCCTTATTTAAAATTCCAGGATTTACCAGGATTTTTCCAGGACTGCGGGAACCCTGACAGTTACTTCTTTCTGACCTTGCTTACGATGTGACTTATGACTGACTTCCGTTTTACTACGACTCTGCTATATAAAATAGTCTAGGTCAAAAAAGGGCTACAGATTGAGTGAATAACAATGCATACTACTGGCATGTTACCTGTCATCATCCAGTATGCGTCCCTTGGTATCATTCAGAGCTTGCAGCAAGGATTTCTCCAGCTGACGAAGACGAAGGTTGAACTCGCCTGAGGAAAACAAGAAAAGAGACAAGTGACACACTGTGAGGTCAACTGTATGAAGACAAAACCAACAAATTTTATCTCCTATAATGGCCACCATCGAGATGGTCATCAGCCTTGCAGTTGGTTAATCTTTACTTAAAAAAATTGAAAGGGAATTTTTAGATTTTTTTTTATTGTTCTATAGCCTCCCTTTTGCTGCTAAAAACAAAACAAGCTGATAGCAAATGTAGCTAACTTTGGCTTTTAGCTTATAGCAAATGCAGCTAATTTTTGCTAGGTTTGAGAAAGTTTGTAAGACTGGGCCCAAAATTTAGAGGTTTGGATGAGATGACAGACTAGACATGACTTAAGAAATTTTCCAGTCATATGTCTCCTATTAAATAAATGTGACTATGTGACTATTGGAAAGAATGGCTCTAATAATGTAGGTCAGTATTAAAGTTGGAATGCTGTTGCTGTCACTTGAAGTAAGGATATTATGATGTTGCAAAACAGACGTATACAGCACTGAGGGAATAATAAATTGGTATTAGAACAAAATATGAATTCTAAGATGCGAAGGAAGTTACATACCTTGGAGTTTGAGAAGATCGGAGCGTTTCTCATCAACGTCAGGACGTTCAGCCTTCAACACCTGACAAAAAAGGAAGATTAAAAAATAAAATCAATTTCTACCTCTCTGATAAAAAATCAGTAAATAGCTAGACTCAAACCTTGAGTCTAAGGCTCGTTAACACTGAAGCCCTTAAAAACATGGACAATAATTGCTGTGACTACTGACAAGCTATAACTTCACATCAAAAAAGTTCAGCTGGCTCGTGCTTTCAAGCCAGATGAAATTATACGTCGTTCATAGGGGTTCTATCTCACACAAAATCATTTAAGAAATTATCACCCCTGAACCAGAAATCGAAAAAAGAATGCTGAAATTTTACCAAGTCTCACTTTATGATACGACACAAGATGCGGATGTCCATGACACAAATCGACTCAAGAAAGAATGTTACCCAACTCGACTCGACCTATTTAACCTAACAACTCAAATTGACTTGAGTCACCGCCTTGGAATGACTCGACTTGACTCAAGCCGCTGCCTCAGCATTACTTGACTTGACTCAACTCGACTCGAGTCACAGAAATCAGTGACTCTTTTACAACAGTGCTAACTTACCTGGTTCAGGCACTGGCTCTGCAGACTGCTCCTGGTGACGGTGAAGTTGACAAAGGTCACCCTGGAGCAGATGTCTGGAGAAAACTCCACCTGGAGAGGTGGATAAAAACAACAGTGGTAAAACAGGCAGCTGCTACACAGCTGGAAAGTCTTCGTAATAGAAAACAATGCCTAGTGCAACTGGATACAGAAAATGAAACTCAGAATGGCAGCCAATAGACTTAAGACATAATGACATCACACTTTGTTTGCATGTGTGCTTTCCTATGGGAGCCAGATGGAGACAAATGGCTGGCGTCCCCAACTGGCTCCCTTAGGAAGGCGTACATGTAAACAAAGCATGACGTCATTATGTTTTAGGTCTATTGCCATTGTTCTTGACATGACAGTAATATTTTGATATGAAAAAAATTGTGTTATTTTGATTAAAGGAGGGCACTTCAATTCAGAATTTTATTTTTATAATCTTTAATTTTTTAGGTTGATATAAAATTACTAAATCTGAAAATTTGCTTAATAAACTGGACATTCAACAGTTGGTACCCCCAACTCAGGTCATTTTAGCGCCCTCCGTGAGCTCAAAAATGCGATCTACTTGAATAGTCTTTATAAAAAAATTACAATTGTCTCAAAATGTGGATATTTATTAAGCTTAAAATTTCACAGAAAGTCTCTGCATACCATTCCTGAATACCAAACCAGTTCAAAGTTCAACTTCTTTTAAGTAACCAAGTAACCATGAATTTAAATATATAGCTTCACTCTTCCACAAACCACTATTTGTGCCTACTTCCTTACTGAGCCATTATCATAAAATCTAGATTCTCTGCTTACAGTTGGGTCTCTGGTCGACAGGAAGATCATGAAAGCTGGCGACAAATCGATGTCCTGGTCTCCCAAGCTGATGAGTACACGGCCGCCGGTACGCCGCACCTCGCGATTCAGCACAGGGTTCAAGATTGGATCGTAGTTCTCCACATCCTGGACAAAGAATGGAATCGAACCCATTACCACCTAAACTGCACTGTGTTACATATGACATTTTATCTTCACGATTATTCTCATTGAGTGCTTGAGCGGTTTTAGACGCTACAGTGAGTAATAGGCACAGCGGTTTTGGGCAGTATGGTGACTAAAGGGTTAGTTATTTTTGCTAGGAACCTTCCTGTACCCTCCAAAATCCACCATTGTGAAGAGAACAGGTGGAACATTCTTTTTACTGGAGTACGTGAAATTCAACAGGTGATAATCCGCGGTTTACCTTTGAGGTTTTTCGAGGTTCTACATGGTTTTACAGGGTACCTTGGAGTTCAACCTGGAGGAATTTTGCATTTATCCCTAAATTTCAAGGGGCATCAAGCCCAATGCAAAGTAGTAGTAGCTTTTCTGTTTCTTGCCCAATCTTACAAAATTCCTCGAAAACCGCGTTGTGGATTTGGGCAGATCTGTGAAGGTAAAAGTCAATAATTTTCTAGATTCTGCCAGCAAAACAATTATTTGAGAAGGATCGAGGCCCAATTCCACAGAGCTTTCTTGATGACAATATTGCTTTGTAAATTTCCGTGCTGAGCACAAACTCTGATGGGAACCAGTCACACACAGCATACATCGCATGAAAATTTGGCCGGTAATCTGGTATTATATATATTTTTTTCAAACATTTTTTAAGATGGCATGCGGATTAAAGATGTGGTGTTCCGAATGTAGATTTCCACAAGTATCGCATGAGGACACTAAAAAAATGCGAGACAATTGTTCCAATGTCCAACATTAACCAGTAATGACTTGATTCATGTTGTAAGTGACGTACTCACCTGCACCAGCAATGGGTTACCAAATCGCAGGGCGCTTTCCAGGTTCTTGCGGAATGCATCATCCAAGAAGCTGTAGAGGAAGAACAAGTCGGATAATATGAACATTATTATATCAATTAATTTATCACTTATATAGACTGTGAAGATGTGTCTCTCCAAAAAGTTTCTAAACAACTTGTGAGGGACTTGTGAGGGACTTGTGAGGGACTTGTGATGGACTTGCGATGGACTTGTGACTGGACTGGTGATGGACTTGTGATGGAATTGTGATGGATTGAGATGCACATGTGATGGACTTGTGATGGACTTGTGATGGATTTGAGATGGACTTGTGATATACTTGTGATGAACTTATGATAGGCTTGTGATGGACTTGTGCCGAGCATGGGGTGGACTTGTGAAAGACTTGTGATGGAATTGAGCTGGACTTATGATAGATTTATGATTGACTTGTGATGATTTGTGTTGAGCTTGAGATGGACTTGTGATAAATTTGACTTCAACTCCCCCGATCAACCCACCTTGTCTTGGTAATCTTCTTGTCCCTGTACTCGTTGAGGATGAACTCCGTGGCCTGGCCTGAGGGATCAATGATGAGCGGGTACCGGTTATAGCGGTTCAGCATGATGGCGTTCTCCGTGCACAGGTCGTCCGAGGGCAGGGCGTTGGCTTGCCAGCGAAGACGCTCGTCGGCGTTAGACAAATACTATCACGGAAAAAAAAAAGATGAAAAAAAAAATCAAATGAAACGCTCATTCAGGGGTTGTGCATTTCTGTTTTGGGCCAATCGGCTTCAATATACACCTATATCAAACACAAACACAGATATGCAAATAACCGTACAAAAGCGGTACAAACTTTCGAGTTTTCCATAGGTTTGTGCACAAACGTGCATGTGCCCAGCAGGCATCACTTTGTACATCGAGTCAGCACTCTAGTAATTTAATATAGCTCTGTGGCTCTGACCCTTTTGAAGAAATTTGAAGTTTACCAAAAACAACAAATATACAAGGTGCTATTGTGTTATCCCAATTTGTTTAAAAAAGAGGATATCCTGTAATTGCATGAAGAATGACATCCTTAAATTCATTTGTCAGTCTTGGAGCTGACACCCCCCCCCCAAAAAAAACCCACTTGGGAACCAGGTTTTCAAGTTAGAAGTGATCACGTAAATTGTTCACGGGAAGATCATCAAGGCCTACCTCCACTCTGGCAATGTCGGATCGGTACTTGATGCAGGCGGCCTGGAGATGGGAAGCCCAGCTGTTGAAGAGATTCTGCCGCATCTGCTGGTCAAAGTAGCCGGCGTAGGCCATGAACGCCGAGGACAGGAGGACGTCGCCCAAGATGGTGGCCATCTGGGCCTTGAAGGACTCACTGCCGGTCTCCCAACGCTCACGCTCGTGGGACAGGCTTCTCAGCAGGGCTGTGCTGCGGTTCACCTGGTGAGGAGGGAAAGCAGGGATGAGTAAGCCCTCAGTGGTGAAAACGAGAGAGTGTGAAGGAAACTGGAGTGCAAGTGAAGCTAGTTTGATCATTGGTTGAGTGGTGGTTGATTTGTTACATATGTCGTGCCTGCGTGCTAATATGAGAAGCAGCTATGGACGATGTGACATGTGCAACTGCCCTAACAATAGTTAAACAGTGAAGTACAATTAGGTACCATTCAGTACGTTCCACAAACGTTCCACAAGCGACCAGTACGTTCCACAATGACCCTAGCTCCTTCCTCTTCTGAGACTGCCACCCAACTATTCCACTTCATTGGGCACACCAAGCTTGCTCTAGGAACCTACACTTCACTGATTTTGCTTTTGCTACTCAAGTGTTTACTTTCTTAGAGTTTAGGCACTCTCCTGAAGACGGTCAGAGCATACTGACTGGAACGTCTAGTTTATACCTCTTTTCAGAACCATTCTCTTCGTTGAGAAATTATGCACACATGGTGTTTCCGTAAACCTTTCATTGTTTAGTATCTCCACCATGCAAAGCCTCAAATCTTACTGACAACTGCTTGACCAGTGGTTAATTTTTCACACATTTTGCCCTTGTGCACTAAAATTTAAAGCCATATTGTAAAGGTCTGGATCACGAAAAGTCTAAACAATAAATTAAATTTATGGAGAAAACTGTTGAATACCCTGTTTGTTTAGCTAAAATGGGGCAGAAATGTTTGCCTTGTTTCAAGCAGTAAATAAAGACATCGCATTTTGAGCAACTGGCACTGTGAACTTTTTCTCTTAATTTTCTATCGACTAGACTCTTGTTTCGAGTAAATGCAACATTTGATTTTCTGACATAGTTGCCCCAAACTGTTTCAAATGTCAAACTTTTTATGTACTTGACCCATAAGTCACTGAACCTACATCACCCAAATCCACCCTGCCTGTTACAACCAATACCATCCAATACTCTCTAGTTGTTTTTTTTATGGACTAATCAGGAACTAAATACAATGTAATACAATGTAATACAATGTAGTACAATGTAATACAATGTAGTACAATGTAATACAATGTAGTACAATGTAATATAATGTAGTACAATGTTGTACAATGTTGTACAATGTAATACAATGTAATACAATGTAATACAATGTAGTACAATGTAATACAATGTAATACAATGTTGTACAATGTAATACAATGTTGTACAATGTAATACAATGTAGTACCAATGCAATACAATGTTGTACAACATAGTACCAATGCAATACAATGTATTACAATGTAAAACAATATAATACAATGTAACACATAATACAGGTGTTACAGTCATTCAGTGTCTTGTTTGTAACTGACCTTGATTTCCACTGACTCCAGGTCGCTCTTGATGGCCTGTGCCTGGCTGATGAGCTGAGCGTACTCCTCCTTGTATCCGGCGATGCTGTGCTCCAGCTCAGCTACCAGCTTGTTGACCTGCTCCTGTTTGATCTTGTTCTTGTCGGCTTCATTCTCCAAACGTTCCAGCTCGCTACGGAGAGGCTCCACGCGGTGAAGCATATCGGCGTAGCTGATCTGTTTAGTACAGAAAAGTAAGGATAATTAACTGTTTACAAGTCACACTTTTCTCGGTTTACACTTTTCTCTGTGTGCCAAGGTAATCTTTGTGAATTTGTTCAAGTGGAAATAGCACACATTTAGCAAAATGAAAAAGTAAAGAGGTAATTTTTGTTTTGTTTTAAAGCATTTCACCTGAACAGAATGACAAGATTTTCAAAACCTTCAACTTACTGTGTGTCATTATAAAACGGAAGGTGAAAATGTGGCTACCTGAGGCCTTATGGGCTTTTCTGTTCTGGTCAATTCTTATTGTTATGATATTTTTAATTGGATTAATGCTGTGTTACTTTTGTTTCTAGAAATTGTGATATCATTCTAGATGATCAATCTTCAGGCTTGCAAAACCATTATTAAATGATAGATTTGTTAAAGAGACAACACTTGCTCTTTCTGGACACGTCAAGATAGGGTAATAAAAAAACCCAACAAATGGCAGAAAAATATAGCCAAATCTAGTGACAGAAATTTTAAATGGCAATAGTGTTCAGAAATGTTTATCTTTAGCTTAAAATGCAGAAATTTTTTAACTTTTCTCAATGACTGCATTGCCTAAAGTCATGGAGAAGGCTAGATTCCGGGGGAAGGGGGGAGGGCCGAAAAGGGTGGGGGCTGTGTTACCTGAGCGATGGCCCATTTCACCATGGGACCACAGGCCAAGCTGGCTCGGTTCATCTTCTCAAAGTTGAAGTCAGGGTTGGACATGTATTTCTTCATCATCTTGTCTCGGGTATCCTCGCTGACGACAAAACAAAAACCATCAAAGTATCGGATTTGAGCTCAACTGGGCAATGATTCCTTACACAAACACAAGAGATTTCTTCACAGACATATCTTATGAGGTTTGGGCCAGAGTTTAAGTCAAGACCTTTACAAAAGATCAAATCACAAGTCCAACGAAAGTGATGTCACAAATAACAGGGGATAAACAGCACCAAAGGAATGTCTTTGTCAGAGTGTATTTGAATAGCTTGAAACTTGATGAGAGACTTGGGGATTTGTGATCGGCTTGTGAGGACTCGGGAAGCTTCAGAGTAAAAAGTCTTTTGAATAAGATTAAGCAGCCCTGCGGGGTTATGTACATTCAGAATAAGAAAGAATTTAAATGCACCTGCACCAAGAGAGAGTCCACTAAGTCTGGAGACTAACATCTCTTGAAGCCAAAGACGAAGTTTGATTTTAAGAGGAAGGGGAAGGGGGAATCACACTCACGAGATGTTCTCAGTGTTGAAGTTGACGATGGTACTGATGAAGTTATCCCTGATGATGATACCACGGATGGCCTTCCAGTCCGACGTGTTCTCCCCCAGGAGAAGGCAGATGGACTCCAGGGCCAGCTTGACCAGTACTGGGGGGTTGCCCATGGAACGGATCTCCACCAGATTCTGCTTCTTGATGCCCTTCACGGCTGAGCAACACACAAACACATAAAAAACAAGCACTTTGAAGTGGAGTGCCATGGATTTGTGGTCTGGAGCATCAAACTCCAGATCTGCGGATAATAGTGCAGGTTGTGGGTTCGAGTCCAGCCTGAGTGATTGTGGTGCATGTGTGTTCTTAGGCAAGGCACTTTCTCACTCATTGCTTCTCCTCACTTAGGGGTACTTGGGTACCTGCGGGGCCGGATATTCCTGTGATTGATTTTAGCTGCCTTGTGCTGAAATTCCAGCAGCGTGCTGTGTACGCTCAAGGGAGCCGAGAAGGTCTGTGGAATGTTTTACAGGCCCCACAAGCAGAGGTAATAATGAGCACTGATTCTGGTGGATATGTATGCTTTAAAAATTATTATGAAGAAACAGTGGAAAGCTGCAAGAACAAAAATACTGCTACTCTAAACATTTGGCTTTAATGGAGATCCACTTTGGATCCCAAAATTTAGGTAGGATTAAACCAAGCACTGATGGCCAAAAATAGCTATGATAAAAACTATTATTTGGATTTTTGCGGGCACTGGACAAGGAAATTCCGGAGGAAAAATTTGCATCTACATATTTAAGAGTGCATTACAAAAAAACTGGGAATGTGTAATCATTTTATATTGGTCTAATCTACTATCTCAACACTGTTCTATAACGATATCGTTCAACAATCAAGAGCCTCTATAATACTGGTGTCATTTCAAAAGCCTGGACCCCTGAAAATCCACCATGCTTGCCATACCTTGTTGGGCGTCACGCACCGCAGGCTCCACCTTGGCCAAGTCAGCCATGACATATTCTCGCTTCTCTCCAATCTCGGCCGTCTGCACGGTCAGGGCCGCCTGGATCTCCTGGGATGTCACCTTCTTCTTCTCTGCTTCCTGCTGGTCTTTCACCTTTTACACACACACACACGGAGACAAGTCAACAAGGGCTTGCTTTAATTTAAAAAAAAAATGATCTGCATACTGCCAACGAAACCCAAATGTCGGGACCATTGTTTTAGTGAAGTTCTGCATGTAGCACTTTCAAAATCGAGGATATGAAAGCCCAATTCATAAGCTTCCTTTTAGTACAAGAATCATTCCAATCACTCATGTAATTTTCAAGTTAAGGAATTTTAAATACAACCACTGTTCTAAAGTTCTGTCCACGGATCACAAAAAACGTGTGTGTTCTTTCAGCAAAACGAACACAATTCACACACATCCCCTATGTGATTTGATTTCGTTTTGCTGAAAATAGGCACACGGATTTTGTGATCTGTGGACAGAACTTTAGAACAGTGGTTGTGTTTAAAATTCCTTAACTTGAAAAGTACATGAGTGATTTGAATGATTCTTGTACTCAAAGAAAGCTTATGAATTGGGCTTTCATATCCTAGATTTTGAAAGTGCTACATGCAGAACTTCACTAAATCAATGGTCCCAACATTTGGGTTTCATTTTTTTACTCTCCCTGTATACATCATTCCGTTGATGCTCATTTTGTGGTCTTTCTAAAAGACTGTCTGGGGAATTCTGCAGTTGCTAACTCTGCAGTCTTCCTGCAGAAAGTCTGCAGTATTCTGTAGTTGCTCTGCAGACAAAACTTGCACTTGTGCAACAATTTTCCGAAGAAAGTCGGACAAAAATAGTTTCAAAATGGCGGGCGGAGGTGCTTCAACAAAGATGTTTAGATTATTGAAAAGTTGCGCAGCCACGCCAAGTTTAGTGAAATCGATCATAAATGTGATGCGCAGCTGTGCAATAAATTTGTTGCGTAAGTCCTACGCATGGCGTAAGTTATGCACTGTTTCTTTAAATCGGCTGCAGGACTGGCCGGACTGTATGTTCTCTGACCCATGTTCTTAATGCCTGACCAAGTGACTAAGGCAGTCGCAGGTAAAGCGCATATTACTTTAATGACCATGAAAAACACAGACAAACCAATCCAACCAATCAACAGACAGACGGATTGACTGACTGACCAACCGACAGCCAAACATCAAAAACGAAAAGATGTAAACATCAATCGATAAAAACAATGGATATACAGTGGAACGTCGCTATACTGAAAACCGCTAAACCGAACATTAGGCTATACCGAACATCGTGCTTGACTCCCGATTTTTGTGTACAAAACCAACCTAACATTGTTATTGAAAACCGTCAACAGAAGAGCGACAAGTGGCTATTATTTCCTCAAGGCATAGAAGGGGAAAGCCACCCATCGATGTAGGTAGTAAGCTCAAAACTGTGTAATAAAATAATTCAATAGTCGGCACGTGTTCGAAATCTTCTTTCAGTAACTACCAGGACATACAGGGTTGAAGTTATGAAGGGTGCCATTTATTGAAAAGTGAGCACCGGAGCACCAGCAGCTTAAAATCGTTATGCCGAACGATCACTATTACGAACAATTTCTGTGTATCCCGCGATGTTAGTTATAGCAGCGTTCCACTGTAAAACAAAATCATTAAAACTACTGTGGGCAGGTCTCACCATCTGTTTGAGTTTGGCGTTGGCGGCAGCGTTCTTGGCCTCCAGCTCTTGGCTCTTGCGTGCCAGGGATTTCTGGAGCTCCTCCACCTGTTCCACCGTCTCTTTGATCTTCTGCAGGCCCACGTTGAGATGGAGCTGTTGCTCCTCCAGGTCTGAGCGCTTCTCCTGGTACAACTTGACCTGATGGCGGCAGAGGGGAAAACAGATGATGAGGAAACCATGTTAACTGGAAAGGTGGCATTGTGTCCATGGGCAAGCTACTTCACCCCAACTTGCCTCTCTCCACCCAGGAGTATAAATGGGTACCTACATTAGCTGGGGAGTAACCTGCGATGGACTGGCATCCAGGGGGAATAGAAATATTCTGTCATGACTTTTCCATGACTTTCCACGATAGCTTTAAATTCCAGGATTTTTACGTGACTGTGGAAACCCTGCATACTGAAACCTTCCCAACTGACGAATTAAATGATTTATAATAATAATCATAATAATTTGGGGACTGATCATCCTTACTCGCAGCTGAGAAGCTGAATTGCGAGGGGCACGGCTACAACGTGGCCGAACCTAAGGCATGTAATGGCGCCTTTGGCAGCCGCCATACGATTCATGTATGACCACGGAGCACAGCCAGAGATCGAAACTGTTTAATTTTTTTGCGGAGGGAGGAAAACTGGAGAGCCTGGAGAAAAACCCTTGTGTCACAGGAGTGAATCAACGGGCAACTCTACTCCCTTATGGTCCGAGCTGGGAATTGAACCCGGGCCACAGTGGTGAGAGGCAAGCGCTTTACGCACTATAAGCCAATCCAACCCATTAATGATGTTTGTAAGAGGAACTACATCCCTTTTGATGATGAAGCTACCTATAAACAAGGTAGTAAATCAAACACAACTTGGTTTATTTCGGGAAAGAAGCGCGCATTTACATGTCCATCGGTGCTGCCTGATTTTGACTTCCTCTGTTTTATAAAGGCAGTCAAATCACCAAACATCTCAGGGCCGGTCATTTTGCACTGCTTTCCCCTCAAACCATGTTGTATTTTGTACAATATCTCACGTAGTGATGAATGAAATCCAGGTAGTGCCTGGGCGTTATGGCCATGACCCGCCCCCCTCGCTTCTGGACTCTCTCATTGGCCTGGTGGAGAGTCTGGTGCACGTAGACGTAGGCATTGACGATGGCCTCTCTGTGGGTCGGGGTGCTAGGCACGCCTTCGTAGGCCATCGGCAGGCTAGTGGGCGGACAGTACTAGAACGGAAAAATACATAGCAGGAATTAGAGAAATAACTAAATTGTAGAACTTGATTTCGTGGAGAGGAATTCTCAGAATGTTCAGAGAGGAAACTGGCCTATGGGAAGAAAAAAAATCGAAAAAAAGGCCGAACAAAAATTTCCGAAATCTGGGCCACGCCGCAGTTGTACAATACACTTCATGCCCAATTTCTGGACACAGCCTCCTGTTTTCTTTTAGATCCAAACAAAATTTTACGATGAAAAAAATGTTCAGTGTTTTCATAAAATTAAAAAGCCTGAATTACAGTTAGAGTAAATGAACTCATCAACAAAGAAGTTCACTTTTACTTGAGAAAGTCGAGGAAAAAGTCCAAAAGACAAGTGCACCATTTATGACACCATTCAATCATGTCCATGATTCAACCACAGAAGTCGACTACTAGCGTACGTGGGAAATAAAAAAAAAATCGGGCATCATCGTCATTTCCTTCCAACAACTGCCACAGAAATGAATCACTTGTGCTCTTTTCGCCGTCCTCAAGATCATCGTGATTTTAAAAGCATTGCATTGTGTACAACTAAATCTGAAACCTTTGAAAATCGCAAAACATGTGGAATTTATTGCAGTCAAAATCCACATGGTACTGCGCATACGTAGCTAAGAAGTTTCAATCATGCCATATGTTAATGTTTAAACTTATTTCCAGCCTAAACTACTCTAATCTGGGCTCACTAATGTGTGTCTACCATGCAACAGGCAAAATTTGCGGTTTGAATAAACATGTAATTAACTCTCGACTTACATCAGACTTGTCCAGATCTATCTTGCTGGTGAATTCCTTCCCCACTTGATACAGGGCGTGTGTGGACCAATCACCGAACCAGTTCAGCACGCACCTAGCGTAATAGAATGAATTTGCAAATAAACCACAAAGAGAAACTGACTATGTGCATTGTTATAATTTGTTGAAAGTTGAACAAAGAAATTGACTGGAGCGGGGTTTGAGCCTGCGACCTCCGGATAACCGTTCCGGTGCTCTACCAACTGAGCTATCCAGCCCCATGTTGGCGGTTCCCCAATTTGTCAATGTCTGTGTTCAAAGGGCGCTAGTCAGAAACCATAAACCTGTATATGCCATGCAACCACGGATCACGCCCAAAATCATGATGCTAACAACATTAGCAATGCTGCAAGCCCAGGTATTAGCAAACAGGGATCACTCTGAGACGATACAGTGTTTTAAGTTACAAATTTACGAATAAACCGCAAAGGAAAACTGACTAGTTGGTGGAACACTGGAATCGCAATCCGGCAGTCGCAGGTTCAAAGCCCACTCCAGTCAATTTCTTGGTCCAACTTTTAGTTTACGTGAATGTTTCACACTCCTTGTGACAGAGTTTGACCACAAAACAAAAAAAAACACCAAAAACAGCAGCATCTACATGTGAGGAACACACAGCAACAAAAACACTTGAGTGTCCTTCAATGTCTCTGTATGTCCTTCAATCTCACTTGCATGGAATCCATACCATGCTAGCCCTGTCATCAATGAAGGCCCTTGAGGGAGCCAGACTATTGACTAACCTGTTGAAGAGAGCAGGGGAGGTGGCTGCTCGGTCCTTGAGACCCTCAGAGGATGGGTTCATGGTGAAGACGACGTGCAGATTGCGCATCACCTGTAGTGAATAATTATCAAGAAAATCACCAAGAGGAAGATGTGAGGCGTTCTGGCAAAATGAGACGGAACAGGGCAGAATGGGGGTAAAAAAACGAATAGGGGTAAATTTTTTTTTAATTTTCAGATTTATTGATACTTGTAACCTTTGATATGTCTACTACACATATTTCAGAGAAATAGTATAAAAATCATTGAATAAAATCGTTTTTTAAGATAAACAATTGGCATCTTATATTTTCATGACTACAAACCTCAAAACTTTATGCCAACTTTAAGGCGCCAAATGCCAACTTTAAAGCGCCATAACTTGTCAATGCAATGTCCAATTGAAGTGCAAACAGTATTGTAAGGATAATTTTATTCTCTTTCTTAATACCTGCAAACCCTCATTCCGACCTCTGCCCAGTTCTGTCTCATTTTGCCAGAAGGCCTCACATATACTCAAAGCGCCTAGCATGCACATGAAATTTACTTAAGTTTGCAGAATTTCATTCAAACGAATGCGCTACACTGAGAACCAGTTACATGCAATATACATCAATGGACATATTGAACCTAACCAATTTTGGCTAAGCAAGTATTTTCTGTTCAGCAGATTTCTGTGTTAAGTGGCTCCGTGAAATCGGTCACTGGATAAAAACAATGTGCATGATGATATCTACGCTGGTTTCCTAATATTGGTAAAGAAACTTTTCTGCGCTAAGTAAGTTGGTGTGATTTAAGCAGCACTGTGAATTTGGCCCCCATGTTCAAACGATCAGTCCATTGACCTATCATTCGAAAAAACGAGTTATAATAACAAAATTGTGTTTTGTGATCAAAAGGTTGTGCATGGGTTTTTACTGTTTTCTCGTAAAGTGTAATATCCACTGAGCTGAAACTTCAACAGGCATGACAGGTTAGGTTTTGAACAGTCTTCTTTGGATTTTGAAACTTGGAGTGGTATTATTTAATAAATAAATAATAAATAAATTGTAATGCTTATATGGCGCTTTACATCGTATCAACAATCGCAAAGCGCTTTACAATTATTCCCCCGTTCATCAGGCCACGAGACCACACAGCAGCCGATATCAGCGCACATTCGGTCCTCTACCCTCACAGGTACCCATTCATACTCCTGGGTAGAGAGATGCAATTGTAGTTAAGTGTCTTGCCCAAGGGCACAAACATTATGTTCCTGGCAGGGTTCGAACCCACGCACCATCGTGCATGAGTCAAGCACCATAACCACTGGAGCATTCTACAATTATTGGAAATGAACAAAATCCATGAGAAGCAAATGATCCTATATGCCTTTAAACTTGTTTTTGTTTTGTTTGTTTTTTACGATTGGCCCTCCATACCTCATGAGTGAACCACTTGTAGAGTTCTTCGCTAGAGTCCAGCATGTTACCCTTCCTCTGCGCTCCTTCCTTGCACTGTGTCATCAGTGTGGTGTACTCGTCACCCTCAAACAGTCCGGGCACCTGTGTGATGACAAACCAGCCGGCATCAGTTAAACACTACCCCATTAACATCTGTACTACATTGTATTACATTGTATTTATTCACTGAAGATTCTGTAAGATCATAGAGTCAGAGATGAAAGTGGCCTATGGGGGGAAAAAAATGGAAAATAGGCTGAACACAAATACGTGTCCGAAATCTGGGCCGCGCCACAGTTACACATTCATGTGCAGTGGAACGCCGCTATACTTAACATTCAGCTATACCGAACATCGTCCTTGGTTCCCAATGTTTGTGTACAAAATCAACCGAACATCGTTGTTGAGCAATGTCAACAGAAGAGCGACAAGTGGCTATTATGTCCCCAAGGAATAGAAGGGTAAAGCCACCCATTGCTGCAGGTAGTAAGCTCAAAACTGCATAATTCAGCAGTCGGCACGTGTTCAAAGTCGTCTTTCAGTATTTCACTACCAGGGTGTGCAGGGTGAAGTTTTGAAAGGCGCTATGTATTTAAAAGTGAGTACCAGAGCATCGGCAGCTTAAAATCACAATACCGAACGATCGCTATTTCGAACATTTTCTGTGGATCCCGCGATGTTCATTACAGCGGCGTTCCACTGTACATGCATACATATTTACAATAAACTTCAAGACCAGATTCTGGACACTACATCCTGTTGTATTTTAGATCCAAACAAAATTTTACGATGAGAAAAAGTTGAAGTGTCTCCATAAAAGGAAAGGGCATGAATTAGGGTTAGAGTAACAGACTCGTGTCTTGGGTGTCTTGGGGTGTCTTGGAGGTGTCTTGGGGTTTCTTGGGGGTTTCTTGGGGTGTCTGGGAGTGGGGCTGAGAGGGTGGGGGGAGCACAGTGTGCCCGCATATATACCTCTCCGTTGGCCAGCAGTGTGTTCATGCGTTCCAGGAAGCTGGAGTCGAGCACGTTGGACTCATCCATGACAAAGCAGATCTTCTCATCCTAGAAACAAGCAATCAAATAAACCCAACCGTTTCAGACCATATTGTCATCACTGAAGGGTAACGCAGTGTCACAATGTGACAATCAACATCAAAACAAACTTTTGAAATTTGAGAAAAGTTTGCAGATACACCATGTGAAATGATCTCCAAACAGAAATGGTTCAAGAACACTCACTTTTTTTAAGAACATTTTTAAAATACACTCACTAAAATTATGATTTAAAACCTCTGGTTCTTATCAAATCCATTTTCCTGCCATGTTCCTGCAAGTTGTGCTCTTTACCATGCAAAACCTCAAATCACAGTTTGTTTTTATAGCGTTTCATCTCATCTACATAGAATTTGATTTTTTGTGATGTTAAAAGTTCAGACAGAAAAATGACAGTGATCAGTTCTTCTTAGACCCCATTAATGATGAAAAAACAAAAACAAGTTACATACCTTGCAGCCCGCTCGGCGCAGAACGGTTCTCAGATCTTCATCAAAGTCATCCGCTGTGTACTTGTTGTGAACCTGGTTTAATTGAAGAAACACCAAAAACAAACTCATAAGCACCAGTCTAGATATCCAGTCTTAAATGCACCATGCTTCTTTTATTTTTGCAAATGTTACATGTCAGATTTCAGGGGAAAATAGTTTAAAACTTTAAAATCAAATCCACGGAGTCTCGCATAAAATGAGTTAAGACTGCATCAGTTATATCCATAAACAATTAAAAAATAATTTTCTGACAAATACGGAAAAAAAGAACACCTTTTTTAGTAGCATCTTACCACTGCAACATTTACTATCATTCAAGCCTAAGTTTAAATAAACTGAGCAGTGAGTATCCACAGCTTGGATGATTACATTGGTGAAGGGCAAATAAAAATATTTAAATATACATTCAACATACCTTGACTTGCACGATGCTGAGGCCGTTCATCCAGGCCACAAAGCGAGACAGTGTGGTCTTACCAGCCCCGCTCACACCAATCAGCAGCAAGTGACCCTGCAAACAAGCAACGACGTACAAATACAGATGACGTTGATGACAAAACTCTGAATATTCAAACTCGTTCGCAGGGTCTATTTTATTTTATTAGTAAACCCCGGGAGGGTAACTCTCATCCTACATTCTCATTTAATAACACAGTAACAAATTATGGATTTGTTCCGTGTACTTGACGAACTTATTTTCAATGTGTATTTCGTGTGTTAAGACAAGTTAAAAGTTAGTCACCTGTGGCTGTCTGAAGATTCGATCAATTCTCAGCACGTGGTCCAGGACTTCGTTGAACAGCACCAAGGGTACGTCCAACTCTTCCTCGTAGAACACCTGTGGGCATAAATACATTGATAAAAATATGTCACGTATTCTACTAGTCCGATGCAAAAACGTAATGAATTTGTACACAACGTTGGCAAAAACCTTGCTGTGGGGGTTTCAACTTTGTGTCCAAAAGAGGTAGTTTTGTTTGGTCCATGTGCTTCGTAGATTCTAACTATTTGCAGCAAGGCATGAAACGACAAATGTAAAGCCCACTGTAATATCAACTTATATTAATATGAGTCTGGCTTGTATTGTTCTTATGTAGCCCTTTGAATGATTGATACAAAATACAATCTGATAACTCTTGTAAAATAAACAGAAAAAATTGATAGAGATATCTTCGCCTTTGCTGCTAAATCTTTATAGTCTAAATCATGTCACTGTAGGAAAGTAGTACATAAAATGCTCTAAATCCTAATCCTTTGTGATAACAGTAAATGACATGAAATAGCGACGTGACAGAAAACAGACGTGAAATAGCTACGGAGTCACGTGACAAAACACACACATGACATATCGATTATGTCAAACGACAGAAAACACACATGAAATTTCGACCCAGTCATGACAGAAATACACATAAAATAGCAACTGAATCACATAACAGAAAATGTATGTACACTAACAATTGAGTCACATTACAGAAAACAAACATGAAACAGCAACTGATTCCTATGTTTCACCTTGAGTCTGGCCTTGACGTAGTCCCTCAGCTCTTCTTGTTCCACAGGGATGTAGTCCTTGGACAGCCAGTTACTGAAGAGGATGGGTCTCTTGAGTGCCTCTACCCTGTTGATGTTGGGGAAGTGTTTGGTGGCAACGGCGTCCACGTTCTCGTCGGTCCACTGCCGTTCCTCATCCTCCACAAGTCTGAAAGATTGTTTAAAAACCTCACGTTTTATTCACTGACCCAGCGTCAATTTCATGAAGCACAGAAACTTGCCAGGCGTAGAAAAAAGACGCTTAGCAGAAACTGGGTACCAGCCAAATTTCCACACTTTGTATATTGCTTGTCACTGGTTCCCTGAGCATATATATTTGCTTAGCAATATTTTATGCTCAGCAGACTCATAAAATTGGGCGTTGATACTCATGATTGGTCTTTATTTGGTATATCTTTAAAAGAATTGCATTTTCATGACGTTACAAATTTTCCTCAAGTTTACGCACATGTTTATGACTTACCAAAGCTATGAGGTATAAAAGTCTGATTTTAGTATGTGTTGTTCTAAAGATACAGGGTGAGTCAAAAAAAGTGGAACCCAAACCCCAAACATGATGTTTCATATTTAAAAAAAAAAATTTAGCACCAAAAATAATAATGACTGGAAAGCCAATTTCATGAAAAAAATTACTGAAATTGTTCAATCCGTTCAAAAAATATCACCATTTATATGCAAAGACCCCACAACCTGTCTCATCCAAAAATGCGATTTCAAGAATCGTCGTCACAATTTGTCTTTAAACATCACCAGCGATAATACCTCAGTTTAAAAGTTGAAAATATTCAACAAAGTCCTTTTGAAGGCCCACCGTTTAAAAAAAGTGGATTTTACAAATCATATTGTTTGCCTAACCAGGGTTAATTATAAAGATATTGTGTACTACAGTTGTTGAAACAAGTATTCTGTGTCATTTTCTTTGTTTTTCCAAACAGGCAAAACACACAATAAATTGCTTTGTCCAGAAGAAACTCTGCATTTGTCCCAGACATGTTCCCGGGAACTTTTCATTACCAACTGCTGGACTCATTGCGGGATGACTGCAGGGAAGTTGTTCAGATTCCTGCAACTTATACCCGATACAATGTCCGCAACTCGTCCCAGATATGAATTGAGATGGGCCCTAAGGGTTCTTTGCTGACACCACATGTCTGGGTATTGACAGTAGGAAAATCTCTTTGACTGAAGCAGTTTCATATCTTGACTTTGATTTAAAGCTATAGTCCATCATTTGCAGCCATCCGAAAAGTAACTGGCGTGATTATCGTTGAAAAACATACTTGGTTGAAAGATAGTAAGGGAACTAAACTCCCTGTGAAATTATTCTTTCTGGGAAGCTGTCATTTTGAAGTAATCAACGAAAGAAGGCATTTCCAACGGTGATTCTTAAGAAGCACCGTAGGAAAATTTAAATTAGTAGTTCGTTTTGTTATTCAGCGCAGCGCGCACAAGTATTGGAACGACGCACACGCGCGCGCGGTTGTTGTAATTTGTCGGATCAGTGCGCGACGTCGCGTATAGCTGCAATTCAAAACAATTCAAAACATGATTCAGTAACTTTTGATTTGAAATTGAGATCTTAGAATGCTGTTTTTCTCGGAATGTACAGCTGAAGCTTAGCTGAAACTTCATCAGGTTAGTTGCTCAGTATCCTTCATTAGATTTTGAACTCTTTTGTTGCTTCAAACGAACAAAATGCACAAATTACAAATGATGGACTGTAGCTTTAAAAATTAAAAATGTGTATAAAGTTAATTTTTGAAATTTAGAAAGATGTAAATTTACGTCACAATTATTAGCACCCTAATTTGCTAAAAAATATGGCCCACTGTCAGATAATGACTAAACTGAAGTTACCTGTCTTGGAAGAGACGGAGTGCCTCATGTGCCCAGATGCGCACCAGACCCTCTACTGACAGGTTCTCTAGAGGGCGCAATGCTTCCACGATGCCGCGCACCCAGCGCGTCATCTCACGGGGGCTGTAGATGTAATGCGGCTGCATGTCCTGGGTGAAACGCTCCTACGTTGGGGAAGCAAAGATAAAAGCAAAAATATTTTTTTTCTCTGTGTAACAAAGATGTACTGCTGAAGACAAGCACTGCACAGGGATGCTTTACATACATCAGTCCATTTCAAGAAACAGGAATATCTTAGCATTTACACAACTAATTTACACAAACATGCATATAATTGACATCATGAAACATGGCGTAACTCCTCAACATGGTTTACACATCTTAGACAAGGATATCTCACAGCTTTAACAAGCACTGTGACGGGGATGCTTTACATACATCAGCCCATTTCAAGAAACGGTCCTATCTTACGCCATGCGTAGCATTTACACAACAAATTTACACAACTGTGCATATAATTAATTTCATGAAACTTGGCGTAGCCCCTCAACATGTTTTACACATCTTGGGCAAAGATAATCACAGCTCCCATGACTGGTGTCTGTGTACCATTTCATATTGGTCACAGACAAGTTGTTGAATCACCTTCAACTGCTATTTTTGAAAATTGTTTTGTCCCACTTCCTAAGGCAACTCTCAATATTTTGTTAAGGGGCGAAATAGTATTTCACTGACCTCAGCCCCAAAGCTGTGGTTTTCTTGTATCAAGCTTGGTAAGATTTGCAATGACAGGCTCAACGATGCTCCGTGAGGATAACAATTATAATCATTACAATGTCCATTTTCAATTTGCAAGACGTGACAAACACAGCAAAACTTTTGTAAAAATAATAACTTAAAGTGTTGTTCAACTTACTAATACAATGTGGTATAAGAGGCATGAGTTTGCCATTGACTCAAGTTTTGTAACATCAACTGAGGGACCTTTTCTATGACCTTTCATTTCATTTTGTCTTCCATTCACTCTTACCTGGGACATGATGTAGAACTCCACCATGGCGTTAGTGAGGGGTTCGGCGTAGGTGCGCAGGCTGGGGATGAGACGTAGCATGGCACGGTTGAAGGTGCCGTAGATCTGTGACAGGGAAGCTGGGCCAGGGTAGTCAACGTACACCACAGGCACGTGGCGCAGGAATCTGATTAGAAAACAAAATAAATCAATATTAGTTATCTTTGGATATTATCAAGACCAAGATCCTAGGTTTTAACATAATTAAGTTGAGGACCCTTCTCTGTGACTTGGGGCATGATCCTAAGGTACAGCTTTTCCACAACAGAAAAAATGAAGAAGTAGACAACAAAATGCAGATAACTGATGAAGCGCAGAGAGAGCCCAATCAGGGGGCAAATGGGGGCACACATTAGTTGGGCATAGACTCTTACGTGGGTATTTTCCTTACTCCCTAAATATGTGAGAGGGCTTTCTTACAGGATCATTTCTTACAGAACTTGGGTTTTCGTCCAGAGTCAGTGGGAGTGTTACAGGCGCCCACAAACTGGATCCTCTCAAAAGTGACCCATATCGATTGGGAATAGATTCCTACTTGGGCCCTATCTGTGTGAGAGAGGCTTTCATCCAGGGTGTGATTTTTTTCTTTATACAACAATCTGGGGCACTCAAATTTGAGGCGACTTGAATAAAGGCTAGAGGATTGTAGAGTGCCACGTAGCCGGGCTCTTCAATCCTGTTAACTTACGTATACTCTCTGTATACGTATGCTCTATATAATACACAAATTCAACAAGCCAACCGAGCAGCCCCGATGGCTCAGCGGAAATGCATAGGGTTCGCAATAAGAAGGTTCGTGGATCGAATACCGTCCAGAGTATGTACTTTTCTGTTTTTTTTCCTACAGTTTTTGATTTTTTCCTTAGAACCGTTATTTTTAAGTCAGATAGTAATTTTAAAGCAGAAAAAGGCTTTTTCTTTCCTGAACCGAGGCTACGGAGGATTTTTTTTTAAAGGGAAATAAAGTCCGAAATTTCATAAGACCTACGTGCACAAGATAACAATACTAGTCTCCACTCAAGCACAGCGATAAAACCATGCTCCCATAGGAATGTACACGAAAGTGCGAGGTGTATCCCCAGAGCATTGTGTAAAAAGAAAATTCGCGTTCAGGATTAGTGGGAGGAATACAGGTGCCCACAAACTGTATCTGCTAAAAGGTGATCCATATCAATTGGGAATATATTCCCACTTGGGCCCTACCTGTGTGAGAGGGGCGTTTGTCCAGGGTCAGTGGGAGGGTTACATGCACCAACAAACTGGATCCACTATCAGGTGATCCATTTCAATTGGGAATATATTCCCACTTGGTCCCTACCTGTGTGACAGGGGCTTTCGTCCAGGGTCAGTGGGAGGGTTGCATGCACCCACAAACTGGATTCTCTCAAAGGTGATCCACTTCAATTGGGAATATATTCCCACTTGGGCCCTACCTGTGTGACAGGGGCTTTCGTCCAGGGTCAGTGGGAGGGTTACATGTGCCCACAAACTGTATCTGCTAAAAAGGTGACCCATATCAATTGGGAATAGATTCCCACTTGGGCCCTACCTGTGTGAGAGGGGCTTTCGTCCAGGGTCAGTGGGAGGGTTGCATGCACCCACAAACTGGATTCTCTCAAAGGTGACCCATATCAATTGGGAATATATTCCCACTTGGGCCCTACCTGTGTGACAGGGGCTTTCGTCCAGGGTCAGTGGGAGGGTTGCATGCACCCACAAACTGGATTCTCTCAAAGGTGATCCACATCTCGTCTGATGTGCGGTAGAAGCCACCGTGCTCCAACATCTGTCGCAGGAAGGAAATGACACGCTGTGTGCCTGCATAGGAAATGAAATGAATTTCGTTTTAATCTTCTGAGCACAGGGTTGCCACCTCTTTACAAAAACAAAATTCCCTGAGTTTTTCCTGATATTTCCAAAAACCCATGAGAATTATTTGCACTTTGAGGTTGCTGGGAAGTCAAGAGGCAGTGAAGCACAGCCAATTATTGTCTGGCAAGGTGTGTAATATTCACACTGCCTTAACACTAAACACCACACAGTCTTGTTCCGTAGTCGTCCGTACAAGGTATTTGTGGGTACAAAAACGCTGTGGGGACAGCAGAAAGTCCCCAAAAGTCGGTGCTCAACTTCCCCATAACACGGTGTAGGCCTATCCACCATAGCCAGTCTGTCACTGGACACAACATGGACACGTGGCACAAGACGCACATACGCCAAACTGGTGAAAAACCTTTCCATTCTGGGTCACTGTCAAATTCCCTGATTAGTGGTGTTTTTTCCCCAAAATTCCCTGAGTTTTTTTCTGACTGGAAAAATAGAAACTCATTTTCAAGGTTTTCCCTGATTACTTAAGTGGCTTGGAAACCTGTGAGTAAGGGAATCCATTCACTACAGGCGGAACAAATGAAAGTTTGTTATAATTACAAATCGGAATACTGCCACAGAGAACACCATTAACTTCAATTTGCCCCCCCCCCCCGCCCCAAACTTATGGATGCCCAAGTATCATTGAATTTCAAAATTAATAATATCAAATATAAAATTCTTGGTGAACTGTAACAATCTGCTGGATCACAGGGTAAATCTTTAAATTTATCACCACAAGCTTCAACGTATTCCTGACCTCACCCTGCACACCACTCAAGGAATTTTCTTACCGTACTTATCCATGTCGGGGAGGTTGATTTCATCGCAGAAGACCACCAACCACTTGTTCAGCTGGATAGGGGACAGGACGATCCCGTTAGGGGTGCGCCTGTACTCACAGTAGTGATCTAAGGTCTTCAACATCAGCTCTGGGGTAGTAGCGCTGGAGAAGTTCAGACCAACAACCTGGGAAATACCATGTCCAAAAAAATTAAGGTGAAAGTTACAGACAAGAAATCTGAAACATTTAATTTCTCTCAGAGAGTTTCATTTTAACTTTTTGGTTTTGTATGACACAGGTACTTCAAGCATTCATCACTTTATAACTACATATTGACTGCTTCGAGTGGTGTTGCTGAACTAGCCCACAGAGGTGATCCATGGAGAGTGTTCTATTTTTTTGCTCGAGGTGAAGCCGAGGGAAAATAGACCGTTTCAGAGTTGAACAAAGAAATTAACTGGAGCAGGGTTTGAACCGGTACTCTTTGTTGTTGGTTCCCCAATTTGTCAATGCCTTTTGTTCAAGGGACACTAAGTCAGAAACCATGTCCAAAGTCATTATGCAAAGCTGCAAACCCGGGAAATTGCAAACGGGGATCACTAAAAAAAAAATAAATAAATAAATTTGAGATAAGTTGAGAATTTACTTGAGCTTTTCCAAAATAACTTTCATGAAACATTTGCATCCAACTCTACCAGAACAACAGTACTGTGTCAGAACAATGCGCACAAAGCACACAACAAACACACTTTTATGAAAAGGCACATAAACCTCCAGTATATGCTATGCTGCTTTTCCAGTGCGAGGCCACCAGAGTAACGTCTTTTTGCCATGTCCGATAAAAATAGTGAATACCATCAAAATATTAAATACCATTTAGGCTCAGTTACTGACTTGTGATAACTTGAGGCGGCTTGGCTACAACTCTGTGTAGCAGACTTTTTAACACTACGGGGGACCGGAATGTAACATCTACTGACCTCCATATCTGGCAGTGCCCTGAGGGCGCTGAACAGCGTCATGGTCTTCCCGCTGCCTGGCGGTCCGCACAGCACCATGGGCTTGTGCTCGGCCAGCCAGGTGTACAGCAGGGCCTCGTGCCGCACCGTGTCCAGGGTGGGCACCACCACGTCGGGGGAGGCTACCTTGTGGGTCTCTACCTCAATCTGTGGTACCTTGTTCTGCCATGGAGCCCAGTCGCCGGTGATGCTGACCTGAGGGGGGGGGGGGGGTGGGGAAGGTGGGAGGAATCCAAGAATTAGAGAGTGTATGATTCTCATCTTACAAAACTTAAGGTGGTTTTTCACTGCCACTGTGATGCATTCCTCTGATGACTTCAAAGTTTGAAACAGGCAACTGCTGCCGTCATTGGTCTTGGTCCAAGAATGGATTTGGTTTTCTTTCCCCTTATGTAACTGATCCCTGATAAGCGCGGTATTTGCTGGCATAGTCGTGACGTCACTCAGAGGTCAACTCGGTGCAACCATGATTACTGGTTCACATGCACTGCAGCGGCCCAGTAAACTCTGTGGTTTTGCTACAGCTGTTTCATTGAATCGGTTTCATACTTGGCTTGATTCTCCTCTTTGAAGCGAAAGTAAGCACAACTGTGGTTGTAACTGGTGTGGTGACAATCTGCTGAAAGGCGGTGCACCATTTTCAGGTACTAATTTGTGGAAATGTCCTATAAAAGTAGGATGTAAAAGTGCTGTCTGTGATCCTGTGTGTTAAACGCAGGTAAATGTGTCGTTTATGGAATGGACGCGAATTGTTGTCGAGGAAGTGAGCCTGACCTGGGGAGGAGGTGGCTCACACTTTGTAAGCGTGTAGAAAAGTAGCCGCTGGGATAGAGGCCGCTATCAACAAAATGAACCACATCAAGTCTTGGTTACTTTGGCAGCGTTACCCAGGAAATTCCAAACATACCTCACGCATGTATAGCTTGGATACAGCGAGCGTGGGTATGCTTGGATTATCTGGGTAGCACTACCAATGTACCCAAGACTGGATCAGATTCATCTTGTTGATAGTGACCGCTACCACCCCCGCGGCTATACCACACTGGTCACTGGCCTCTTGGTCTGGAGCATTGAATTTGTGGTCTGTAGGTAATTCCGCGGGTTGTGGGTTCGAGTCCAGCCTGCGGCTACGGTGCGTGTGCCCTTGGGCAAGGCACTTTGTCACTCATTGCTTCTCTCCACCCAGGAGTAAATGGGTACCTGTGAGGGCAGAGATGGTTACTGTGACTGATTCTAGCTGCTTTGCGCCGAAATGGCAGCATCGAGCTGAATACTCCCCATGGAGCTGAGATGGTATTTGGAATGTTTCATTGGCCCAATGAGCAGGGTACTAATAAGCACATTGCATCCTTTGGCAATGTGGAGCTCTATAAGTCCAGTTATTATTTATTAATATTAAATACAAATGTAGCCTTGGGCATAGACTATCCCTGACCCTCAGGACATTTTTTCATTTAAGAAATCTTCAATCATTATTTGGTTCCAACCTCGTAATCAATGATGGACTGCTGTGAAGCAGGGGGCAGCGGGATGGTGGTGATGCTGCGGATGAAATCTCCCATGTCATGACGCGTTTTCATCTTACTGTCGCCGGTGAAGGACCACAGGATGGCGTAGATCACGTAGTTGGTGATGTACTTCTCCATCTGTTCTCGCTGCGAGGGAAAGGAAGGGAGGAAAGAACCGTCAAAGTAAGACTGTAATTTAGAAAGTCAAACAAAGAAATTGACTGGAGCAGGGTTTAGCCCTGTGACCTCCGAAGTACCGTACCGGTAATCTACCAACTGAGCTATCCAGCCCTATGCTGGCATTTGCCCAATTTGTCAATGCCTTTGTTCAAGGGGCGCTAGTCAGAAGCCATAAACCTATACGTGTATATGCCATGTAGCCAGGGATCTCACCCAAAGTCACGATGCTAGTGACACTAGCAATGCAAGGCCTTGATTGTGTATGACTAGTAAGGTTTTCAACAAGTCATTACAAGTCAAATGCAAGTCATTCAGTCTCAAGTTAAGAGACAAGTTCTACTAAAAGCTACGAGGAAAACAATGCGTTGTCATCATTCAGCTTGCTACGTCTCCCTGATGTAAAATTCCATCTTATAAAACATACACACAAAAAAGGACAATTGGATTGCTGTGAGGTGGATGATTGTGGAGATATTAAAAAGCTTCTCCGACAAAATGCCAAAACAGTTAGGTATAAAACAGGCGTCTATTTTTGCTTGTGACTGTACCGGCATTGGGAAGTCATGGTGCGTGTTGTTGTACTGTAGGATGTTGCGCACTCCCTGGTTGAGCATGGAGAAGAGCGATCCCAGGGCCCTGAGCCTGGTGAAGTCCATGATGTGCTCCTGGGTGAAGGCGTACTCCAAAGTGCGGATGACCAGGGCGTCCGAGGTGAAGTGGGGGGCTAGGATGTTGGCGCAGTCGGTTTGAATCTGAACGTAGGTTACGGCCACGGAAACAGAAAACAAGAGGAAAAGCAATCAATAAGAAATCTTAATGAAGAAATAGCTTTAGCTTTTAGACTAGCCTACATAAACAGTTGCTTTAACCTTACCCCCCCCAGGCCCTTTTGGTTGAGAACCATCCTCAATCCCGCAAAATCCTACAATTGCTACCATGAAAAGATTGGATTCAGCCTCAATCCTCTAAAATCATCCATTATTTCTCGAATTTGTTCAGTGGAGGGGCGACCTCGACGCAATGCATCCTCCAAAATCAACCAACACTTTTTTTTGCCATTCAGCCTCAATCCTTCAAAATCCTCCCAACCCGCCCAGGGGATTTTAGAGGATTGAAGAGATTTTGTTCGTTTTTCAGTAATAAAACCACTCAAAATCCAAAGAAGAATGTTCAAAACATAACCCCTTCAAGCTTCAACTCGGTGGACATTACACTTATTCAAAAAAACAGTGAAAAACCATGCACCACTTTTTGATCACGAAACTCAACGATCAGTCAATTGGCTGATCTTTGGAAATCACCTACATCATCTTACTCAATGCAGAAGCTGAATTGCGAAGGAAGCAGTTAAAATGTGGCTCAGCCGAAATCATGCAAAAGCCGCCATAAAACCCATGTCTTACCACGGAGCACAATTTTTGCGGAGGGAGGAAAACCGGAGAACCCAGAGAAAACCCTTGTGGCACAGGAGAGAATCAACGAATAACTCTCCTCACATATGACCCAAGCCGGGTATCAAACACGGGCCTCAGCGGTGAGGCACCCATGCCACCCGAAAAACGAACCCCTGTGTTACCCTTTGGACCCTAATGAAAGCACCCACCTGCATCAGCGGGGACAGGGTTCCGTCCTTATCCTTATCCGCAGCCTTGCCAAATTCCTTGGTGGGTATCAGATCCTCAGACTCCTCCAGCGGGGTGTAGCGCATGCGGGCCAGGAAGTTCTCGCAGATGAGCTCTGTGCTGAGCACGTCCTCGCTGAACCAGACCATGCCGCAGCGACTGACGGTGGCCAGGGTGGCAAAGCGCAGGTCCTGCACCTCAAACATGATGCGCACCTGATAAAAACAAATTTGGTAAATTTTTTTAATGTCAGAATGACTCACAGAATCTTATGAAGCTTTGCCTTGAATGTTTTGATCTTAAGTAACAGCCATGATCAGGTATATGTGATCCATTGTTACCCTATACAGGGTGAGTCAAAAAAAGCGACACCCCAAATGTCGGGACTATTGTTTTAGTGAGGTTTTGCATGTAGCACTTTCAAAATCTAGGATATGAAAGCTCAATTTATAAGCTTTCTGTTAGTACAAGAATCATTGAAATCACTCATGTAATTTTCAGAGATTCCACCAGTATATCAACAAAAAGCCTGAAACACTACTAAAAAACCTGAAACTATCCTTACCCCCTTTCAAGAATGTGTTTTCTGGATGCTTCAGACCAAATCCAGCACTTTTAATTTGTCACATTTTTTGAAAAAAACCTGAATTCAGGTTAAAACCTGAAAAGTGGCATCTCTGAATTTTTAAGTTACGGAATTTTAAACACAACCACCGTTTTAAAGTTCTGTTCACAGATCACAAAAAAGTAAGTGTTCTTTCAGCAAAAGAAATGTGTATGTACTCTAGGGCCCACAGGGTGAACAGTTCTTTGAAAATGATGGGGCCACTGTGGTAAAATAACACAAAATAAAGAAAATAAATCTGCTCACATTAGGAGGCAGACTGAGACGTTCTCCGTTGGGTAGGGTCAGCAGCTTGTTGTCGTCCAGGACACTGTTCAGGTTCTCTACCCATTCCGGGTCGACGTCACCGTCAAAGATGATCCACTGTCTCTTGTTGATCTCACCGCGCACGTTGTCAATGATCCTGCAATGACATAAAGAAGAAATTACAAAATAGTCTGAACACAGCCTCAAAATCTCTCCTGATGGTGGACGGTAATATAGACTTATTTGGCAAACACAACTAGAAGCCATTTTGAGGTGGAACCACGTCCGCGCGCATGCTGCACGCGTTCTTAAAGACAAGGCGCGTGTGCATTTTCTTAACCTTATTGGTCAAAGGAGCCCAGAGTGCGTGCGTATTACCTGAGCGCAAATGTGGTTCCACCTCAAAAACTGGCTTCTAATTTTGTTCACCAAATTAGTCTATAAAGTCTGATATCTACCAGTGTCGTCATTAGCCCAATGACCTATGAAGTAGGGGTCAACTGATAATTTAAATATCCATGCACGCACAAAAAGGGCATTGCATTCCACATGATGTGCAAGTGTATCTGGAGAAGTGGACCAATCAGACTAAAGGAAGCAGCATTGTCAAGACGCATAGCAACCAATCAGATTTCAGAATCACTTGGGCCTTGCCTGTCATCATGTACACATGTTATATGAGATCAGGTCTCCAGTCCAGGTAATTTATATATCTAAGCGAATGAAGGTGTTGTGACATATGGGAGGCATTCGGGCAAAATGAGACAGAACTGGGCACACGCCATCGTGGAGAAAAATGCAATGGGGTGATTTTTTTTTAGGATTTCAGATTTAGTGATATTTGTAATCTTTGATGTCTACTACACATATTGTAAAGAAATAGTATAAAAATTGTGGAATGAAAGTGTTTTTAAGAAAAATCAATTGGCATTTTCATGAACACAAAACTTGAAATGTTAAAGGCCTTTTTCTCAATTCTTGACTTGACATGTTGTAAACTTTAAACAGCCATAACTTGTCAACGGAATGTCCAATTGAAGTGCCACAAACAGCATTGTATGAGAATTTTATTCTCTTTCCTGATACTCGCAAACCCTCATTTCAACCTCTACCCAGTTCCGTCTCATTTTGCCAGAAATCTCTGGAAATTTGCAACTCACTTTCTGAGGATGTGTGTGAAGAGACCGTCAGTCCACTCTCTGGTGTTGGGATCCAGGTTGCCGTACAGGTCCTCCTTGGACATGGCCTGTCAAGATAATATTTCATAAAAATAATACCACGGCGTTACAAAAACAACTGCTGCCTGTTGTGGTATGGTCCACGGGCAAATGGCACCTGGGGCAAATGGCACCTGGGGCAAATGGCACCTGGGGCAAATGGCACCTGGGGCAAAGTTGCACCATTTGCCACCTCGGATGTTTAAAATACCATGGACATTTGCAGCCAGAAACAATTGAATACATGACAACCAGAAGGGCAACCAAACTCAACTCCACCACAATTTTTTTGTTCAATTTTGATAAAAAATGTCAACATACGAGGCGTGATATACTAACTTTGGGGTCGATGACATGAGCAACGCCTTCCACTCCTTCCAGTCTTTCCAGAGACTTGAGGAGGGCCTTCCAGGCCATACTCTTGCCGCTGCCGCTAGGACCCACCATCATCAGACCGTGGTTCAAGTTGGAGATCTGGTACAGTTGCAACACCTGTGAAAGGTAAAATAAAATGTCTTGAACTACTCCACCTTTACTTCAGTGCTTTGAACTAATTCAAAATCAACAAATTCTAGCATAGGGCTTATCCAACTCAGAAGGTAGAGCCTGATATGATGTTCAGGCTAAACCCTGGCACACCTTGGCCAGCTCGCACCTCAAGTCTTTCACCTCAGCCTCAGTGTACTAAAACACCCTTCTACCCTTACCACTGAGTCAGGACTTTGCTTCTTACCTTCTGCACCCACTGTGTGCCCATCTTGTCCCCTTCTCCGTCGGTCAGGTACATCACCTGGCCACCTTGGCCAGCTTTCACCCGAAGCCTTTCATCTCAGACTCTGTGTACTGGACACCTTCTACCCTTAGCAATGAGCCAGGACTCGGTGTCCTACCTTCTGCACCCACTTTGTGCCCATCTTGTCGCCTTCTCCATAGGTCAGGTATATCACCTGGCCACCTTGGCCAGCTTTCACCTCAAACCTTTCATCTCAGACTCTGTGTACTGGACACCTTCTACCCTTACCACTGACCCTGAACTTGCCTTCTTACCTTCTGCACTCACTTTGTGCCCATCTAGTCTCCTTCTCCATAGGTCAGGTACCTCTCCTGGCATATCTTTGCCACTTCCTGCCTGAAGCCTTTCATCCCAGCCTCCGTGTCCTGGACACCCTTCTATCCTAACCAGTGACCCTGAACTTGCCTTCTAACCTTCTGCACTGACTTTGTGCCCATCTTGTCGCCTTCTCCACACGTCAGGTACATCACCTGGCACGCCTTGGCCAGCTCACACCTCAAGCCTTGCATCTCAGCCTCCATGTACTGAACACCCTTCTACCCTTCTACTGAGCCAGGACTTGGCTTCCTACCTTCTGCACCCACGGTGTGCCCATCTCATCTCCTCAATATAAGTCAGGTACGTCTCCAGGCACACCTTGGCCAGCTGGCACCTCAAGCATTTCATCTCAGTCTCCGTGTACTGAACACCCTTATACCCGTCTACTGAGCCAAGACTTTGCTTTCTTACCTTCTGGACCCAGTGTGTGCCCATCTCGTCTGCTTCTCCGTAGGTCAGATACATCTCCTGGCACACCTTGGCCAGCTCACGTCTCAAGCCTTTCATCTCAGCCTGTGTGTATTGGACACCGGGGAAGACGTCAGACAGCAGGCTGTGGAGTAGTGGGATGTCCTCGGCTACCAGCTTGGGCACCATGGTCTCGCACACACTCTGGATCAGAATCTACGAGGAACAGACAACGGGGATTAACACAACAGCTAAAATGTGATTCTGGGCTATGCATTGAGGAGAGCATTACTTGAGAGAAGTTTGAGGATTCACAAGGTGAAATGACAAATTCTAGACACGTCAAGTGTAGTATCTTTGAAGAAACCAGATGTGTAACTGGAAATTTTGGTGAGTGTGCTATACATTGCTCGAGTATTCTAAATGATTTTATGTCTCTGTCTCGCGCTCCTGAAAAAATTGGCTCTGCTCCTAAATCTGAGCATTGCAAGCGCCCACACTGGACTCTGCAGACAAGTAACCCCGCAAAGGTTAACAGGAGATACTGAAGAAAACTCATAGACTGATCCATTGATGCCTGCTCAGTGTGCACAGGGTCAACACCACGTGCTTCCCTCCGATGATCCGGTCACGCTCATCATGTCACACACAAGTACGTTGGACTTATGTGCGCGCATGTCAGACATTAAAGACGGCTCTGATTGGTCAAGGAGACATGGGGAGGGGCTTAATGGACAGGTCTATTGCCATGATGTGCAGTCAAGACTGTTCCTCTCCAAAGACACTTGGTTAATTCACATTCCCATTAAAATTAGTTGTGCATACCTCTCTGCTGTATAGGTCATTCTATAAATTTGGGATCCATTTTTTAACTGTTCCTGTTACATCTGACATCTACAATTGCACAATTCTAATGTACTCCTCAACGCAGTCGTCCTCCAAAAGTGATTATGAATAACAAACTACCTACACAACAAATACAAAATTGTTTGAAGTCATTATTAATGATACTTGAATGGCAAATTACAAAATACCAAGGTATCAGGGACAGGTCAAAAAACTACACTTTGGACCCTAAATGTATAGAATGACACATATATCCATGAATCAATGTGCATGCAACTTTGTGTCCTGCACACTCGCTCTTACATACAGGTATCTTGTCTGTGAGGGTGTTGAGAGCAAGCCACATTTACTTTACCCTGCAATGAAGTGGACACATTCCTTGAGAGAGCAATCTGATACCTACCTCTTGCTCGGGCAACCTCTCTGAGATGGTTCCCTCATCCGCCTCCTCTCCGCGTTCGGCAAGATCCTCCTTGATCCTCTGAATGCGATCTCGCTTGACGTTACCGGCGCTGACCAGGACGCTCTTGAGGGCCCGCAGGCCAAAGTCGTAGTGGGACTGGGAGGAGAGTTGCTCATCGCACAGTCTGAAAAGAAATGAAAGTGGTTGAGTTTCAAATTTCTTTACGAAGTTTGTGGATTATTGCATGTTATGCAGTCATTTAGGTTATAAGGTTTTACGACATCCTGGCTTCATATTCAGATTCGGCTGTGGGATTCAGAAGCATGATTTTCGTCCCCCTAAGCTGAAACCTTGTGTCTCAATATAGCTCCATGTTATTCTTCATCAAATCAATTGATGAGACCAAAGTTTGGAGTTCTTTCATTTGATTCCATAGTCAGAGAGGCCGAGATTGGAAAACTGGCTATATTAACCCTAACCCCTTGGATATCTTTACTAGCAAGTATCCCGTATCCGCCAAAAACCACCCATTGTTGCATGCACAAAAATGTTGGTGTTGGTGACTGCTCAGTATGGAGGTATCCTGAATCCATAAAAATCCTGCAGTACTGCTAGGCTTACAATCTTCAATCCATCAAAATCCCCGTTTTCATTACGGAGGTATCCTGAATCTACCCAAATTCTCCAAAACAGGGGTATGGATTTTACTAGATTCAGGGTGGTTAGGTTTACAATTGGCCCATTGTTTATGAAAAGAATTAATGGAAGTTTTAATAGGTTTTCATTGTACTAGTTTGCTAAAACAAATTAAGCATGCAGCTCAAATTCTCCATCTGTGCATAACTGTTTAAACAGATACTACAGTTGAAATGTGGAGCATTTTTTTACATCAATAATTACATGTATGCCAATGACCAGGTTTTTTTTTAATCAGCAAAACAGATTGATCCATTAGGCGCCGTTCACTTTGCATGTGGGCAACATCACGTGCGCTTCTCTGATATTATTATATTATCTTATTCGAGCGCACGCATGTTGATTTGTGCATGCATGGTGGATGTTAACCACAGCTGTGATTGGTCAATGTACATCATGGGGCGGGGCTAAGTGAATCGGTCTATTGGAAGGGTTTGCTTACTGGAAGAAGGGCACGATCTTGGAGGCCAGTTTCTCGGCCGTGCGGAAGCCCTGGGAGTACAGCATGACCTGGGCAATCAGCTGCCTGTCTGGCTTGGTCATGGCCAGGGAACGGAACAGCTTCTTCAGGTTGTCCGGGAGGTTGGAGCGGCCCGCGTAGCCGGGGTTCATGGTGATGAAGATGGCCATGTCTGGGTTGACACGGACCTGCTTGCCTACGATCTCCACACTGATGCGTTCTGGAACAGGGACGGCAGCAAAAAAACCTCCAGATTTTATGAGTTGATCCAAAGGGAAAATGTTCAAAGATATATTTGTAAAGGAGATTTGAAGACTTCAAGGATTGATCAGCTTTTATAACCCAAACCCTATGAAACCCCTGGCTTTAGTTCTGCAAAGGTCAACATGCGGAGCAAGTTTTCAATCTCTGCCAGATTCCGTGGATTCTCCCCAGAATTTTTTTGTCATGGGTTTTCCTCCCACCTTTAAAAACTGAACATATGTGCATTTTCTTCAAATTTCTTCAGGCTGGCAAGCTACAGTGCCAGGGGCATTTTTGACAGATCCCTGGTTTCATAACCAGAATATGAAAAGGTAATACTCCTTCAAACGTCAAAATCAGATTTAAATAAAAATATTATATCAGATGCTTCATTTCAAGACTTTGGTGTTGTCAAGTCGCCATGGTTACCTTTGGACTTGGTTTCTCCCAGTTTCTCCTTGAGCGCCTCCTGGATGGTCTGGATCTGCTGGGAGACGGCAGACAGCATCCTCTCCTCCAGACGATTGAACTCATCAAAGCATCCCCAGGCTCCTACTTGACATAGACCCACAAAGATGCGACCCATTGCCTGAGAAAAAAAAGGAGGACGGCAGAATTTTGCTATAAAGCACGGACAATGTTTCCTTAACATTAACAGTTATTAACCAAAATATTATGCTATGCATACTAGTTGTGACAAGTCTAAACCAGTTTTTGCTCAGCACATAAACTTGCTTAACCAGTTAAAGGCAGAGGACGTGTAAACACGATCTGGCAATGTATATTCCCAGGGGCGGGTGATGGGTAAATCGTCAAGCTTTCCCCGAATATCCGGTGTTGGCCATGTATACAAGTCAGTGGCTCCTATTGGTTTTATAAACATCGTGTTTTGAACTTGAACTAGGCCCCTGCACACGGCCTGTTGTCATAGCAAATATTGCTCTGTGGTGGGGTCTCCGAGTGTTGCAAATTTGTGAAGTTACGGTGACAAGTATCATACAAATATTGTACAAATGACTCTCATCAAGTCAGTTTTTGCGGTGTTTGACTAAATTAAAAAATTTGGCTGATATCTTGTCTTTTTCAACAATGGTGTTCTTTTCAGCCAAAAATAATCCCAGCGGCAAGTGGTTAAGCAACATTTTCTACTTATTAGGTAATCAGCCCAAAATGTCATGCAATTTGTACTACTTGTGGCTGTCATCAGCTGATTTTTTTGCTTATATATTAACTTGCTCAGCAATTATAAAAAAAATTATTAGCTCCATAAAACGGAGCCCTTGTCTAGGTGCGATAGCAAGAAAGCATGTCACTACTTCTGTTGCATTTCAGCTGATTGAATAATTTCAATTAGAATTCGGGATATAAGCAGAAGAATATTAATTATTTACTTTTGCCGATTTCAATCTATCACCTATTGTTTACTTCCTACATCACCCAAGAAATGATTAATTTTTTTACCTGGAAGTCAAATCTCTCATCACAGTTGAAGACTAAGACAAAGCGTCCCAGCTGGTGTCCTAGGGCCTTCACAGACTCCGTCTTGCCGGTACCGGCAGGGCCTGAAATCAGAGTGAGACACAAGTAACACTGACAAGCAAAGAGACGTTGCATGGTTAACCCTAACTCCCTAGGCCTTTTTACTAGGATGTAGCCTCAATCCGGCAAAATCCTCCAATTGGCTTCACGAAAAAATAGCATATAGCCTCAATCATGCAAATTCTTCTATTATTTCTTGAATATGGTCCGTGGGAGGTGACCACTGCCTGAATCCTGCAAAATCCTGCGGCAGTGACTGTCAATATGTTAAGGCTAGGCCAGTGACATCCTGGAGCAGTACGGAGGATTTCAAGCATAATCCAGGCCTATATTTATGCATGGCTGAGCAAAAACAACACAAGGTCCGGCCCAAGACCTTGACAAAGTGCATCCTACGAAATCAGTAACGCACTTTTGCCATGTAACCTCAATCCTCCAAATTCCACCACTTTGGCAAAGAGAATTTTGAAGGATTCAGGGCGGTTAGGGTTAAAACATACTCTATATGCTATTCTCATCGGACCCCTTGCACAGAGCGCCCTCAGGTTTTGTTACTTGTAACACAGAGAAGCTCAAACTTGTCAAGGGGTCTACTGCCAAATGTTCATCAAACAGCAACAAACTTATGCAAAGCTGTCACAGAAAAGTTCTACCGATTGTTTTGAAGCGAAACTGTCACCTTCTGGAAGAAAGCAGGATCTTTACTATGGATTTGTGTAAATATAAGAAAGTTTTCACAAGGCCGACTCTACATCTTGTGATACCAAACTTTGAGGTCTGGTACCCAGTGTTATCAACTTACCAAATGGAGATCCACCTAGTCTGCCCTCCAGAGCCTGCGTCATGGTCAGGTAGCAGCGGTCAGTCAGCGGCGTCTGGACAAGCTTGTCCTGCACGCCCAGGTACTCAAAGCCGTAGTTGAAGCGAGCGTTGGCCATCTGGATGGACAGCTGCTGAAGGACGTCCGTGTGCTTGGGGTCAAAGTAGAAGCGCATCTGGCAGAGCCAGTCGAAGGCCGTGGGGCTGCTGGTCTTGTTCTGGATCAGCATGCGGGTGACGTCACGCTGGTGGACCAGCTCTGTGATCTAAGAGAGGGGAGACGTCAACAGGGAAGTTACACTCAAGGCCAGGGTCCAATGTCAGAGGACTGCTGTGATGTGGGGTATTTTTAACACCTCAGGGGTGCAAAGCACCCGAGGCGTCTGTCGGTGTCTGACTGGAGTTTGTTCCTGCCATGTGCCAGTTTATATCTTTATCGGGAAATACATGAAACACTGTGGTTTCGCCTTTGATTTACTGCAAGCTTTCCTGACAGATATGAAACTGAGCGGTTTCAGTTCTGTCCTGAAGCATGCAAACAGGCCCTACTGGCACGCACAGCGCAAAGGTAATTTATACGAAACGCAGAGTATTTGAGGTAAATTACCTGCAGCACATTGTATATGAGGCAACGTATATGCAGCCCAGTGTATATGAAGTAAACCATTATGGACTGGAAAAGTGGCCATTCTACCGGGCGAGTAAAAAACCCGAAAATCAAAATGGCAGGACCAATTTTTGAATGAAGTTTTGCCTGCAGCACTTTCAAAAATCTAGGATATGAAATCCCAGTCATTAAGCTTTCTTTTTGTACAAGAATCATTCAAATTTCGTTTTGCTGAAAGAACACTTACCTTTTCTGTGATCCGTAGCCAGAACTTTAAAATGCTGTTTGGGTTCAAAATTCCGTAACTTAAAAAGTATACAAGTGATTTGAATAATTCATGTACTACAAGAAAGCTCTTTCATTGGGCTTTCATATCCTAGATTTTGAAAGTGCTACAGGCAAATTTTGGTTCAAAAATTGGTCTTGCCATTTGGGTTTTTTCTTGTCACCCTGTAGACTATTGAAATTAAGGTATAATAGGTGATGTAATCCCGTTGTCCATTAGTACATCATGAACACCTGTAAAATACGAGACGTGAACAAGTCCTCAGCCAATGACATTTCACAATCAAATACCATGATATAACAAGCACAGTTGGAGTACTGAATGAATTACTGTGGGAACATTCTTCCCGTACTTACCAAGTGTTCCAGCTTCTTGCGTCTGACAGGAGGCTGCTCCTGCAGCACCGAGTCAGCCAGGACCTGTAAGGTGTTCTCAACTGTCTGCAGGACACCCTGGAGAGGGGCCATGTCCCCGGGTTTACCCTGGGCTATGACCCCCAGGGCTTTATCCGTGGACTCGGACCAGGAGATCTGGGCTGAGAGCACTACAAGCTGGGCCTGAAAGGAAAAGGAGATTTTTGGGTTTAGGATCAGGAGACAACTTTATGGAGAGTTTTTTAGCACAGAAATTCACTAAACAAAGACAAATATTGGCTACAATATTGGAAAAGTATTTATGCAAACACTCAAAAACGAAACTGCCAAAATATTATGAAACAGCCAACTTGAGTGCAAGTAAATAATAGCATGAAACATCCAGTGAACTCGTTGAGCCTGGTATGCTGTCATTCTCAAGAGAAGAGGATTTTGTAAGGGAATAAATGTGTGCTTGGGAGGTTTTAATCACTCTGTTTAAGACCGCTTGGAGTCTGGGTGCTGATATTCGGCTCAGGTAATTATCAGCACCCAGACTCCAAGCGGTCTTAAACAGAGTGATTAATACCGACCGAGCACATATTTATTCCCATTCATAAATACCTTTCCGGTCAAAAAAATCTCAGCCTTTCGGTAAAAAAAAAGCCCAATTTTGTTCAACAAGCTCACTTCATGTTTTTTTAAACACCCCTCTGGCTAAATAATGGAGTGTCCAGCTGGCGAGTAAGATGTAAAGAACTCCTTTTATGAAGATTGGCGCGCGCGTGTACTGTGCGAAGTCGCGCAGAATGCACCTGGGGCATTGCATTGTGAATTTAGGACTATAAAATTCTGACCCACTGGTAGTACTGTGCATGCCTATGTGAGGATTGTGAACATTCAACCACTACAAAGGCAAGAGGCACTGGATTTTTAGGAGTCCGAATTTCATGTGACACTGGAAAAGTGTTTAACACCAGCTAGCCATGTCTTTATCATCCGTTTAAGACCGGCCACGTGACAGGCTCTCGACCAATAGAAATGGGTAAACTGTCTTAGGTATTTATGAATATCGGTTCTAACAGAGCTGAGGCCCTAACAATCTCTGAGAACAACCAGTTTTCTCAAATACTACATCTGTCAAACGAATACAATTAGCATGCCAAAGAGGTCATCAGTTTGTATGGTCTTGTGACATCATGTGCAACTTGCAACACAGCATGGATAGAATTCCCCACTAGGAATCAGTGTGAAGCGCATAGTAACTTGAAAGAGGATGCATTCTTGAGAAACATGCATGCCACTTGTCTGTGTTTCAAAGCAGGATTAGCCATAGATACCAGGATTTCATCAAAAGGTTACCACTTTGGATTACAGCTTTTATTGGCAACAGTTCCGATAACTAAGGGTATGCAGGATGGTCGTTCACAGCTACGGATAGCTATAGGGCGAGTCAGAATGATCTGGACTCAACATTTTAAAGAAAATTTAAACAATATGTAGCAATAATCAAAACAAGTGCAAATGAGATATTTTATAGGCTGGTATTTTGGAGATATTTGGTGAAAGTTCCATTATACAAATTTGAAGAAAAGCGCTAGCAAAGAACACACGCTGAAAACACTCTGACCACGATTCCATGGTTCAACAAATTTATTGAAAACAAATTTATGGAAAACGAGCGACTTCAATGAAAATGGCCTAACTCCTCACCACAGCCTCTAATTTGAAAAATTCAAAATTCCTGTCGAAGAAAAGGTAATAATCATTCATGTGAAATATTCAGTGTTTTTTCTCAATATGCTCTATTTGCCACCAAAAAAATGGTGAACTCGGGTGCAAATCACTCTTACTCACCCTGTAAAGGTATGAATACGCATATCCGTTTACATGCGAAACCTCTCTACAACCATAAAGCTCCAAGAGGCACTTAGTTGTTTTTTTTCAGTGATTTAGATGGAGAAGACAAGCCTACCTGATACTGATCCACCCATTCCAGGAATTTGGCGGAGTCGATCTCCCCCTCTCGGAACTGAGCCATGCCCATCACGGCCGCGGCCAGCAGCTTGGCTAGGGTCACTCTCATCTCGTTCTCAACCAGCGTCAGCCATTCGTTGATCTTGGGGTGCTCGGTGATGGAGACGGGGGTCTTGAACAAAACCTGTATGGGGGCAAAAGGGGACAAGGTTAGGAAATTAAAGCCAACGTTCAAGTTTGAATGATGGGGAGGGGGGGGGGGGTGCCAATGTTCAAGTTTGAACGGGGGGGGGGGGGGGGGGGCTCAGTAATGGACACGGGGGTCTTGAACAAAACATTTATTGGGGCAAAAGGGGACAAGGTTAGGATATTAAAGCCAACGTTAAAGTTTGAACGGGGGGGGGGGGGGGGGGGGTTGACTCATGATCGAAGGCTCAGGGGTGCGAATCCTGCTCCTGGCTGTGTGTTGTGTCCTTGGGCAAGCCACTTCACCCAAACTTGCCTCTCTACACCCAGGAGTATAAATAGGTAACGCCATTAGCTGGGAAGTAACCTGCGATGGACTGGCATCCCATGCAGGGGGAATAGAAATATTCTCAGTCGTTTCATGCCAAGGAAACCAGAGATAAACGCCGGTCCGATGAGCCATATGGTGTAGGGACAGGCTTGACTTTTTACTCAATGTTTGAACTTAGATACACGCAAGCAACTTGAGCTCCCATGACTCGATACTGATCAGTTCCTCAAAGTAAAAGGAGGCTTTAATTGTCACTTCTACCAACATCTTGTCAATAAAAGTCTGCACCATGCAAGCAAATTATCTGAAAATCTTGCAATGTTGTAAGAAAGTCAATCAAAGGACAATCCCATGTCAATCACAAATCTCTCATACAACAACCAAAGTCAATCACAAGTCAATCATAAATCACCTCAAAAGTCCGGTCTCAAGTCGAGTCGCAAGCAAGTCAAATGAACTCAAACATTACTTTTTCTTGGTAGATATATGACTTGGGATATACTTACCATTTCACTTGTGATTAGATTTGTGATTTGAACTGCAAGTCAATGAGTGATTTTGGGATCAGGTTGGCGTAGCAGTTCTTTCCTCGACCTTCCACCACTGTGACCCGGACTCGAATCCCGCCTGGGCCAATATCTGGATTGGGTTTTCAGTCCCTGTCTGATTCCGTGGGTTTCCCCTAGAACACCATTCTGGGATTTTCCTCCCACCTCTAAAATTGTAATTTCCTTTCACATCTTCTCCCAAGGGACCCCACTGGAAAAGGGTCAAAAGATGTTCGTGGGCTATCTTGGCCAATCGCCGAATCATGCATGTCGACTTTCATTCTTTTTCTGATATGACTTGTGATTTGACTAGAAATTTGACTTGCAGTTTGACTTATGATTGATTTGTGATTTGACTTATGTTTTGAATCGTGATTGGCATGATTTTACAACTCTTGAGGTCTGGTGCCCTGTCTTTACCTCCTCCCCCTCCCTGGAGGCAATGCCCAGGACCAGGCTGAGATCCTCACTCAGGTTCAGGGCGGAAACTCCAGCAAACATCTTCTTGAAGTGCTTCTGGAGTTTCTCCACGTTCTTGCTGTTGCCGATGATCTCCAGAAGGTCCTCGTCTCCCACAAAGTAGAATCTGTTGAGAATGATGTTTGATTACGTTATTCATTATCCAACTATGGACTCATCTAGGTTTCTGCGGGAGTAATGCAAACTAATTGGTCCAGATGTGAATTGATCTGTGATTTACTTGTACAGGGCTTGTGATCCATCACAAGTACCTCATCTACAACACTGACCATGTCACAGACTCAAAGAGCTTTTTGCAAAATGTTGAAGATGGAAGCAGGGACCTTGAACCTCACCTTGGGAAGGAAGCCCTCTCCCTCTCCAGGTACTCTCCGAGAGCTTTCTGGATCTTGCCCAGCAGGTCCGCGAGTCTCTCCAAGGAGCGCTGGACGCCAGGGATGTTGACCACGTCCAGGATCAGGGGAGACTTGGCCACTTTCTTCATCAGGGCCAGGAACTCTGTGCTGATGCTGCAAAACAAGGAAGGGTCATCTTAAGAGGTTACAAAAATGAACGCAAGATGTAAGAAGAAAACTTGGAAGGGTAGGGCGATGAAAACTGGAGGTTTCAAGTAATTAACAAATAAAATTTCATTATATAAGATATCGAATGCAGTACCCGCTGGTATATCACATTCAAACCAGCCAGCCGACTGAAGCAAGCTCAATGGTCTAGTGGTAAGACGTCTGCACTAGTAAGCAGGCAGGCATGGGTTCGAGGCCCACCCAAGCAAGCGTGTGAATTTTCTTCTCGCAAGCTCTCTGACAGGACTGAGTGCACAATGAGTATATAGTTTTGTCGGTGAAGGACAAAATGCAACATTAAGATTGACACAAAAGCCAGAAATCAAGGTTTCCAAACAGAAAACAGCCATCCCATTGTAAGTGAATACCATCTTTGCTGATAAGTGATCTAGTTGCTGCGCCAGGGAACTTAAATCCAAATTGGATTTTTAAAATAGCAACGGAAGAGCTACTTTCAGGGAATATTCAAATGCGTCGAGGGGTCTTAGTAGAGCAGCAGCAAATTTTTTGTGTGTAATCAACTGTTAGCTTATTGCGTAGCTGCGCAAAAACAATTTTTCGCACTGTTTCTCGAAATAAGCTGCAGGACTGGAGATGAATATTTTGAGATGAGTACCTTGAGAATCGCTGCGTCTCCACCGGCAGGAGATGCTTGATGTCAGCACTGCCTGAGAAGATGCCGTCCAGATAGACCCATCGGCGCTGGACGTCAATCCAGACATCAAACAGGGCATTGATGCGGTTCAGCTTGTCCTCCCATGCCAACGCATCCTCCTCAAACACCTGATGTCAAAACAAACAGAACAACAATCTGTTACAGATCAAAAACAACAACAAAACAAGACAAGGTGATCCGCGGATTACATGCGTCGCTTTTTTTGTGTAGTATGGGGAGAGTTTCATGGCCGCCACATTGTTGATTGTGCTCAAGTTTCACCAGGAGGTTCTACGAGGTTTTACGGGGCACCTCGAGGTGCAACCTTTCAATTGATTTTGCATTTTTCGACTGATTAGTTTGGAAAGGGAACCTACCTTGTAGGATGGGAAGAGTTTCATGGCTGCCACATTGTTGATTGTGCTCAAGTTTCACCAGGAGGTTCTACGAGGTTTTACGGGGCACCTGGAGGTGCAACCTTGCATTTGATTTTGCATTCTTCCCTAATTTGTTTGGGAAGGGGACCTACCTTGTATTATGGGGAGAGTTTCATGGCCACCACATTGTTGACTGTGCTCAAGTTTCACCAGGAGGTTCTACGAGGTTTCACTGGGCACCTTGAGGTGCAACCTTGGTTTGATTTTGCATTCTTCCCTTATTCCTTTGGGAAGGGAACCTACCTCGTAGTATGGGGAGAGTTTGATGGCTGCAAAATTGTTGATATGCTCAAGTTTCACCAAGAGGTTCTACGAGGTTTCACTGGGCACCTGGAGGTGGGACCTTGCGTTATATTCTGCATCCTTCCCTAATTTGTTTGGGAAGGGAACCTACCTTGTAGTATGGGGAGAGTTTCATGGCCGCCACATTGTTGACGTGCTGAAGTTTCACCAGGAGGTTCTACGAGGTTTTACGGGGCACCTCGAGGTGCAACCTTGCATTTGATTTTGCATTCTTCCCCTGATTAGTTTGGAAAGGGAACCTAGTTTGTAGTATGGGGAGAGTTTGTAGTATGGGGAGAGTTTCATGGCCGCTACATTGTTGATGTGCTCAAGTTTCAGCAGGAGAATCTATGAGGTTTTACGGGGCATCTTGCGGTGCGAACTTGTGTTTGATTTTTCGTTCTTCTCTTATTTGTTGAAAAGGGAACCTACCTTGTAGTATGGGGAGAGTTTCATGGCTGCCACACTGTTGATGTGCTCCTTGACCTTTGTGAAAAGGTCGTCCCAGCCGCGGATGATCCGGCATTTGTTCTGGAAGTTGATCAGATCCAGCTCGTAGGATTGCCAGACATCACGGACCTAAACAGATAAAAATATTATTGGTATTTAACTTTATTATTTCTTTTTTCTCCATACACATGTAAAAAAAGGCGCCGTAAAGGTTTCAGTACAACGAATTGTGAAACTGTTTTCTATCAGCTTCAATCAATTTCTGTCGTGATTATATTTTCAAATATCGCAAAAAGTGAGCTGCAGCATTCAAAAGTAAACCACGATGTTTGACAAATTGTGAAACGTTGTCATGGCGGTGGACAAAACGTAAACCAGGCGAACCACGCTGTTACAAAGACGGCAACTTGTGCTTTATAGATCACCAGCCGGTCTCTCTAATATGGCTTCAAATGGCATTCTTCTGCAGCTTTCTGTACGCTATCCAGTCTTTATATACAGATCAGTGGTTTGAACCCCTAAAACTGAAGAGTTAAAGTACCCTAATTTGCTAAAAAATATAGCGTAATTTAGAGTATTTCAACAGCTCCTTGCAAAAAAAATTGTAGGAAGTTAGGCCTGCTGACCAAGAAGATTTACTAAGCTACTTGCTCCTAGAGCAAAACGTCAGAACCTACAAACCTGTTTGAGGAATTCCTCCAGGGCCATTTCTCCTTGAGCCACGTTGATGATGTCGCGTACGATGTTCTCGTTCTTCTGCAGGTCCACGTCCCAGACCAGGCCCAGGGTCAGCTCTGACAGCACCCAGCTGACCCTGAGACGCTTCATCAGCTGCTTCCAGTGTCGCTCCTTCAGGGCTTCCGACTTGAGCTCCACCACCAGCATGTTGACCTGGTTTAATAAAGGCCCCGGTTAGGAATTAATACAGTTTAACACACCGACTGTGCTGGTAAAGGCCAGTTATGACACAAGGTTTAATTCACTGACTTGGTTGCATGTTGGTAATTGGTAAACTGAAGTAATTGCTGAGCATGGATGGATTGTGATACAAGGTATTATATACTGGCCAGATTGGAAAAAGTTGATTTGATATCAGGCTTAACCCTAACTCCCTAGGCATTTTTGCTGGGATGCAACCTCAATCCTGCAAATTCCTCCAACTGCCTCCATGTAAAAATTGCATACAGCCTCAATCCTGCAAAATATTCCGTTTTTTTCTTGAATGTGGTCATTGGAGGGGTGACCACTGCCTCAATCCTGCAAAAATCCTCCAGCAATCACTGTCAATGTTGAAGCACAGCCAGTGACATCCTGGAGCAGTGCGGAGGATTTCAAGTATATTTTAGGCCTAAATTTATGCACGGCTGAGAGCAAACAACACAAGGTCTGGCCCAAGACCTTGACACAGTTCATCCTCAAAAATCAGTCACACATTTTTTGCCATATAGCCTCAATCCTGCAAAAACCTCCATTTTGCAAAGAGAATTTTGGAGGACTTGGGAAAGTTAGGCTGAATAGATTAGCCTGGCTTGTAAAAGTGGATACGATATCAGGTCTAACATCCTGACATAGTTTGTAAGCGAACATGAGCAAGTTCAGAGGACTATGATGAACCATAGTTCAATTAACTTCACTCAAACGCAGGATAGTTAGACTACTCTAGTGGACTACTTAGAGCCAGAGCCCAGGACAACGTTGCATCACTGGTTACCAATAACCATGCGCATCATAAAGCACTGCTCAGAGCCAGGACCAAGAAGTTTTGGGATGACGTCAATGTGACCAGGGCCCAATTTCATGGTTATGCTAACCACATAATTTCGCGCTTACGATAACTCTTTTGAGCTAACCACGCTAGCAGAAAAATTCCCTTACCCTGTAAGCACAGAATCATTAGATACGGGATGCACGAATGCGTAGAAGCCAAACTTCCACGCTAACGCGTGAAATACGCTTACCGTAAGTACACAATTTTCTGCTATAGTAAGCAGGGATTTTTTCGCTAACGGTAAGCAGAGGCAATAAACTGGGCCTTTGACTAGAGGCATTCGCATGTTGCTATTAGTGCGACGCAAGTTACGACACAAATCAACCACTTGTCAACTAATTGTCCTTGGCCGAACTTGCTCTATGATGTCATATTTTAACACATTGACCTGGTTGGTAACAGTACAGGGTGAGTAAAAAAAACGAAACCCAAATGTCGGGACCATTGTTTTAGTGAAGTTCTGCATGTAGCACTTTCCAAATCTAGGATATGAAAGCTCAATTCATAAGCTTTTTGTTAGTACAAGAATCATTCAAATCACTCATGTACTTTTCAAGTTACAGAGTTTTTAACACAACCGCCGATTTAAGGTTCTGTCCACGGATCACAAAAAATTCAGTGTTCTTTCAGCGAAATGAAAACAAATCACAGTAGGATGTGTGTGAATTGTTTTGTTTTGCTGAAAGAAGGCACACCTTTTTTGTGATCTGTGGACAGACTTTAAAACGGTGGTTGTGTTTAAAACTCCGTAACTTAAAAAGCACACGAGTGATTCGAATGATTCCTATACTAGAAGAAAGCTGATGAATTGGGCTTTCGTATCCTAGATTTTGAAAGTGCTACATGCAGAACCTCACTAAAACAATGGTCCCGACATTTGGGTTTTTTTTTTTTTTTTAACTCACCCTGTAGATAAGACAAAGCTTACGTTTTCGAAAATCCCATTAAACTGTGATCTAGTACCTTGGCGTATCCCTTCAGCACCCTCTGTACATGCTCATAGGAGGCGTACTGTCGCAGCCGCGCCGGCAAGCTCTTGAGCTGCGTCATCAGTGCGTCCAGGCTCTGTCGCAGCTTGCGGGGAGCCACCGACAGCCAGGGCTTCTCCTTGAGCTCGTCAATCTGCTCCCAGATGCGGGCCAGCTCACACCAGACTCCCTTGAGATCCTGGAGCTCCTCCAGGGCCACCTGGACTCGCTCCTCGCTAGGACTGGCCACACCTTGAGGAGTGAATGGATATCAAATAATTCAAACTTTGGGCTTTGAATTTAACCAGTGAAAATTTATAAGCATTGTATCCTTATTGTTGTGAGAAAAATTCAAAATTCCTCACACTTAACAGTGATTGATTGCGATACCCACCGCTACATCAGATTTAAACCAGCCGACGGACCCCGGCTAGCTCGGTGGTCCAGTGTTAAGATGTCTGCACTAGTAAGCAGGAGGTCATGGGTTCAAGTCCCACTTGAGTTAACTTTTGGAATTTTATTTTTTCTTGCAAACCCTCGGACAGCACTAAGTATACAGTGCTTATGTTATTAAGGGCAAAACAAAATATTAAAATTTAACAAGCTTGCTTGGACAGGATCCAAACACAATAATTACAAATGATGACGTTGTAACTACTTGACCATCAAGCTTGCTTGAGTTTACACAGTTATTCCTCTTACCAGATGTGCTGGAAGAAGCTCACATCAGATCACTCTCATTCATAATTAGATTTTTTTTATGAGAAATTGACTGTTCTCTAATGTACCTTTTGTCTATGGATTTATACACCTTATCTTTTAAATTATTTTCACCATGGGAGGGATTATTAGTTCATGCATCTGAACAACTACTGGAAAGATGCTTCCGATGTAACAAAGACTCAAAGACTGACCATCAATTCCAATTTGATGTTATGAAAGTTACAAAGCATTGGACAATTATAAAAGATCCTCAAACCAATTCAAACAGCAAATTACGATGTAAGATTGTAATGCTTCCTTAGAATCGACTCATGGAATGCTACTCTGCAGTCTATAATTCCTCCCGTTTCTAAGACTGAACATTTCTTTATTGTCTTCGCTCTTTAGCTTTCATTAGGTTTCGTTATGTACCCTTAGGCCATAAAACAAAGTCTCCGGTTTCTGGTATGCACGTGTTTTTAGATTGGGTTATAGTCGAGAATAAGCTTTATGTGGCCTCTCTGGACTCCCATATATTTGCACTAAGTTTAGTCGGGCACCATTTGCAGTCATCAGCCGACATTTGAAGCAAAAAATCAGTTAAAAAAAAAAAAAAGCCGCGTCACCGCACCACTTTTTGGGCAAGCTCCATACCAGAAACCGGAGACTTTTTTTTTTTGGCCTTAGTGAACATTTGTGAACACTTATGTTTCATTCTCAGAGAACAAAAATCAGATTGGATTGCTCACCGATTTCTTGGAGTTCCAGCGCTTCCTTGGCCTTGGTGATGTTGTCCCGGTCCTCCTTCAGCCGAGCAAACTTGCCCTCGAAGATGGTCAGGGTGTTGGTGGCGAGGTCTGGCCTCAGCTCGCCGTCGATGGGCTTGTTCTTCTCCCATTCCGTCAGGAGTTCTGTGGTGCGAGCCTCCACGGTCCGGTCCTCCGACACGATCTTCATCTGCAGGCTGGCAACCTTTAAACAGGAAGAGACAACAACTTTGATGAAATTGAATCCAATGTATTGTTGAGTTGGACGAAATCCAATCACAAATCTAAAGTAATGACTCAGGAGTGGTTTTTGCAATTCCAGCGTTATGAAAGGAAGTGTAATGTCCATGACAGAGCAAATTGTGCAAAATGATACAAAACTCCTAGTCTGTAATCTCCTTGACCATTACTAGATGATAGTGACCATTACTAGATGATAGATGTGTGAGATTTGAAAAACACATTTTCAGGTTTATCCACTGAGCTCTTAAAAGCTCTGTCACAGACATTACATGACACTAGAATTCGGGCGATTCACAATGCAGTGCGTCACCAAGAGTTTGCCATGGAGAATTAATTTTTCCCAGTGCATTGTGGGAGATGGTCGACAAATTCGCAGCGCGGGACATTTGAAATTGTTCGTTTTTCCGGTCAGTAGTTTCATAAGCGTATGATTCGAGTGTATGTTTGCCCTTTTCTTTTCTTTTTTATCAAAATGGTGATTTTTGGTAAGGCGCAGAACGCTATGCCCCAATCAATAATAATCAGCATTTAAGAACGCTCTTATTAGTAAACTAAATCAAAGCGCTTACAGTATTATTATTACCCCTGATCATTGGGCCAATTAAACATTCCAAATACCATCTCAGCTCCCTGGTGAGTATACAGCTCGATGCTGCCTGTTAGGCGCAAGCAAGCTTATTCAATCACAATAACCATTTCTGCCCTCACAGGTACCCATTTACTCCTGGGTGGAGAGAAGCAATGAGTGACAATGTGCCTTGCTCAAGGGCACACGCACCATGACCCTGGCTGGACTCGAATAACAAATTAGCTGAAGTTGTCTTCTGGCCATGTTTTGTAGACCGTAACTTGAAAAGTTTACTCTCCATGGCAAACTCTTGGTGGCGCACTGCATTGTGAATCGCTAGAATTGCCCATATACAACATGTAAAGTCACTACTTTAAAATAGAGATGGCTGAGACGAAAATGAGGAGTTATTTTGATGTTTCCCCTGAAGAAAGTCAGAGCATACTGACCGACACCTCAAGATAACACTTCTTGTACCTTACAGAGCCATATCAGTATTAGAAATGCATATGATGCACCAACAAAATGCTCAAAGTTGTAACTTTCACCCTTTAACGCCTTAGTCACATGAATTTAATGATAAAGACACTTTACAAACAATTTATATCAAACTGAAAACTGCAACATACTCTGGAGGTTTTCCAAACCCAACTTGTGCTCCAGAAAAAAATTCAAGCCTTTTATGCTCACCCTAATATTTATTTTATTAATATTGTAAAATTTGGCCTCTAACTAATTTGATGGCCTTAAAGACAAACAGGATAATTTGCTTTTCATGCAGTTTGTTTGTTTCCAATAATAAACCACTCAAAATCCAAAGAAGAATGTAAACAACCTTACCTGTTGAAGTTATATTACACTTTTCGAGAAAACAGCAAATGACAGCAAGCCAGACGGAATAATTTCACTGGGGGTGTTTGGTACCAGTAGGATTTTTAATTCAAGTAAGCTTTTTGGTAATAATTTAGTAGGTTACTTCTGGGATATTAAAGCAGAGAAGGGAACTATACTTGAGCAGATTCCCGAAGGTCAGGGGAGTTAATTTCTCTTGAGGCTGCAGCCTGATAAAAGTCAAGTCTGGAAAACCCTTTGCAAAGTCAATCCAATAGGGCTCGCTCAATGACAGCCATCTCTGTAGGAGAACTGCAACTGCGTATTTTACGCTATCAAGCACGCATTGCGCAGTGTTGAAAATGTTCCAAACACATGCGCTTGTTGCTTGAAATGTGTTCGAAAAACGACGCAGCCGATGCGCTTTATGCACACGGATGGTCTGTAGGAAATGCCGTCATTTGAATGAGACCTATACACGAGCTCCTTACCTGTTGTTGGATAGCTGTGTCCTTACGCTTCATGATCTCATTGTAAGCGCCCCACTCGCCCTCGATGTTATCCACATACAGCCAGCTGGAAGGAAACTGGTAGCGCTGACGTTCCAACAGCTTCTGTCCTCCACGGTACATCTAAATGACCAAGGCAAACAGGTGTCAAGGCAAGTTTATAGTTGGTCGCGCGATGACAAACATCCAACATTGATGGACGCTGAATGCTCAGTATTTATTTGGCACTTTATATTCGTCGCGTGGCAGTTGTAAACATATGCGCATCATACACGATACACAAGCAAAATTCAACTGTGAAATATAACAATCAAGAATTGTTACTGCTGAATAAAATTACGACTATTTCTCGCTCTGGTGGGTTGTTGTTCGCTGTTCGGTTCTAATCGACGTCTTATACCATTTAAGCAAAAGTAAATTCATTGAAAATATTAGGTAAATAAATAAATATAACACGTATAATGTCGACTTTTGATGTCTCGCCCTTCATCCTCAGGTAGAAATTTGCTTTCACATATTACTGACAATAATGTTTTCTGTTCATTTTCGATTCTGTTATCAGCCTGCCGTATAGCAAAACACCCGAAAATTGCTTTACAAAAACACAGTCGTCAATTTTGTTCGATTAATAACTTGTATTTGCATTTTCATTATTTCTCAAAGATCAAGCAATCCTATAGACCTTTCTATCGTTTGTAAACATTGAGCGCCAATTTGTATGGGCTGCTGCAAGCGCATAAATCGAAGTCGTGGTTGGCAACATATTTTTCCTAAAAAGTCCTCATAACACCCTCATTACATAAGTAAAAGGCTTGTTTGGGAATTATTGTGTAATGTTTGTTGATAATCATGTATTTTCAAAAATGAAATAACATTTTTGTAATAATTAATAACTATTCTTCATTTTTGCAGTGTGGGACCTTCCAAAGTTTGGCAACCTGTGGTTGGCAAAATGAGCCAACCACGTGTCGCCGAAAGATAGGTCTATTCGTTCAATGATGAAAACTGAGGTCAGTGACCATGTCAAAATTCAATTATTTAAACTCTGTGGTGACGTCCCCAGCGTCTTTCAGAGACTAGTTGCTGGCACATCAGTGACAACTATAAACTGCGTGTAAGATGATCGCGCATCAATTTTACAGTCGCGCGATCATCGCGCGATCTACTATAAACTCGGCCTTAAAACAGTGGTAATGGTTGCGCTCAGATTTATACCCCTCTCAACAATTATGGAATCCATGCACTAATACCCCTTCTCAAAATTTTCAGCTGAATAAAAGAAGTTCATTTTCATTTGATTAAAACAAAACAACCCAAAAAAAACCCAGAATGTGTATGTCACACCGAGTATCAGCGTGTGTATGACTCACCTCGACCTGTTTCTCCCAGGCCCTGTACTTCCTCTTGAGGTTCTGTACGTAGGTGATGAAGCTGACGGCATCAGAGGTACTGGCCGTGTCCACTGAGTGTTGCTCCAACTCCGTGCGAGACTAATGGTATCAAACAAAGAAAAACACCTGAAATTAGATTCCCAAATGGGGTCCAAAAGTGTGACATTTTTTTGTTTTCCTGTTACACCTGACCTGTGTAATTTGCCATGCAAATATCATTAAAATTGACTTCAAAACTATTTGTATTTGTTTGGCAAGTACTTTGCTTTACATAATCACTCATAGAGATAGAAGGCATTGAGGAATATGTCCTGAATTTACACAATCTTATATCAGATGTAACATGGACACAGATTTATGGAATGACTCTTTTCATCAATCATTCAAATGAAGTAAAACTAAAAATTAGGCAATTAGGAGATTAAATTTGTGAATGTTAAACAGAGCTATTCCCACATCGGATACACTGAAGCAGTGTGATCATTTTTGAAGAAAGAAAAACAGGGGAAGGGGAAAACTTTAACCAGCAACATGCAAACTTATGCAAATAATCTGGCCTGAATGCCTGTTTGTACCCCAAACTGCTGTCATTACCAGGGTTGAGATTGAGTTGAATGAAAAATCCACACAATAATTTCCAGAGAGTCTGAAGGTCACTGAGGGTCCAGAGTAACATAGGGTCAGTATGGTATTTGTATTCGCCCAAAGGCACGCCTTGAACTACCCATTTTTTGGTTCTATATTTACAAACCTTTATAGGTAAAAACATCTGTACGGTAAAACCTTAGGAATTTCAGATTTCAAAAGGGACTCTTTCAAAATCCTTAACCCTCAACCTCCCCAACTCCATCAAAATCCATCCCCCCATTTTGGGGGACTTGGTCCTGCAGGCCTGGTTGGACTAAATATTGATGGGAGTATGATGGACTTGGGCCTGGACGACTAAAGCAAAGCCTGCATTGGAAGCAGTGTGATTGATGGATTTTGGCAGACTTGGTCCAGTACTACGTAAAAGACAGTGCTGGTTAAAAAAAAATCCTGAAATCGGGAAAAATCCTTCACATTTCCCCCCTGCAAAATTTTACCCCCCAGTCTAACCTCAGGAACTTCAGATTTCACAAGGGACTCTTTAAAAATCCTGAAATCAAGACAAATCCTCACATCCTGAAATTAGCAAAATTGCTTTACGGCACCCTCGTTTACTCAATAAATGACCTATTTGGTTGTGAATTTGTCTCTGACCTTTGCCAGGGAGCCGTGGAAGTCCGTCATCTCAGATCCCAGGTTGTTACCAAACTTGCTCAGGATCTCCTTGTGCCAGGCGTCATACTTCATGTTGACCTTGGACTGCACCTTGCCGTAGTCCACCACCATGGGGCCGAATTCCTTGCGCGTCTCGGCGTTGTCGAACGTGGTGCGAGATTGTCTACAACGTGAACAAAAATTAGACTTACCAACGGGCTGCAGTAATTGAATATTAGTCAATCATCACCACAAGTCAAATCACAAGTCCACCACAAGTCAAATCACAAGTCCATTACGAGGCAATCACAAGGAACTTTATTGTAGTTTGTTTAATGGCTCATGACTTGACTCAAGACTTGACAACTTGTGACTGACTTGTGATTGACCTGTGATTGACTTCCACTTGGCAACATCTCTGTCTACAACTTTTACTACTACTAATAATAATATTGATTTATTTAGCACACATATCAACCAGGTTATCAGTACAATATTATTACTGCCATCCACCAGGCCAATGGAAACATTCCAAAGACCATCTCAGCTCCCTGGGGAGTATACAGCTCAATGCTTTCATATCAGCGCAATCAGCTAATCAAACACATAACCATCTCTGCCCTCACAGGTACCCATCTGCTCCTGGGTGGGGAGAAGCAATGGGTGACAAAGTGCCTTGCCCAAGGGCACACGCACCACAACCCCAGGCTGGACTCGAACCCACAACCTGCAGATTTACCCACAAGATCATGAGTTCAGTGCTCCAGACCACAAGGCCTCGGTCCTCCACATTTAGAGGACTTGGGGGACTCATCTTGAATTCTTGTGAGGACTTAACTACCACTCTTTCCCAATGAATTGAAATTAAAGGCATATGGGATCATTTGAATTTATCCCAAAAGTAACCTAGCAAATTATTATCAAAAAGCTTACTTGGATTAAAGATCGTACTGGTGCTAAACAACCTGTGAAATTATTCCATCTGGCTTGCTGTCATGTAGAAGAAATCAAGGAATGTAGCTGATTTCCAACAATCAGTCAGTTGACTGATTTTCGGAAATAAAGAGTTTTATAGAAATAAAGACTGCTATCGTGTTTCGCGATCAAAAGGTTGTGCATGTTGTTTTAGTGTAGTATCCACTTAGCTGAAAATTCAACAGGTTATGTTTTGAACATTCTTCATTGGATTTTGAGTGGTGTTATTATTGGAAACAAACAAAATGCATGAAAAGCAAATGATCCGATATGCCTTTAAATACATGACAAGCCTATTAAATTTGTAGTTCTTTGTACATCCATTGCTTGATATCAACCACCAAGGCCGTCTACTGAATTCTGGAGTACCTTAAGCTGTTTATTTAGCTGTTACCTGATTTCAACTAGCAGTTGCATCCAGAGCTTCAAGTCATCTCCAATGCGAGTGTAGACGTTGTGGGGCTGCATGTCCCACAGGGATTGGTACTGAAGCCACTCCTATAAACAGCAAAAACAACTTAGTTACTTAATACTTTCAATTAGTGACCAATGTGTTTCACGATTACAGAAAAGTGTTGCACAAAACTGAGCACCTCTAAAAATTTAATCAAATTGTCTATTACAAAATTTTCAGTTTTTTTGTGTGTTAAATGTGCTTCTCCTGTGTTCTTCAACAAATTTGATTTTTTTTTCCCTTTTAATAATTTTTTTTTAACTTGTATGTTTTATTCAAACCAAAGAAACCTAATTTTTTTCCTGCAACTATTTGGAAAAAAAATGTTTTTGTTTTACACATAAATGGATTCACTTTGCGAGCAGACTGGTTCCCGGTTGATACCGATTGTGAGGCGGGTACCACTCTACCTCGCGAGAACGGAATTATTGTCAGGCAGCCAATAATTTGAAATGTAAAGTAATATTTCAATACCTAAACACGGGCCGATTTTTTTCAGTCAATGTCTCATTCAAAAGTGAATAACGTTTGCATTGCTGGAAATAGCAATTTAGCAAAGAATCTATTAACATATTATGGCTGTTTCAAGTTCACAATGATCAACACGTCAAAAAAGTAAAACACTGAGAAAAAGGCCTGTAATTTTTTTTTGAGTTTTGTATTCGTGAAAAAGAAAGATGCCAATTGATTTTTCCTTAAAACACTTTTATTCACAAGTTTTACACCATTTCTTTAAAAGTTGTGTAGTAGATATATCAAAGACTACAAATATCAATAAATCTGAAAATTGAAAAAAAAATCCCCCATTCTGTTCTTTGCAATTTTTCTCCACTTTGGCCTGTGCCCAGCTCCATCTCATTTTGCCAGAACGCCTCACATATAATAATTCTAGAATGAAACCACTTCTAGGCCAGTTCATACAGGACGCGAAAGCGACTGTGAATGCAAATTTGTGAGGTCATGGCAGGTATTTGCGGTGCATATTCTCAAAAGGTAACACATTTCGATTCCGGCGATTTTCGCAAGCAAATATTTCCTGACATCATTTTTGATTCGCATTCGCATCACATATGTAGTAGGTGTAATACAACATTAATGAAGTATGGCTTTTACTGACCTTGACATACTCCTGGACTTGCTTGAGGATCTTCTCAATAGCCTCGTAGGGTTCCTCCAAGACCTGTTTGCCGTCGGGGAGCTTGCTGAGGAGGGTCCGATAGACGGCCGTCTTGTTGGACTCGTGCTGCTCAATGCCCACCTAGTTGAAAGAAGCAATGATTGTTGTGTTACTCAATTGATTGATGGATTGATTATTACATTATAATTTGTCAATTCATTGAAAACCACTTTGTTTAAATGTAGGCTCCTTTATTAATTTATATTTCTTTCTTTATGTCTTTCTTTCTTCTTATAATTCTTACCCAGAATATGCTCGAACAGTCAAGAACATAGGTCATTTGCTTTTTGTGCATTTTTTTTGGGTTTGGAGCAACAAAATTGCTCAAACTCATACGAAGGGTGTATAACAACTAAAGTGTTGAAATTTCAGCTCAGTGGATGCTCTACATTTAAACAAAACAGAGAAAATGTATGCACAATATTTGGGGTCTCATAACTGGATTCCATTGCCAAGTCACCTAAAAAAAAAGGTGTGCCTCAGGCAAATTTTTGAAACCACCTTCAATGATTGTTTCCTTCCGAATGATACCATTTCAGGCGGAATAATTTCACAGGGTATTTGGTACCAGTCCTATCTTCACTTTGTGCAAGGATTTTTTTCCGTTAAATCGGTAGGTATGTTTCCAGGTAATTGCAAATGTTCCTGCGTGCCTTTAAAAACTGGTTTCCTTAGGGGCCCTGCATACATTACAGATAACTACATTCAATTAAAACACTGTAGATAGCACAAGACAAGAGTATATCAGCCAGTTTTAACCAGTTTATAACTGTTCCATCACACTATTATCCCATTAACCCTAACGGTCCCCAACCAGCCAAACTCCAACACCAGGGTTTGTTGGAATCTGTTAGGATGAGTACTGCACTCGTAAACTGATCATGCTTTACATGGGATTAGGCATACCACAAATAAACAGAGTCCAACTGTTTACGTGCACAGTTTACCCTATGATGTTGGGATTTGCAAGGATGAGGAAGGTTCCCAGTAAATCACCCTAGGGAGTTAGGGTTGTAATCTTCAGGCATGCAACTGGGAAGTCACAAAAAAAAGAGGAAATTCAAATTTTTTCAAGACTTTGTAGTGTTTTTCTATTTTCAATGGCACACTTGGGAAGTACAAAAAGAGGAAATCAGCTGATCCGAGGAAAAGTTGCATGCCTGAATCTTAGAGTTGGGCCCCTAACCTGGTAGCGAGAGCTCTCTAGTCGCTTGAGGCCTGTGATGATGCGTTCCCAGGCAAAGAGCTGCTGCATGAGCTGGAAGCGAGCCTCCTCGATGGGAGGAGCCAGGTACATGACCTGGTTGGTGATGCGGATCTCGTGGATCATGCCCTGGGAAAACAAACAAAAAGCAAATGGTTTTATTATTACTATTGCACTGCAGTTAAAGGGAATATGCAACATTTGCAAACCTCAAAAAACAAAACTTCCAAATGATTATGAAATACGTTAATGGACTGTTAGTGAATAACAGTCTAAACACATCTTGTAAAAGCATGGCACCTGGTGTGCTGACATTGTCAAGAAAAGTTGTATTTTTGTATCAATTTTCAACGCTGGTCCGACCAGTTGGGAAAAAAAAAATTTCTTCAAATACTGCCCCCAATTTACCATATTTAGTTAGTCCCATTTTGTTTGCAATCGATTACACACCCATGAACGGGTGCAAGCCAGCTAGACTGGTTCCCTGACCTTACAATTCCCTGACGTCTATAAATTTCTCCGTTTCGTCTTAAGTGGGGACAGGGAACTAGAGTACAAGAACATGATAGTTTTTCTTGCTTTTTCCAGCATCTACGAACGCACAACTTTAAGCAAATCAGTGTAACAATTTAACAAAGTACTAACCCCCTGAAAAATATCCATCCATTTCTGAAAATTACAGCAAAAGCAAATGTTGTATATTCCCTTTAGATTTTTATTGACCAAAGAAATTGAATGGAGCGGGGTTTGAACCTCTGACATACGGATTGCCGTTCCAGTGCTCTACCAACTGAGCTATCCAGCCCTATGTCACTGTCTTTGTTCACTTTTTCAGTGAGATTTTACCAGAACAATAGTAAAATGTTAATGCATTGTTATGAAATATACTAAAATTTACCATGACTTTTGCTTTAAAAAAATGGATAAAATTATGGGCACATATAAGGGAAAGAGTTCCATACTGGGCCACCACTCATATTCCCTAATAAGACCTGAAAAGTACCCAAAGTTGTACATCTGATGAAGAAACAGTATTTAAGGAGTGCAAAAATTCTTAAAATACTTGAACTTTTTCTGTCATGCCCATAGACTTAGTGCAGGAAGTCCGAGTGGTGGCCCAGTATGGAATTCTTTCCCATATAAATAATAATAGACATGCCAGTTGCAGTAATCATTCACGTGTGTGTGATGTGTGTCAATGTGCAGTTTGACCTCCACACTATACACTCGCACTGCCCTAACTGGACTTTTGGTCTTTGCTAAATTTGACACGTCAGTTTAACTGGGCAGTGTTAATCCAGTAAAAGTAACCAATTCACTTGGGCAAAGTAACCAAAAGGGCTGTTTGCACTGGACTTAATATGGGAAAAAGTAACCATCATCTCGGTGATTTTTACCCTAAAAAGTCCAATGTGAACACGGTTTTGGCAAAAATCTGGCACTGCTTACTGTGATCTTGGGCTCGCCTCCTGGCTTGTGCTTGTTGGAGACATCGGTGTCCATACTGTCCTCCATTCCCATGTCCTTACCCAGGAGGCACTGGGTCCAAGCTCGCAGACCGGCCTGTAGACGTCGAGCCAGTCTCTTCTCAACCTACAAATGAAAGAGTTGCCATTCAGTAAAATATTGTTCAGGAAACTCTTTGTTGGAAAAAAACCCAAGAAAAACTGATCCAATATCAGTTTAAAGGTCACTTAACTATCCATGATTTCAGAGTGAAGCAAATGCCACAACAAAACTACAGTTCAAATATGCTTGGCTTTTTTTACACTCTCTCTTATCAGTTTAGTTGCAGATAAACTGAATGAATTTTTGAAATGATCCTGTAATGTTGGTACTGTTCTGGCAAGTTTGTGTTTAATTATACATCAAACCGTCATGAGGGGACACTATTGACACCATTTTAGGGGTACAAACAGACATAAATTCAAGTTTTTTGACATAAGTAAACACATACGAAAAATTCAAAATTACATATCTCCAATATTTTATTTTAAGATTGAAGCAAAATTGCTACATTGGTTCAAAAAGTATAACACTTCTACCGTTTGCTCCAAGAAAATAGGCTTCTCATCGCACTACTTCCCTTAAAATATTAAGGCCAATTACATTAACCCAGACAATAGAAAAATCAATCCTGTTCCCCTGACATGCCTTTATACACAGGCCAGTCACCAACAGTCAGATCACATTTCTATTAAGGACAGTGACTAGTCGAATTCCATCAACAGACAAAAAAGCAGATAAATGGTGGGTACAGCTGGCTTATCAATCACCTACAGTCAAAGCAAAGTTGTGAATAGTTACATAAACATTCACAGCCAGTCAATCCTGCAGGGAGCTCTCAACTGTTGAAAACAGTCACTTGATTGATTCTGGCTTTGTTAAATTTGAGAGTCAGAGAGGGTGGGTTAAGTATACATACCTCCATGTCTAGTTTGGCCACCCACTGCGGCAGGTTGGAGTAGGAGTGCAGGTTCAGATCGTCCACTTCCTTCTGAATGTGGCTCAGGATCTCGGCGAAGACATTGGTGTTGTAGTCACAGTGGTCCAAGGATCGCACCTCATTGTCAATCTTCTCTTCAACGAGCAGCAAATCATCAACCTGAACAAATATCAGATGATAATAGAATTCAGCATCTAATGTAGACACAAGCGGTTGATTTTGGAAATAGGGAGTTTACGAAACCGTGAATTCGATGTCAGCTTCGGCTTTGTCTCTGGCTCCAAAATCATTTAGAAGCCTTTCATGTCCAATCCAAATTTAAAATATGCTACATTTTTTGACTCATTATTATAGGATTTGATGTCCCTGAAGCAGAAAACAGACATAAATTGAGCCAGAATCCCATTAAGTCAGGAGCCTTAAGAATCTCCGGAAGATGAATTTGTAGATGAAGATGACGTTTAAAAAAGAAAATCCAATGTTTCTTTGAATCAGCAAATGCTGAACATAGAAAAATAGCCATTCCTGGTGAGTTCAGCTTGCTAAGCCGTGACCGAATTACTTGACTACAACTGGAAATAACACACAGGTCTATGGGAAGTGGCTGCAGCCACTTCCATAGGTGTGTGTGCAATTTCAATTACTTGGCTACGGCTAGAAATAACACACAGGTCCATGGGAAGTGGCTGCAGCCGCTACCATAGGCGCGTGTGTAATTTCAGTTACTTGGCTACGGCTGGGAATAACACACAGGTCTATGGGAAGTGGCTGCAGCCGCTTCCATTGGCGCATGTGTAATTTCAATTACTTGGCTACAACTGGAAATAACACACAGGTCTATGGGGAGTGGCTGCAGCCGCTACCATAGGCGCATGTGTAATTTCAATTACTTGGCTACGGCTGGGAATAACACACAGGTCTATGGGAAGTGGCTGCAGCCGCTACCATAGGCGTGTGTGTAATTTCTATTACTTGGCTATGGCTGGAAATAACACACAGGTCTATGGGGAGTGGCTGCAGCCGCTACCATAGGCGCGTGTGCAATTTCAATTACTTGGCTACGGCTAGAAATAACACACAGGTCTAAGGGAAGTGGCTGCAGCCGCTTCCATTGGCGCATGTGTAATTTCCAGCCGTAGCCGAGTAATTCGGGCAGGGCATTACAAGAAACATGGCTCGTCAGGCTGGTGCCTGTCTCTGGTTTCCTAGACATTTCTATTCTGCCTGGATGGGATACCAGTCCATCACAGGTTACTTCCCAGCTAATGTCGGTATCCTCCTATAATTGTTGGTGAAACGAGGCAAGTGAGCGAAGAGGATTGCTCAAGAACCCACAGCAAGTGGCCAACAACTGGACTTGAATTACCTGAACCATTAATCGCTTCCTCATAACTCAAACTTAGACTAAGTATTTTTTTGTGGGGTATAAGTATTTCTTAAAAGCTACCTAAAAAAAAGAGGAAATTTAACGACAATGAAGGGAAATAGATTAAAAATGGCTTCAAATAGAACCAGAATCTCTTGCCCAACAAAGGTAGAATTAAAAAATTTCAGATACATAATTTTTTTTCTTAGAGAATAAAATTGTTGGAATGTATACCTTTTCTTGGAAGTTGAAGACTGCTTCAGCCAACTTCTGTACATAAGGATCCAGCTTGTAGGATTCCCACACGAGAGCCACACCCTGCCAAGAGAGAGTCAACATTTGTGGTTAGTATAACTTAAAACTTCCAGGCAGGTTTCTTGAATGTACTCCATCCATAACTGTTTCTTCAGGGGACAGAGATCCAGATCTATTATATGTCAAATCCTGAGGCCTACTTGGTTCTTGTGATGTATTCTTCATTTGAGATGTTTCACAAGTCATCAGTTAGTGCAGTCTTGTGACGTCATACAGAACTCGCTATCCACTACACAGCACGGATATATCGCGCACTACGCGTCAGTGTGACACGCATACTAAATTGTCCATTTTCACCCTATTTTCTGATGTTATTCAATCAGGTATGATTCCATTGAAAGAGAATTAATGCTGAACATATATGTGCCGTGTCTCTGTATTTCAAAGCAGGATTAGCCTCAGATCTGAGGCTTTCAGCAACAGGTAACCTAAATGGTAACGGACACCTAAACATATGTGTACACGTATCCATTCAGATGCCAAACATCTCTTTTTGAGTCAGTCACGAAGCCCAAAGCCACAGTTCATACCAGAATTAATACTAATAACCAGTGTAACATTGAACACAAACACAAATTTGAGTCATCAGGTTAGAAGATCACCGCAATACTATTAAGTGCAAAGGGCGTGTACATGTATGTGTGTGTGTTCATGAGTTGATCATGTGCTTTGGCGCGATTGCCTGCATGGGCGACAGGCAGCGAAGCCTCAAACACAGTTGGATAATTTCTCCACAATTGTTCAGTAATGTCAAATTTGCTTAGCATTAACATTTGCTTAAAGTATGAACTACCCCTTATGCTAGACAACAGTCTTATATCATCCAAATCATCTGCACTTTAGAAGCTTTCACCGATTACTCAACTTAGAGGTCATTCTTGATACATCATGACAATTTCACTACCAAGAGATGTTACCAAAGCACTCAACAGAAAATGACATTTGAGGACAGCAGCAAGTTTCTTGAGATGCTTACCTCCGCAATGAGTCCTTGGACCTCCTTCTTCAAGCCGGCCACCAGGAGGGTGATGGTCTGTCTCTCCTCCACCTTCTCGCAGGTTCTCTCGTAGGTCCGGACGCTCTCAATCAAGGAGATGGCGAACGGGTAGAGCTGGTTGGCCTGGTGAGCCTTGTTGACGATGGCCAGGGGTACGCGGAAACCAAGCCACTTCAAGTTACGCACCTGAGATCAGATTGGAATAAAACAGTCATGACGCATTCTCATCTAGCTTACACCACAAAAACCACTCATAATTGCTACGTACATTAAAACCCTCCCATTCTTTGATCAGTCACAGACAGTCAGACATTTCTTCCACTTCCCCTGCCATGCGTTTGTATACAGACTAGTAAAAAACAATCAGATCACATTTGTGTAAACACTGTGACTAGTCAAATTCCATCAACAGACAATTTCAGAGGTAACTGGTAGGTACAGCTGGCATATCAATCACCTCCAGTCAAAGCATGGCTATATCAAATTAACAAGGGAATTCTTAACTGTTAAAAACAGTCACTTGATTGCTTTTCGACTGCCTCGATGGCGTAGCTGAATTTGTGATATTTCCATATCGCAAAGTGTACATTCAGGGAATTATACAGAAGGTCAATATACGAAAGATGTTTGGTAAAAAACAAGAATAATAACTATGTAAGACACAAATGAAAGAGGGGCAACTATGGAGGCATATTCAAAAGACAACGTCTTAAACAGAAAAGCCTTTTTAAAACTCAAGAACTTACCGCAGATCGTACAGGAAAGACAGGAAACGGAACAGGACAGCCCAGAATAAACAGACCAACATATACTTGTTCCATAGTTGTTGGGACCTGACGAGGGAGTAATCGTGGGGACCAAAGACTTTGTGGGGACCGTAGAAAGTCCCCACAACTCCGTCCTTATAAAAAAGTTCCCCACAATGTGGTCACCGCTAATGCATGGAAACTAGCAGATTTTTTTTATTGTTTCACCCCACACTGTTACTGCGCACAGTCTAACCGGGCCCAAAGGGTTATTAAAGTTGAAGGAACTGATTGGGTTGTATTTGTCTAACCTCTTTGGAGAGAGTGATGATGTCTGGCAGGAAGTTGACTTTCAGCTTGAGCAGGTTCCCCTTGCCTCCTTGTCTGGTTCTCTGGCTCTCGATGGTGAAGATGCGACCCGAGACACCCAGCTGACGCATCTGAACCTGTTGAAGTTGGTCAGATTGAACTGAGTGTGAACAATTATAATTTTCACTATTTTTTCCTGTGCATTAGAACTCATCACTAGCCCTTTATTTGATATATCATCCAACTTGACATCCTGACAAATATATCGGTGGAAACTTTGGAAAGTTTCTGTTGATTTTAATCAAAAATTTGGGCGATTCACTATGCAGTGCCCCACCAAAACTTTGCCACGGAGAGTCCATTTTTCAAGTTTATGGTCGACAAAACACAGCCCGTTTGAATGAATGTCAGTAGACAACTTAAGCTAATTTGTCACCGATTGGGGCACAGCATTCTGCCGCCTTACAAAAAAAAACCATATTGATATAAGGAAAAGAAAGGGCAACCATATACAAAAATCATATGCTTACGAAACTAATGACCAGAAAAAGTAACAATTTCAAATGTCCCGAACTGCAAATTTGTCGACCATCTCCCACAATGCACTGGGAAAAATGAACTCTCCGTGGCAAACTCTTGGTGGCGCACTGCATTGTGAATCCCCCGAATTATGGGCTAGTAACTCAAACGTAGCTCTGGGGAATTTGGAATATTTTACTGGGTTGTGTCACATAATGTAACTAAAATGGCAAAGAATTTCAAGCTCTCTGCTTCCATGGTGAGAGTTGTCCCAGCATCGCAGTCAGAGATAAGGGACTGCCGTTCGTCGAGATATTTTGAGTGTCCTACTACAAGCCGTAGCAAAAAGTAAATATAATGCAGCCTGATTTCACCCTTGTGGTTGTACGTTTGCTAACCTTGCGGGACCAATCATCAAAGAGTTCCTGGGTGTTGAGCTTGGCCCTGAAGCTGTCTCCATCTGCCTTGAGTTTCTGGCCCTCCACGTGGTTCTCCCAGCCTTTGCCCAGGACGTCCTCCACGCGGTGCATGTATGCGCTCAGCTGACGATCAATCTATGAACACAGAATGAAACAATTAATGTTAAAGCCAGTTGGGTATTCCAAATGCACTTGCTTACATCACAATTTGACAATTTCTACATTGGAAGAAATGACAACAGATAAACTGACCTAAGTTTACAGGGGCAATGTTTACTAACTCTATAATCTACAATTTTTTCACCGAATCTGAGAGAAGATGAAAACATATGTCGCACAGTTGCAACATTCGTTGAAACACAAAACTTGGAGCTGTCCTTGTTTTTGGAATGCAGTCTTTACTTTGTAACATGAACTTGTTTTTAATGATTTTGCATGTATAAGGTGGATATTTCATCCACAAAAAGACTTTTGTGCACATGTAAAGTTGTATTCAATTTGCAATTCAAAACTGTCTAAAGCTTTAAAAGTTTAAGACTAAAAACCCTTTCCATGCACAACATTGATAGTTTATATTTTATCAAGGGCGTTCCTTTTCTGGGCAGAGAAAAATACAATGTAAAAAGAGGCAATGATAACATCTGTTTATTAAAACTTTCATATTGTGGATGCTTATATTTCATGAAACCAATATAACCAACGTAAGCAAGCATTTTTACGTGAGAACATGATGAATTTATTCAAACTTCATTTCATTCCTGGAACCAAACTACTCTCTTTAGATTATATGGTATATTTGCCTTAATACAAAGCTCAAAGGCCTCAAATTGTCGCGTCAGTGCAACAAGGTCGTAACTCGATTCTGCAACAAAGTCATATCTCGCGCGAATACACTCCATGCAACAAGGTCGTATCTCGACGTCCATTGACTTTGCGTGTACATCCGGGTTATTTTAAGCGAGATACGACCTTTTGACGTTCTAAAACTCGCGTTTTGTGTTTATGTCATTTTAGGAGATACGACCTTGATGCACTGACGCGACGAAATGACATTGATCTCGACTTACCTGTCTGGCCCAGATGATGGATCCTGAGACTGGGGGTAGGTCTCTCACTTTGCTCATTCTGCAGGCCTTGCTCTGGGGATACTGGACCTAAAGAGACAGGAATGAATAATCACAACATTTCAAACGGTAGAATTTTCCATCAAAATGATCATTTAAGAACGTTGTTAAACGGTGATTGGGCACGGCACCCAATTCTATATCAGATTCAACCAGCCGGCTGACCCCAGCAAGTTTGGTGGTGGAGTGCAAAGACGTCTGTACTGGTAAGCAGGAGGTTGTGGGTTCGAATCCCATCCAAGCAAGCTTCTGAATTTCTTCTTGAAACTCCTCGGACAACACTGAGTACTCAGTGCTCATGAAATTACACTGGCAAAACCCAATAATGAATTGAAAATGAAAATTAAGAAGTTTCAAATTTTCTGTGAATAGATTATTGATCTATCGAAATTTTTTAACAAAATGTGAATGGTTTGTAAAATTTCCAATACCTTGAATTTGTCGTGCAGTGATTCGATGTCGTCCTTGACGCGTTGGATCAACTGTGTCTGGTACTCACGGATGGCGCCGCGGATGTGAGGCCGCACAAAGAGGGCGTTGAAACGTGAGAAGATGCGGAACATCTCGTTGGCGTTCTTGGCCGTGCCCAGCTGGTCGCGCAGGCGGGCTGTGATGCGGGTTTCCACGCGGTCGATGCGTTCGTCATATCTAAATTTAAATAAGTTTTAAGGGCATGAAAGTCACTGCACTCACTATCACAATCTTTCCATCACCATCACATATTTCTTTTTCCTTGTAGTTTTCTGGACTGGTACCTTTGAGTGCTTTCAGAATACAGAAATTTTACAATTGTTATATTTTTGTCATTGTTGAATGCTATAAGAAATTCCTCGGACACAGATTTATATCAATTTCCCATGTGCAATGAGAGGGCCTACAATTGTAAAATATCCAGTACATAATTGGAAAACTGCCTATGGCATTGGAAATACAAGTATTTGCCTGGTTACCAAATTTAAGTCATCCAAGGCATTCGCATGTCACTGGTCATTTCCTGTTAATTGTAATGCTTGTCACTTCACTTGCAACTGACTTGTGATTGACCTGTATTGGACTTGCAAGTGACTTGTCATTGACTTGTGATGGACTTGTGATTGACTTGCAACTTACTTGTGATAACTTGTGATAGACGTGATGAATTTGTGATGGACTTGCAATTGACTTCTGATGAACCTATGATTGACTTGTGATAGACTAGCGATGGACTTGTGATGGGTTTGTGATTGATTGTGATGGACTTGTGGTTATCTTGTGATTGACTAGTGATGGACTTGTGAAGGACTTGTGATGGATTTGTGATGGACTTATGGTTATCTTGTGATAGACAAGTGATTGACTTGTGATTGACTAGTGATGGACTTGTGGTTATTTTGTGATTGACTTGTCATTGTGATGGACTTGTGGTTGATTGTGATGGACTTGTGGTTATCTTGCGATTGACATGTGATTGACTAGTGATGGACTTGTAATGGATTTGTACTTGTGATAGACTTGTGATAGACTTGTGATAGACTTGTGATTGACTTGAGATTGACTTTTGATTGACTAGTGATAATCTTGTGATGGATTTGTGATGGACTTGTGGCTACCTTGTGGTTATCTTGTGATAAACTTGTAGTGGACTTGTGATGGACTTGCAACGGGTATCCCTACATCTCTGCTTCTTACCTCTTCATGGCTGCCTCCCAAGCTTCGTTTCCCTCCTTACTGACATCCAGACTCTCCACTTCCTTCACGTTCTCATAGGCCAGGTTCACCTCCTACGAAAAATCAGTTAAAACAAAAATTACATTCATTACTTTCTGTCTGAGGTTGTTCATCAGTTCTTATAATAGCATGAAATATGGTTAACCAGAGTTTGATTATTTTCACTTAAACCAACACAAGTATTTCACAATATTTGGAGTAGCTTAGCCGACCATTTGCAACCAGCCTACCAAATACAGATGCATCTTTGGTTGCAATAGCTGCACGCATCATAATGCATAGGTGGGAGCCAGGACTAAGGAGATTCATGATGAAATTTGGATCATTTGATAAGAGAATTGGTCACAAGTTGCTATTAGCGCACAGACGTTTGTACATTCAACATCGAAAATCAACCACTTAATCAGACTCAGAATCATGACTCCAATTTCAAAAAAATTAATAAAAAGAAACAGCAAACAAATCAGCTCCCTGAAGAAGCCAAACAAGTCTGCACTGATTCAATTCAAGATATCATAAGACAATTTATGCAGTAACTGATTCCAATTTAGGAGAAGGAATACACCTCTTCAAGACTTCAAAAGGCAATAAGCAGTTTCAAGGTAATATGTGCCATCTTGTTCGCGGGGCAAAAAGAACACGCATTGCTAGACACGGGCGCAATTTGGAATGACCGCATTATGACTTCGAAGCGCCAAAGTTTTCCACTGACAATGCGTACACAGCAACGCGTGTAAAATTGCCCCGCCGGCAAGATGGCGCATATTACCGTGAAACACCTTATTCACTACAATTTTTGTTTTTGCCAATAATGGATTTTGTTTTTACAATGCTAGCCTAGGAGAGATGTGGAGTCAGTTCTTGACATAAATGTGACTTTTGCACCGAATCGGACTTGACTCCAGAGTTGAAATCGAGTCGCGTCTCAAATGACCACAAGTCGCAACGAGCCATCTAGTCTCAAGTCAAGTCACAAGCTCTTCAAATGAACTGTGACCACAAATATTCCTTTGTCAGTGTTCATCCCCCGCTCCTAGGAATGGACTTGGGAATCAAATTGTTATTTGACTTGTGATTGAATTGTGACCGGCTCAATTCCGACAGTTTAAATATGCCGGTGTTGCCCAAGCCAACTACGAGATCAATTGTGACAATTCAAAACGTCTGAAAACCAAGACTGACTTCGATAGCGTTGGCGTCAGCAGCGTCCATCATCAGCTCGTTGAGACTTCCTGGTGGCTCGTCTGGTGTGGTACCCGGACTCCCTGATACCTGGGTCACAGCCGGCCGGAGGACTCTGACTATCACTGCGCGCAGCTGCTCGTGCTGCCGACGAAATCTTGCGAAGGAAAAAAAAATCACCAGTTGAGAAAAATTAAGCATTCGGAAACGCTTCAGAGGCTTTTAAAACTAAGTCACTCTATCATGCTTTCAGATTTTACATATCCACCTACACTACATTGTCAGGACGAGATAGAGTCTCTGTTTTGAAATTGAAGATTCACTTTTTTTCAAATATTGTTGATGTACCCTAACGTGGCGCGGCCTCTAATGTGGCGCAATTTGATATTTCGCCTGTAGCGCTTAGCTAGAGCAAAAGTTTTAACTGAAATTTCACAGAAAGTGAAATTTCATCAATCGCGAGTTACAAAGTTAGAAGAAACCTTTATTTCGGCGTGGTTTTAGTTCAAAGTGCACTGAACCCTTTGAAAATGCACCCCGCCCCCCAAAAAATAAGAAAATAATTATCTGACAAACTTCTAGTTGGGTATTTAAGTAGAGATAATAATGGTTTATCAGAATTTATCGACTTTACAGAAATTCTAAAATGATAATTTGGAATTTTCCGAGATTTATTCCAGTACGCCACGTTAGGGAACACTCAGACAATTTTGTGTCCAATTACCGGTGGCACCGTTTTCGAATTTCTGATTAAATTTCATGACACCCAAATTGTTTACAAAGGTTCAACAGCAGGCATTAATAAGGTAAAAGTACCAGTATTTAACTGAATGAATTTGAAGTTTGTCAACAAAGAAGTTTGGCAACACTGCATGAGGAAAGACGGGGTTAACATCAAAGTGCACCACTTAGGGAATACCACTATACTGTGATTCTGTACACAAACATCTCATAGTAAGTAAACATGGTGATCTAACTGGTCAATGCAGACTGTTTGATTTACAGATAGAAAGGTTCCCTTCTTCTCAGGTAGCATAAGAATTACTTGGCTGTGGCTGAAGTCACACATATGTATATGGGAAGCGGCTTCACCTGCTTCCATTGACCCATGTGTAATTGCTAGCCGCAGCCATGTAATTCGGACGTGGTCTTACTTGCGCATCTGTTCCAGCCGTCCCTGCAGCTTCTTGTGGGCGGGGTTGACCCTCCAGACCATCTTCAGGCTCTCCTCTCTCTTCTTCTTGACGATGTCTCGCAGCAGGCCTTGCAGTTTCTCGTACTCGTCGTCCCAGGAGCTGAACACCTCGAAGCAGGCGTTCATGACCTTCTCAAACTCATCGTGGCTGATGTGCATCAGGCGTCGGGTGCCAAGAACCTGTGGCAAAATGGAAATTCGACGGTGAATTGAAATTTATTCATAAGATGGAATTTTGCGTCGGGGTGATGTAAATCAAATTAGGTTTTGCCCTTCACCGACGTATAAACAGTGTGTACTCAGCGTGTTACCTCCCGAGTGAAAGTTGGAAAAAATCACTCGGGAGGGACTCAAACCCACAACCTCCTGCTTTCTAGTGCAGATGTCTTACCACTCGACCACCGAGCTAACGGGATCGGTTGGCTGTTTTTTTTTCCAACTTTCACTCGGGAGGTAACACACAGTGTTTATACGTCGGTGAAGGGCAAAACCTAATTTGAATTGAAATTTCAAATATACAACCACTTTGTTCCATGTGTGGCCTTGGTCCAAGATTCGATTTGAATGTTATTCCCTACAGCCAGGTGCCTGACAAATACTGTAAAGCTGCTGCGGCACAAGTGATCGCTTTCAACGAGATGAATCAAATCCGGTCTTTGGAACTCCAGCAGCGCTACCCAGAAAATTCTGAGCATGCCTCAGGCACCTGCATGGGCTTGAATCCAGCACGAGTGGGGTATGCTTGGAATTTCCTGGGTGGCCTCGCTTCACATATTGTGGATATCATCAGCACTGCATCAATAATCAGTTATTGTAGGAGTATGTTGAAGGATTGAGGCAGTGGTCACCCCTCCCCTGACAAAATCCAAGAATTAAGTGATGACTTTAGAGGATTGAGGCAGTATCCAATTTTTACAGGGAGACACTTAGAGGATTTTGAAGGATGAAAGATTCTGCATAGCAGAAAGGCAAAGGGGTTAGGGTTAACCCTCCTATGCAAACATACATTCTGTGCAAAGTTGTCCTTTCAGTCAACATCAGTCAAGTGACTGTTTGTTAAAAGTTAAGAGCTCACATCCTACAAACAGCAGGATTGACTGGCTGTGACTGTTTATGTAACTTGATACAGCTATGCTTTGACTGTAGGTGATTGATAGGCCAGCTGTGCCTACCACTTGCCTGTTTTTTATCTGTTGACTGAATTTGACTAGTCACAGTGCTTGCTTGCAATATATTCTGACTGTTGGTGACTAGCCTGTGTAAAAGGCATGGCAGGGGAAGAGGATTGATATGTTTTGACTGTCTGTGACTGTTCAGAAAGCAGGAGGGTTAATAAGGGTGGGATGTAAAGGAATATCCAGCAGGTTTACCTTGAGCAATTGGCTGCTGAGATCTCTGGAGATGGCCTCGACCAATCGCAGCGCTCGTTGGATTGGGTACTTGGTGTTGCGGATCTTGCGCAGATGGTTAAAGATGCTGACCAAGGCATCGCGGATGCGATCCAGCTCCGTGGCCGAGAGGAGGTCGTTGAGCGGGAAGTCCTTCATCAGGGGGCTGTAGTCGGCCACAGTGGCTAAGGCATGCTTCAGTCCTACAAAACAAAGTTTCATGCATAGAGCCATACATAAATAAAGCAAACTCTCGAGTAGAAAATGAGTACACAATGGACTACGTTGGTTCACGACATGATGGAATCCGTGGAGCACATCACCTCATGTTACCGGGTACATCACTTTGATCGTTCTAAAAGCATTTGTGATGAGATCAAGCTAAATGAGATGTTTGTCGACCCTAGTCAATTGGATTTTTTTACAAATTTGATAGGAGCACGATCTTAGCATTAATGCTGTGCAAAGCGCATGCTAATACCATCTTTAGTTCAAATATTATGGAAGTCAAAACACCAAGAGATGTGATGAAGTGATGTGATGAAGTGGCCCTATTTTGGCCTGAATCTCCAAATGAAAGTTCCCGACAAACGACTCATTTAGCTTGATCGCATCACATTTTGAGTATGTTGGTCCCCGCTGGTTTGTGCAACACAGCTGGAATAGATCCTGGGCACAAGATAGGTGATGTTACCCGGAGCGTGCGCATGTCAATAAGATAAAGTTTAATTCACTTGGTAAACTGATTGTGAACATAACAATGAAACCAATCTCCACAAAATGTACACTCTCTCAATTGAAGGAGGTCAAAACGTTTCTTTCCACATCAGTTTTAATAACAATATTTGAGCAGAATTGCCAAGATTTGCTCGATGAACTCTACTTATTTTCTCACCTGTGTCTGTGTCGAAGCTGACGGTTGCATGAAACCTCTTGCCGTGCTTCAGGATGTCCAGGGTCAGGGCCACCTCGGGACTCTCTCGTTTCTCCTGGATCTTCATCAGGGCTCGCTCCAGGTTCAGCCAGAAGCTGATCTCTTGTAGGGCGGTCCCCGAGCCGGGATCACGGTCCAGTTTGGTCACCTGCAGATAAAAGGAATAACCTTTTAATATTAAAATTGAACGAAGAATTTCACTGCAGCGGGGTTTGAACCTGCGACCTCCGGATTGCCGTGTCTTTGCACTTCTTTCCTGTCCCTGTTACATCTGACATAAATGAGTTTATAATTCTGATGCACTCCTTAATGCAATCATCCTCCAAGAGTGATTAAGTGATGCAAACTACCTACCCAAGAAAAACAACATAATTTTTAATGATGCTTGAATGGCAAATTAAAGTTCAGAGGTAACAGGGACTGGGAAAAATGTCGCACTTTGGCCCCTACATTTATGGACTCGGTGAGCAAACAAGAGAGGTGCTTTTTTATCACTTTCGAGAGCCTAGTAGACGAGACACTACGCGTGTGCGTACTGGTTCGTGCGCGTATAGCGATATGTATGTACGACATATTTCATTCTGAATGTCCACAAAGCCATAGCATCTTTGCATGAGTGCCAGGCGTCGTCAGCAATGCGTTCCAAAAGTCTCTCCCAGTGGTCTCCTCCAACTCTCCCTTTCTTACCGTTGAGGGGGTACTTGTACATGGAGCCCATAGGGTGACCCCACTGATCTGTATATAAAGACTGGATAGCGTACAGAAAGCCGCAGAAGAAAGCCATTTGAAGCCATATTGGGGAGACCGGCTGGTGATCTATAAAGGACAAGTTGCCGTCTTTATCGGTAGTATTAGTCACTTTTGTAACATCGTGGTTCACCTGGTTTACGTTTTGTCCACCGCCACTGACCACGGTTCACAACTTTTCAAATGTCGTGGTTTACTTTTTGAATGCCGCAGTTGACTTTTTGTGGCGTTTGGAAATATAATCACGACGGAAATTTGTCCTGTTTAGAACATCATAATACGTGTACGTGACCAAAATGCGCGTCATCTTTTGATACAGCGGGCGCTGTATATACGCGTAAAACGTTTGTATATCGGCGGCCATCTTTGAGAGATCGGGGGCGAACTAGTCAATATGCAAATTCTACTACATGACTGGTGTATGGCCATCCGCTATCCAGTCTTCATATAGAGATCAGTGGATGACCACCTGGATGTCAACTTCCTTCCGTAATGCAGTGAAATGATAGCCTCTCTCTGCTTATATTGATAGCATTACCTTTTGAATTTCCCGGATCCAGCGGTTGACGCCGTGCTGCAGGTTGTTGAGGAACACGGAATCCTCCACTTTATCCATGAAGTCGTTGACTTTTGGCTTGCGGCCCTCCTTGGCAAAGTTCCTGATCATGGTGGAGACCACCGGGTGGATGGTGAGGGTGATGTCCGGGATGTCTATGTTCTGCTGCAGGTGCAGGAGGCCCATCTCCAGCTCCGCGATCTTCTTCTCGACGGAGGGTGCCATCTTGTCTCCATCCCTAAATTGAAGGCCAACATGGAATGTAACTGACTGCAGGATTATATTTATGGACTGATTAATATGTACTACAATACTCAACAGAGGGACTCGGGAGCCATCTTGTCTCCATCCCTGAAATGGGCAAACATGAATATGTACCTGACTACACTGAAAACCTTATTTATGGATGGCGGCAGGAAAGGAAAATATAAATTAAAAGGAAAGGAAAATATAAATTAAGAGGAAAGGAAAATATAAATTAAGAGGAAAGGAAAATATAAATAATTAATCTGGCCTTAAAAACACCACCTAAAAATTACTATTAAAATCCTCCAAAAAAGTTTACATATACAAATCTGAAATAATATTTCAATTTCTAGACAGAAGCAAAGAAAGAAACCCCAAAAACTAAAGCACCCAATTCCAACACCCCAAAAACGCCCAAACAAACAAACAAAGCCATAGATACAGACTGACTTGTGTTCTTTTATGGCCTATAGTAGTTATTAACCGTTCATACCTACATGTATATAATCATCAGGGGATTTTTTTTGGGGGGGGGGGGGAGGGGTTGAGAGGCAGGGATTTTGACAGCTCAGCCAGCCAACCCCAGCCAGCTCAGTAGACTAGTGCCTGAGGCATCTGCACTAGTAAGCAGGAGAAGTGGGTTCGAGTCCAGCTTGTGCGAGCTTGTTATTTTTTTTCTCAAAAGCTCCTACACCTCCCTGATTAAACAGTGCTTATAATTGCCGTTGGCAAAACCCACATTATACAGATTGAACATTAAAATTTTAGAGCATGAGGCTCTCTTAGCAAACAAGCATCTAGTATTTATAGAAATCTTCATGTGAAGTGGAAAAATGTCCCCTCCCAATGTCAAGTGGAGAAAAAAGGTAAAAAGTTTGATTGAAAGGTTCGAGTAAACAAGGGCGTCAATCACTTCTCAAAAGTGGGGGGGGGGACATACCTTGATCAGAAATCCTGCGAGCGCCGAAAAGTTTGGCATTTCACACGCTCTGTGGTGCTATCTGAGGCAATTTCTGACCTTTTTAACCAATTTTGAGCAAAAGATCATCATTTAAACATCATTTTCGAAATTGGAGTCATTGAATCAGCTACTCTGAGCTACAGAATCAAAATGCAGGTTACAATATTTATTCGGGGATGGAAAAAGTGGGGCGGGGGGACACATGATATCTCCCCACTTTAAAAAGTGGGGGAGGGGACTTGTCCCCCTGTCCATCACAGATTGACGCCCATGTGAGAACCAGTGTGATATGCAATTCCTTTGATTACCTGTCGGCTTTGCCAGATGCTCTGACGTAGGATTTGAAGTAAGGTGCCATGGCATTACTGACGTAGGCATGAAGTGTCTCGAAGGGTGAGCCCTCGCTCAGGTTGATGACTCGGACTTGACTGGGAATGGACTTCTCTGCATCGATGATGGTGCCGCGCTTCAAGAACACAACACTAAGAAAGAGAAATAGTGAACAAATGTGTTACAGGGAAGATACAACATTTGCAAACATCACAAAACGAAATGATCAAATTATCACAAAGTACCTTACTGGATTGTTAGGGATTGACAGTCTAAAGCATCCTGTAAAGTCATGGCTCCTGGTGTGATGACATTTTTAAGAAAAATGGTATTTTTCCAACGCTGGTCGGCCGACCAGCCTTGGAGAAAATTGGCTTTATTCAAAAACTGCTCCTAATTTTTCATAATTAGTTATGCCGCGTTTTTTTTGCAATTGATTACACGCCTGTGAAGGGGTACAAGCCTGCTAGACTGATTCTCTGACCTTACAATTCCCCAAAGTCTATAAATTGCTCCGTTTCATCTGAAGTGGGGTCAGGGAACCAGACTACAAGAACATGATTGGTTTTCTTGGTTTCTCCAGCAAAACAAAACATGAAACAAGTCATTTTAACAATACTTGCTATAACATACTAATCCTCCAAATCCATTTATTTCTGAAAATTGCAGCAAAGGCAAATGTTGTACATTCCCTTTAATAAGTAATTACACATCTTGTTCATTCTTCATGCTGAATCAATTTTGGAGTGACTTTGATGTCACAAAAAACTTTCTTGGCAAAATGTGCTTGGGTTGAAATGTGTACAGGGTTGGCAAATTTGTAGGGCAAATACATGTACTCGGTGAAACATCACTGTTACATAAATTATGATGTTGCAAATTATTCACATTTACATTTGTGTTCACACTGAGTACGAAGCAGCTTGTTTAGGTGCATTATGTGCGAGTTGCTTTCTTTCATGGTACATGCAGTGTGATTGTAAGCTGAAAAGACAACTTCTATTATATTGTGAATTTTGTTGACACCATTTGCTTTGCTTGCTGCATTAGGCCCCCCACCCCAAATATTTTTTACGGGAAAATGAGAAAAAAACACCCCAAACCATCAATTTCTACCTTTTACCCTGGACTACACGCAGACACCTCCATATGATTGTACACACAAAAAATTGGCCAAAAAAAAAAATCCCTACCTCCTTACTCTATTTTGCCATGTAATCGGAAGCAGATCTCTTTTTTGTGTGTGGCCTTTTTACTTTTTTGTACATCGCACAAATGTACAGTTGGCAGTGACATGAAATCAGCTTGTGCTTATAAATGCAATGGTAAGATAAAAACCACTGAGTGGGGCCATACTCTAATCGTTTTATTTCATAATACCCTAGTCTACAAATATCAGCAAGGGGCTATGATTATATGGGCAGATTCTGTGATAAAACTATGCAAAACAGGACTGCGTTTTGACCTCGAGATTCTGACCATTCAGCGGGCGCCTTCTATATCGGGTCTTCAGTAACCCATTGTTGTATTTAATACAAAAACCTGTCAGCCAAATTGACCAATCAACAGCTTAGACAACATTTCTGATGATAATGACGTCACAATTTCTAAAGTTGACTCCGATTGGTTGGCGCGAAGGGTCCCATAAAATTTGCATTAATCACATACAATATCAGACGAGCTCTGTTGGACAATGGGTGATTATCATACTACCAATACCCAACAGATTCATAAACTTAATTCTCACCGATTGAAAACTCGAGAATATGAACAGCCATGATGAAAACAATCCAGCAATTATAAATGTAATTTGGTCAATAACAAATTATCTGTATTCAACTCAATTTCACCCTGAAGTACAACATACACACTCACAACACCACAACATACATAGTGGTTGAATCATCCAGTGGAAATAAGCATTTAGTACACACAACCATGCATCCTGTCATGATCGATCTTACCCTGTCATTTTGGTGTTGGTGAAGTGAACTTCGCTGGAGATATTGAACGTGACTTCACCCTCCGCATCAGTGACATCAGACGCCACACTGGTCTCATCGTCATCTTCTTCTGCATAAGACAATGAGAGTTAAAATGCATACATGAGTAAATAAGCCATGTCCTTCAAACTTGGGATTCATGTCTGTCTTTTACCACCCTAATGGCAATTCGGGCGATTCACATTGCAGTGCACCACCAAAAGTTTGCCATGGAGAGTCCATTTTTCAAGTTAACGGTTGACAAAACATGGCCCATTTGAATGAGTGTCACTGTCAGTAGACAACTTGAAATAATTTGGTATAGATTTGGGCATAGCGTTCTGCCACCTTACAAAAAAAAACATCATATTGATAATTAAGCAAAAGGCAAACATATACTTGAATCATACTTTTACGAAACTACTGACCGGAAAAACTAACAATTTCAAATGTCCGCGATGCGAATTTGTCGACCATCTCCCACCATGCACTGGGAAAATGAACTCTCCGTAGCAAACTCTTGGTGGCACACTGCATTGTGAAACGCCCAAATTGTGTAGATAAGGGCACCTCTTTAATTTTGATAAATTAGAGTCAGCAGAGTGAAAAGTGTTTTTTATCATTCCAAAAAGACTTCTGCAACCCAACGCAAACTTCTCTTAAATCTAATGACACTAAATATTTGTTATTTTGAACAGTGTCTTTTGATAGAAAATGTAATTACGGGCAGACTAGTTCCTGATTGTGGGGCAGGAACCACACTCATTGTTGGGCCGCAAGTAATTCGAAATAAGTAAAGTACATAATTCAATAACGTTTGTATTGCTAGAAATATAGCAATTAGAAAAGGAATCATTTTTCGGGACGAATCTCCAACACAGCAGGGGAAATGCATCTTTAATATAACCACAAAATGACAAATTAAACATGTAAAATCGTATGTCTAAAAAATAATACTCATTGCGTTCCCCACGCCCTTCAACAAATTAGATTTTTTTAATAATCAAGTCCGAGAACCATTCGGTTGAATGATAGTCTGGCTCCAACAGTTTAAAGATCGTGATTTTAGGTCAGGGAACCAAATGGTTCCGTAACGATAGCAGTTGAAAATAGCATTACGGCTGCTGTAACGATAGCCACTGCATTTAGAAAAGTGATCGTGTATCTACGGGCACGGTTCCTATTTATAAGGGAACAAAATCCACTTTTAAATTATTTAACCTACCAAACTAGTTGGCGACATTAAGACCATACAGGTATGTCATAGATAAAGGGCAGGGTTTTGAATTTTTGATGAAATTTCGGGGTAAAATGACGATGACAACGACAGAACGCAACACGAAAATAAAGATGGCGATCACCGCGCGATGTACCGTGAGCACGCAAGTTGCGCTGCACGGCACCAACCGGCCCGTAAACCGCGTAAGAAATCGTAATTTCAACCCCAAGAAACTGTTCAAAAATTACCAAAAAGGTGTCATTACATTGAGAGAAGTCTGCTTTAGGTTGACAATGTCATTTTTTAGTAATAAAAAAACAATCTTGATTCTAATTTGATTGAAACAAAACAGGGGCCCTACACTACATAATCACCTAATGCTTTAGAAAAAGGAATCTATTCTACATTTCAGAATGATACTATTTACATGATCAGATGATTGAAACTGAAAGTCGAAAACAGCACAGGGGACCGGAACACAACTTTTTTTTCCCACGTAACCTTTGTTCCCATCAATCATGTCAATAACATAAAGTTAATCAATATGCATTTAGTGAAAATCGATGCAAATAGAAATTTATGCAAATTCAACACAACAGCCAGACAGACATCTGGCGCAAAACAAATCCCTGTCTGAAAAAAATGTTAGATGACGTTTCACCATTGTTCAATGTGTCTAGGCCTATGTAAAAAGCACAACAATGGCATATCAAAATGATAAAACCAAATTGAAGGCAGGAAAAATTGAATCATTAGAACCTTACAAATTGTCCTCAATATGTCAGTTATATTGGAGCGCTTACCTTCCTTATTCACGTTCCGCTCGACAAGAACACTCGGTGTCTGGGTGTCTGACAGGAATTTTTTCATGCACTCGACATTAGATTTGTCGGCAAGGGCGTTGTCCAAAGCCGTCGAGGCCTCGCCATCTTCCAACAGCAACGGCACGATCTTTCGCAAATATTTCACCAGAGCCGGCACCTCGGCCACTGCTTGGGTGCTCTGGCTCTCTGTATCACTGTTATCTGCCATCTTTTTGACGGGAAAATGACAACTTTGTCCCTGAAAAAAAAATCAAGTCATTTTTAGAGCTCGGTTCTTTTCCTCTCCGATCCGTTCCACGTCAAATCACGAATTAATATTTATTAGGATGAGAAAATTATCACATGTGATTGTAACGTATGCGTAAAAGCTATGCGGCTTTACTAGACGTGTTACAAGACGTGAAATATAATTTTTGCGATGTTGCAGTGGTCTGTCCGTTGCACATAGCGCCCTCACTGAGCACAAGTTCGGTCCGTGTGCATACCGTCCAATCACTTACCGTTTGAAAATCGTCACAAGAAAAATTAAAAAACGAACCCATACCGTTTACCCTATTATAATCTTGTTACAGAAACAGAAAACGGAAATCGTTTACCAGTTACTGTTTATGCGTCTGAAAAACGAAAACAGAAAAACAAACCGTGTTTCACCGTTTAGCGTTTTTGAACCTGTAAACAGAAAAAAGAAAAAGCAAACCCTTTTCCCATTTTTGTTTTTGAATTTTGAACTGAAAAATGAAAAAGCAAATCCTTTACTAATTTTTGTTTTTGAAGTTTTGAAAGGAAAAATGAAAAAGCAAACCCTTTACCAGTTTTTGAATTTTTGAAAAGAAAAAGAAAAAGCAAAGCCTTTACCAATTTTTGTTTTTGAATTTTTAGAAAGAAAAAAGAAAAAGTAACCCCTTTGCCAATTTTTGTTTTGAAATTTTTGAACAAAAAAAAAGCAAACCCTTTTCCAGTTACCGTTTTTGAATTTTTAAAAAGAAAAAAAGAAAAAGCAAACCCTTTAACAATTACCGTTTTTGAATTTTAAAAAGAAACAAAGGTAAAACAAACCCTTTATCGTACACCGTTTTGGAGTCTGTGTTAAGAAAAAGGGACAACGCATCGAGTTACAGCGTTCCGTTTTTTATGCTTATAAAACAAAATCATCAATCGTTTTCATTTGTATACAGTTAACATTATGTAAACAAACGTAGCACACTCATGTTTGTTTCATTTTGTTTCACTGAAACACAAACAACTAAAAACTAAGACAACATTTTCTTTGCCAAAACAAAAACGAAAAAAAAAAGGGTAACCGGAAAAGGAAAAACGAAACCTGTTACTAGTCTAAGCCCAACGAAACCCGAGTGCGGCCGAGTTCGTCAAAAAGTGTCTCGGGCTGTTTCCTGTGAAAAAACTTGTCCACGGGGCTTGGCGGGAACTTACGGAGCCCCTAAAGGGACATCCAAAATTATTTTTGTATCTCGTGCGCACCACATAATATCTCGTGCGCACGACATATATCCAGTGGCGTCACCAGACTTTTCAGTCTGGGGGGGGGGGGGGCACAGGGGGGGCACCAGCATTTGATGGGGGGCACTTAGGTGGATACGGATCGCCGTCCTGGGGGAGGGGTCTAAGCCCCCTCCCCTTTGGAAAATTTTCGCATACGGAGGATTGGCTAGATGCAAAATGGTGCCACATTTGATGCTAAATTCGATCTGAAGATATCTCCAGAAATTGCTATTTTCGAGGTAATGATTTTAACAACGCGCAAATTTTTTTTTTACCAACCAAAATCTCAGATGGGGGGGCACTCGGGGGGGCACTAGGTTTTCCAGGGGGGGGGGGCACGTGCCCCCCCCCCTGGCCCCCCCTTGGCGACGCCACTGCATATATCTCGTGCGCAGTACTGCGCACGACATTTATCTCGTGCGCAACACATAATTATCTCGTGCGCACGAGATAATTGTCGCGTGCGCACGACATATGTCGTGCGCACGACATATATCTCGTGCGCACGAGATAATCATCTCGTGCGCACGAGATAATTATAAGTATTAACGGAGCTTGCTGCACGTGCAGCGGACGAGTTTGTGTGTAACGAAAGCAGCGTGTCAGGCACTATGCGCTATACATTTATACAAGTCATATCAGTTAAGGCCAAAAAAAAAAGTCTCCGGTTTCTGGTATGCGCGCGCGTCGCCGTAGCCATGCGCGTCGGCAAAATGAAAAAGTTTTTTTTTCAATGAAAGATGATGTCTCAAAAGCACCAAACTTGCTGGTTTGACTGGAATCCTGCTGCTGCACAATTTTAACGTGTTTTTAGATTGGGTTATGGTCGAGTATAAGCTCTATGTGACCTCTCTGGACTCCCATATATTTGCACTAAGTTTAGTCGGGCACCATTTGCAGTCATCAGCCGACCGTTTGAAGCAAAAAACATCAGGTAAAAAAAAAAGAAGAAAAGCCGCGTCGCCGCACCACTTTTTGGGCAAGCTCCATACCAGAAACCGGAGACTTTTTTTTTTGGCCTAAAGGACGGGGATGGTTTTTTTAGGGGGCCGCCACCGGTGATTAATTTTGTCAAGTTTTGCCTTTTTCTAAGAGAGAAGTGTTTTATGCAAAAAAGAACCGGTACGTGCTGGCAAAAATCAGTGAATCGGTGGACAATAACGAGAAAATTGCCAACGTGAATTAAAATTGATTTAAAGGGGAAGGAAATGAGGATTTATTATCAGCATCAGCAGTTTGAATGGATGCGAGTCAGACGGTCTTACTCTCCCTCCCATTTTAAACGAAGTCTCATTATGAAGAATGAGTGGGAAGTAGCGAAGGATGCATGGTCGACCTTTAAGGTTTCTACGGGTGGGAATAAAGTTAAAGCCCCTGCCCAGAGCAATCAGTTCAATGATTGACAGCTATTTAGCCTTCAGTAGTGATTTTCTTTGCCTCATTTTTACGCTTTTTTTTTCAAATTACGGGACTGGTCAGATCTTTCTCCGGCTGCTTTTGGTTGGCTTTTGTTGATTCTCCTCGCCATGCCCAAGCAGACTCCGATGGGTGTGTTTATTGTGGAGCTGCTTAGGTCCATTTTTTGGCCCAATTCGTGCACTTTGTTTTAAAAGCATGGAATTTGGCATGTGGGGTCAAAATGGGCTAGAAATCATTTTAAGGGTGCAACCTTGTAATAAAATTACCATAGACACTAGTGCTAAATGCCCATTCTTCAAAATTCTTTTAAAAATACTCAAAACTCTCACAGGTATTCAAGCTGCACAGAAAAATGATGATCAACATGGCATCGTTTATTTTCTTTTCAATTTTGGGTGGGTTGACCATTGACTTTTTGAGATATTCTCACCCAAAGAAGACGTCCCCTATATTTTCCCCAAAGCGGAGCCATCTTGAAAAACGATCCCTCCACAACATGGCAAAATAGCGCCACTTTCGAGCCCAATTGCATCCAAAATGCTCAGAATTGGTAAAAAGATTTGGCGACCTCTTCGAACGATTTTTCCACGACTTTTAGGTCAGCTTTACCAGTTACCAGTATTGACGTTTCGGCATCAATAACGGCGATTTTTTTTCACAGACATGAAGTTTAGAATTTCTTCTTATGTTATAATTTAACATTTCAATCATACTAGCAGAAGTAAAAAAACCAAATGTAGCACTTTAATGACTAACTAAAGAAAAATTCGTGCATAAGCTTTCGTAGCACCAACTACTTCATCAGATGCAATGAAGAAAAAATACTGGTAAAGCTGACCTAAAAGTCGTGGGAAAAATCGTTCGAAAAGGTCTCCAAATCTTTTTACCAATTCTGAGCATTTTGGATGCAATTGGGCTAGACGGTGGCGCTATTTTGCCATGTTGTGGAGGGATCTTTTATCAAGATGGCTACTTTTCCGCTTTGGGGAAAATAGGGGACGTCTTCTTTGGGTGAGAATATCTCGAAAAGTCAATGGTCAACCCACCAAAAAATGAACAGAAAATGAAAGATGACATGTTCATCATCATTTTTCTGTGCAGCTTATATACATGTGAGACTTCTGAGTATCTTTAAAAGAATTTTGAAGAATGGGCATTTAGCACTGGTGTCTATGGTAATTTTATTACAAGGTTATTTTGCACCCTTAAAATGATTTCTAGCCCATTTTGACCCCACATGCCAAATTCCATGCTTTTAAAACAAAGTGCACGAATTAGGCCAAAAAATGGACCTAAGCAGCTCCACTATAAACACACCCATCGGAGTCTGCTTGGGCATGGCGAGGAGAATCAACAAAAGCCAACCAAAAGCAGCCGGAGAAAGATCTGACCAGTCCCGTAATTTGAAAAAAAGCGTAAAAATGAGGCAAAGAAAATCACTACTGAAGGCTAAATAGCTGTCAATCATTGAACTGATTGCTCTGGGCAGGGGCTTTAACTTTATTCCCACCCTTAGAAACCTTAAAGGTCGACCATGCATCCTTCGCTACTTCCCACTCATTCTTCATAATGAGACTTCGTTTAAAATGGGAGGGAGAGTAAGACCGTCTGACTCGCATCCATTCAATCTGCTGATGCTGATAACAAATCCTCATTTCCTTCCCCTTAAAATCAATTTTAATTCACGTCGGCGATTTTCTCGTTATTGTCCACCGATTCACTGATTTTTGCCAGGACGTACCGGTTCTTTTTTGCATAAAACACTTTCTCTCTTAGAAAAAGGCAAAACTTGACAAAATTAATCACCGGTGGCGGCCCCTTAAAATACCCATCCCCGTCCATTAACTGATATGACTTGAAATGTATAGCGTTAAGTGCCTGACACGCTGTTTTCGTTACACACAAACTCGTCCGCTGCACGTGCAGCAAGCTCCGTTAATACTTATAATTATTTCGTGCGCACGAGATAATTATCTCGTGCGCACGAGATAATTATCTCGTGCGCACGAGATATATGTCGTGCGCACGAGATATATGTCGTGCGCACGTGATAACTATCTCGTGCGCACGAGATATTATGTTGTGCGCACGAGATAATTATGTCGTGCGCACGAGATATTATGTCGTGCGCACGAGATATTATGTCGTGCGCACGAGATATTATGTCGTGCGCACGAGATAAAAACAATAATTTTGGATGTCCTTTTAGGGGCTCCGTAGTAACTCATGCGCGACCGGTCCATGATTAAAAATGGATTATGACGGGCATGCACATGTTTACTGTACTTGCTGTAATCTCTTTAGGCACCTACTTAACTTTGTCTTATTATAGTCACTTTTGTGCTGTTTTTGTGTGTGTGTGTGAAGAATTGTTCGGAATTAACAACTTTGTTTTGTGCAGAGGGACTAAACGCCTTTCTTTAAGAGAGGAAGACATGAGATATAGCCGTATTTTTCAGGTACGTATTTGTTTTTAGGCCTACTTG